CCTCTGGGACTGGTGGTGTGCGTTCATTCGACCAGTCCCCACGAAAGCAGCTGGCTGGGAGCTTTTTCATTACACAGAGTGAAGTTGATTGCATTTTCCCCGGTAGTCTCTGAAGTGTCTAAATGGAGCCACTATATAGGCTCCTCATCGCCTCACAGCCATCACTAGGCGCTGCTACAAGCTGCCATAAAGCCTGTACATTTTGGCGGGGAAGCCAAGAAAATTATGCGTTTTTAACTTCAAATCGTTCTGCCCAAGTGTCATGTAATCACAATAGAAACTAGCATCACTTAGCATTCTGTAGACTGGACACAATAAACATCTATACCCTGGTGCCAGGAGAGCAAGGAATGAGACATGTAATCACAGTTTTAAGGCAGTGGAGAAATCAAACGTCTCGCTCTATTGATGTGGGTTTGGCCTTCTGAGAGGAGTGTAAACACTTCAAACTGTCACTCTTACTATACGTAATGGGAAATAAGCTAATCAGATGTAATATGCATCAAAGTGCATACTCAGAAAGAGTATGCACTTCCAACATTATGAATCTATAGAGAACGTCTGATCTCACTCTGTGCCACTTCAACATCGAAGTCTTGGAAATAGAGGAAGCCTTGAAGAGTGTGTGTTCACTTTGCTTTACAGATTCATGGACAAGCACACTGTGTACACTACTGAAAAAAATATATATTGTTCTATAAAAAAATGCATAGACGAACTTTGAGAATGGATAGAAGAGCAATTTAACATTACTGTATGGTCATTGGGTTGAAATAAGATATTTTATATATCTGCAAATATGCAGGAAAAACAAATCAATATTGTCTGCCTGAAATCATTTATGAATGTGTGCAAAGTATTTAATACGATTTATTCATTCAATGATTATTTAAGCAATCATGTGGATAATTATAGTAACCAACACTAACCTGAGGAAAAAACATCCAAATCAATATTATCCATGATTTGTTGAAGACAGAATAACTAAGGCCAATAAGATGCTGCACAGGGTCATAAAAGAGCTTTTGCAATACCAGAGGCAAACTTGTTTTTGTACATGCAAAGTGCAAACTGATTTCTTTTGCTACCTTTTTTACTGCTCCCTGCTGCTCGTCTTTCACTATGAACTGAAATAAGCCTTAGCTACAGGGATTCTGGCAAAATATCTTGGATCAGTTGAATTGAATTAGCGATGTTTTAAATATCCCCTAATCTCCATAAATAAGTACATGTTTTATGGATGCCTTATTCATAATTCATCTTCCTTCCAACTCCAAGCAGGGAGGGAGTACAAGTGCTAAGCTAATTCTCATCACGCATTAACAACGGTGCTCATCTGATCACGTTATTGACCCCACACACAAAGCTGATTACTTCCCCCGGACGCTGTCTCATTTCCACTAAGTCGTGTATTGTGTTAAAAACATGAGAAGTGAAATGGAGCTGACATGATATTGTCACAGGATCAAATATTGAGAGGGAAACAAAAGCAGGTGCCATGAAATTGTCAGATATTCCGGGTGCAAGGTATACAGCACATTAACATGATGCTTTGAGTTTGGAATTGTGGGAGCAAAATATTGTTTTCACTGTTAACACATGACAAAAATGACAGCAGGCTTGAGAAATGCTAATAAGAAAGAGAAAATTATTCTGTCACCATTATTTTTTTAAAATAATAATTCAATGTTATAATCCTCTGATTGCTCCTAAACATCACCTGGAATATGAGAGCCACTTCAATCAGGTGTGTTACTGACAAGCACGTTTACTGTGGAGATGTGCTGCTCAATATTATGAGAATAAGCTAATACGAACTAGAATTACCGCCTCAAGATTGTATGCCTCCAACTACCATGTTGCAGTTTGCATCCATGCTTGTCTAAAATGTCATCACTTTATCATTTTATCCGAATAGACATTTGTTTGAAATCATCGCAATTTAGTCCAGGAGGATATTTGTGCCAAATTTGAAGACATTTCCTCCAGGCATTACTGAGCTATTGCATACACACGAATGAATAGATCGAGCGACAACCCGAAAACACAATGCCTCCGGGCCACGGGTGTCGCCAGCGGGGCAGTTGATATTGCATGTTGCAGTGCTGGAAAGCAGACCTGTGCAGGACTCTACCGGGTACATGTCCCTATAAACGAAAACCTACATGGCTTAGGTAACAACTGGGAGAAGCAAGAGTCCAGTTCGAGGCATTTGCTGCCAACGCTAGTCTTAGTGGCCCTTTGCTGAGCGCAGTGTTGAGCACACATGTTGCCGTTCGTGAATAAGTATTGTGATGTGTGGCGCTGTCTGCAGCGTTGAACACGGTGGTTTGATATCTCTTTCAGTGTGAGAAAGTCTTAGATGACTTGAAGCATGTATGTGATTGACCGAGCTAGCAGGGGAGGTGGGTCACACGCACACACACACACACACACACACACACTTACCGACACACACATGCTACAGGCACAAAGTGCAAAAGAGAGAAAGACTGAGTTACTTGTAAAAAGTTTTACACAGCTGTGTTGATTTTTGTTTTCCAAAATTCATGAGGAATTCCGGTGGGATCATCAGTTGGTTGTGTATGGATTTAACCAAATATATGACTCTTGAATCAGTTTTCTAATAGCTAAACCTTCACATCCCAAGATATCTGGGCCACTGTGTGTATCTGGATTTGGATATCGGTATAGATCCTTGAATTCTTAACTTTATACTGTTTGGTTATTTTCTAAAAGACATCTGCAGTTATTACCTAGCATCTAAAAAAAAAAATGTTTCAGTTTTCTGAAAAATTCAATTTCAATTTTCCCCAACACGGAAAGATTCTAAGATTATCAAAGTAGAGACAAGGATTTTCCACCCTGACAGGCTTCAGGCTTTGGATAAACCTGTGAACGCAGCATGTCAGTGTTACGTGATATGCTAAGCAAGGAATGGCATGCGTGTCTAGATAAGTACCAGACTTCTGACTGTCATAGATAATCAGATTTATGTTATCACTGAAACAAACTAACTACACTCTTTATACCGGAAGGAAATAGCTTATATCCTCCTGATGCAAAAGAAAAAAATGTTCCTAAACCGCGATTAAGATCAGCCACTTGAGATCGCCACTATTAAAATGAGGGGGCAGGGCTTTTTGAAACTGCCCTGTTAGTGGAGCTATTTCTCAACCCGGCAGTGAAGTGTGGCGTAGCGGTTTGTGCGTTGCCTCCCTGTCAGAGTGCTTATTACCTGACTGAATGAACAGGCCCTCGCCATGTCAGGAATGTGACAAAAGAACAAGACCTGCTGGATCGGGGCATTGTGTGAGAACATTGAACCCATTTCAAAGTTTCCTGATGGTTTGCAAAACATTTAAATCATGTACAAAAAAAAAAGCAAAACGTGCGGTGACTTGATGCTTTCAGCCATGTGCTGAAATGTGAATGCTGTGGTGCAGATATGGAGGAGGAGTTTGTAAATGACTGAAACAAGAATTTTCCTTATATTTATATTTCCAAGCAAAGCTTTCATTATTCATTTATGTCTTATCATGTGTTCAATTCAGAACTGGCTACTCACCTCTTCTCTTCTCAACACATTGCAGACTTCTCTCTGTATTTGATCTGACATCAGAGGTGTTTGCAGCACAGCTTCGTCATCGGCTAATTTTCATTTCAGTCCTGACCGAGCCTGACTCTCAGTCTGGGTGCCGCTTGAAGTATGTGCGCGGTGGCGGTGGTGCTCAGAAGGGACGCTCCTCTGATCAGGTCGAACGTGGAGAGTGTGGGTCGAATCATGAATCAAGAATTCAAATATAGCCACAGTAGAAGATCTCTCCTCACCTCTCCTCCTCCTCCTCCTCCACCTTTTACAAACTTTACAAACATCTTTCTCTCTGTAACTGACCTGAGATCAGAGGTTATTTTTCTATGCAGTACATCTTCATCAACAGCTGCTTTTCTTTTTAGTCCTGACCGAGCCCGGCTCTCGGTCTGGGTGCTGATAGAAATATGTGCGCCATGGCGGTGTTGCTCAGAGGGGACGCTCTTCCGCTCGGGTCGAAAAAGTAGAGAGTGTTTTGAATCATGGTTGCCGCAGGTGGATGGATATAAGCGGCTTTTTCTGACCCACTTGCTCTCATGGTCTGACTTCTCGCGGTACCATGAGCCTTCTTTCTTTTTACTCTCGATAAGATGCAACTCTGGGTCTCGTTGCTGCTGCTTGAGGTGGATGGACATGCATGGTTTCTCTGGGACCTCCTTATGTCATCATCGTGAAGATGCCCTACGTCTTCAACATCAACCTTTCTCTTAACCCCTGGCTTGATGCAATTTTGCATGTGGCTGATTGTAGAGGAATGTGTCAGACCCGGGGGATTCCTCACAGCTGTGCTAGCCTGGATGTGATTGCTAGAATTCTGGCTGCTGCTGGATGGACCTGCACAGTTTCCACTGTAATTTAATAAGTAGGAGGTTAACTGGTGGAAACGATTTGTTACACAAACAGACAGCAAAGTTATCCAACAATTTCTAAATTCTTAGAATTCTTAGAATTCTTGCAATCCAGACCTGACCCTTTTGGACAGATGAGAGGTTTCGCTCATCGTCTCATCTTCATCATCAACCTTTCTTTTCATCCCTGCCTTGTCTGAACTCGTGGTCTGGGTACCAGAGCAGGGATGAGGGTTGATGCAGTGTGGCTGGCTCAGCCTCTCCTCTCAGCAGAAGAAGGAGGAAGGTTCTGCTGGACGAGGCGGGCGGTCCCAGAGGACGGTTGCTGCAGAGACCCACACAGAGCTTTCCCCCTGTCAGAGGTTGGGGTCTGGTTTTGACAGAGGTACATTAACTCAAAACAGGACCTAACACTGCAAGAAATAAATCATTGCATCAGTACATTTCATCAACTCACATTTACACTGTTACTCCCAGAGGCTAACTGTGCATCATCGGCTAGTTGAATCTGGACTTTAGGCAATAAACGCATGCAGTCAATAAACACGCCAATGGAAAAGTAGGTTTTATATTTTATTCCAAAACCTTCAAAATAAGTTTCAAGTTCAAGAAAGTAGAATAAGCTTAGACACAATGCAAAGCATCATATACAGACGGATAAAATACATTTTATATATTGCAGACAAGCCATGGTGGGTCTTACATATGTACAGTATGTATGTAAACTTTTATGTACAATCTTTTTTACATATACAAAAAGCCTTGTTTCTATTTTTCTTTGTATATATTTATATATATATATTTATATATATAGAGATTCTTCATATACTCCCCACTAGCATTTGTACTACAATAATGAAAAAGAAAAACATTTACATATATGTCAATCCATTTTTTCTTTTTTATATTACAAATGTATTTTCATAAAAATATATCTCTGTACAAAAAAGTTTTTTTATTCGTTAACATATTCTCTTTTCTTAGAGACAGTTTCCTTCTGTAGTTGCTCTCTGTAGTCGCACACAGTCTGCTCCAGTCCTTGTTTGTCCGTTTCTTCACAGGTAACCCTTTTGGTGGACAGCAAGACATTGACATTGAATTTCTGTCTTTTTACTGTTTTGTTGTGGCGTTCAAGGGCCATGTTGATTCCGCTTCAGCGCTGTGATTTTGTGAGTTTCAGTCTCAATTAGAGGTTAGTTGAGAGATCTACTGGGCTGGCATGAAATTATGTTCGGGAAAACAAAAAAAAACAAAAAAAACACGGGACCACTTGTAATAACTTTGTAGCTATAACAAAAATACAGGAATGTAAAGTCTCTGGTAATAAAAAAGCAGCTCTCTGTAAATACGTTTGCAATTTTATGCTAAATATAAATAAATTGGACATTCTGTTTTTTTATCCCAAAGATGAAACATCACTGCACACAAACAGAGGAACAGTAGTGGGATTACAGCTATTGAACAAAGTATAGATGAATTCTGCGAAATGAAATACATTCAGCAGTTTTTTCCAGTAATAACTCCAGCGACCTGATCCTAAATGAAACTACTCATCCACTCTCCATTTATAGAATCTAAGCTCCAAAACTTTTCATAAAAACATCTCCTTACCCTCTCCGCCATGCTCGAGTCCACTAGACACACTGTAATGGGCTGAATAGTGGAGGCAAATTACATGGAATGGGCCTGAAAAACACAGCAGTATTTTTGGCTTAGTCACAGCCGTCAATATGCGTTGACAATGGAAGATGGGAGATTACAAATAATACTTGATGCACACAAGCGTAACTGATGGAGTGATTGGTTTTCCAATGCCTGTACACTGTGACATGCACTGAAAAGTGAGAGCACTAGCTGCTGCGGAAAGAAGTGGGAAGCTTTTGGTCTATCTCCTGACTGTGAGAAAATTCCGTGAGCTCGAAGGGGAACTCAAAGACCATAGCTGCGGTGTGTTTCATTATAGAGGAGATGGTGAGCAGGAGAGAACTCAAGAGCTGTGTCTGGCTGATAACGAAAATGAGCCTCGGATGATCAGAGTTTCTGTCTTAAAATATGCAAAGAGAACCAGGAAGTAGCCGGCCGCTATTAAGAAATAGTCTCTTCAAACTCTTACAGCGCTGCGATCCAGAATTCACTGATCTTCACTTTCATATGACTGTACTGCACTCTTTCTTTGAAAACTTTCTGGACTAACCCAGATGGGTTGAGGAGAAAGTATTTCTATCGATTTAGCGCCCATTAACTGAAAATTCCCATATTTCAAAATTATAAGCATGAATTTTTGAAAATGTTTTGTTCCCCATTAAAAACTTTTCTAACTAGTGGAACTAAATGAAGCCACATGAAGAACTAACTGAAACACCTTATCTTAATTATGTAATTTTGCTTAATTCTAATGTGGTGGACTTTTAATTAATTATCAGCCAGACTTTGGTTGAAAAGGTGACTCTCAAGAACACAAATACTCAAACATGAAATCGTAGAATACAAGACCTTAACCCTTGCACACAGATTTACAGCACTAATAAGAACATTGCTCTTTTTGGAAAAGCAAAAAAAGGGGGGGATGTGTATGATTTCTCTGAAATGATCCTAACAAGCTCAGTTCAACAACACAGATGCAAAGTAGATATGTGTGTCTGGGTTAAACAGGTTGAGATGATAACAGAAAAACTGAAAAAAGAGTTTTATTTCGATATAACTGTCATAAAATACTTCATAATCCCTCCAATCCTAGAAAAGAAATTATGTTTGGAACTCCTGAACACAAAAATAGAGCCACTCAAGCATGTTCATGATATCAAGAGGGTGTATCAAGGCACTATAATGAATGTAAAGTGCTTATTGAAGACTGGAGGAGGGAAACAAGATTGAAAAGGTATAAGTTTCTGAATTTCTTGAGACTGAGCCCTTTTTGGTAAAAACAATCATAGTTGTGTGAGCTTATACTTCTGTATTATGTTTATCCAAATTGACAGTCTAAATCTAGTCAAATAGAATCAGTTCCTTCTAGTCAGTCTTAATAAGACATGTTCCATCATGTCTTATTGCTCCAAATGTAATGCAGCTCAATAAAGAGTCGGTTATTATAAGTGTGCTGAACGTTGCCAGGGGAGGAATGAACGGAGGGGGAATGACCACTTCAAAGTGGCCTTACCAAAAACTAACTGGAACGTAATGAAGCGACTCTGCTGAAATATTTAGTGCAATTTCAGAACAAAAACAAAATGAAATGCACAATGGAACAGCCAGTCGCAACTATGAGAACTGAGCAACAATGCCTTCAAGATAATGCGAGAGCAACTTCTCCTTTCCCCATGAAATCTCCAGGGTAATTCAATCGTTTCCTTTTCCATCAATTCTCGACCGGAGCAGGCAAGGGGCAAATATTCTATCTTCACTGCCGAGATAAGCGAGAGCTTTAAAAATAATAAAATTGTAGAAGCAATTACTGACCCACAGCAAAACTAATTGAAGGAACAATACAGTGATTGGTTTCAAAAGCCTGGATTTCAAAGGGAAATGATGTACTCTGGGTGACTTTAAAGACTTCATTTGAAAACCTGTTGGTACTGTATGGAGGTTGATTTTGACTGTGAAATCCATGCAAGGCCAATTCCCCCCCCCCCAGTTTCTAACACTTAAAAGAAAGACAACATGGTAGAAAACTGTGGCTGTTTTAGACACTATGTAATTGATGGTCTGTCCTGTCAGTGATAATGGTGAGGTGAATTCAGGATTCAATATGGGTCCGACAATGAAGCATGGCTAAATTAAAGAAAATTGCATGTAATGGCTCAATTTGCTGCAGTGAAATTCGAGCACTATTCACCCAACTGCTTCGACTCCATCGCTCATACACACATTTTATACACACAAACACACACACACACACACACACATTATAAGGGTCACAAATGCATGAACGTTTTGAGTGTTTCTCATTGGGCATGTTCACCTGCCAAGGTGGAGTCCTGCTGTTATAGCTATTGACAGTTCCCTCCTGTGTCTCTTTCAAAACAATATTTCAGGATATCACTCCCCCCAGTTGCCACAGATTTCAAGGAGAGTTGGCATTAGAAGCATAAACATTGTTTTCTTATCATATTTATCATTTCAAATTTAATGCATGGGAGTTATCAGTATGCCAGCAACTCCCCTGCCGTCACAGCTCCGAAGGAAGCCGTCTGCAACATTTCCATGATGAGCGAAGACAGAACATAGCAACGCTGCTGTTTTTTTAAAAAAAAAAGGACTGAGCTGTCAGAAGTTAACTTGGAGGAAAGGACCTGCATGTAATCCAGGAGGAACACATCTCTGACTCATCCATTCTTCAGACTCAAGCGCCTTCAGTTGTACATTTTGAGGGAGTTCAAACATGGCCACACTTTGATCTGTGTTTTCCTGAGGCCAAGTTTAGGGAACTCATACTGCATCTTGATCTCAGAGAAAATACAATACGTACCGCCTTCAAGCTGCAGAAACATGTGATCCAGGATTAAACAGAAAGTGTAGAATTCCCAAAGAAAATGTGCCACATAATGTTTCTCTGTAACCTGGGTGGTGCTATAGTTTTTTCTGACTTTTGAAAACAAAGGGAAACAATATGGTCCCGAGACGTTCATATATCCATGTAAATATACTGTATCGTAGTTCCCATGCCGACTTTGACCCAGCCAGTGTCTTTTCCTCCTCAAGTGGCTCAGAGCGACAGTGGCAGGAAAGTCGTAACAGATGTTAATGTGAAGCAAATTTGAGTGTTGCCTCTTGTTTAACATTTTGTTTTAGGATAGGTGCATTGGTTAGAGAGGTGGATTTCTCTTTCCACGCCTTCTTTTCAGTCTCTTCCAAGACATACAAATGTGAAGTGACTGCACATGAATCACCACAAACAAAGAGAAGCAGATACAAGTTGGAAGTAGAGAGTCACACTGCCTTTAGTTTTATCATTTTCCTCAGTGGATCTATACATTGTCAGCATTTGTTCTGGGTTGCCTTTTGTTTTATCGATGTCCAGGGCACCCAGCTATAGTGATGATCCTAAATAAAATAATTGTTAAGAAAATTTAGCAAATTATCTGTCCTGTGTTTGGTGAAATCTTTGGGGCCAAAACAGACAGGATATATTTTGGGTAGATTGCAGATGCCACCAAAATGTGTGAAGAAACGCACACACACACCCTCTCTCACTGACATATGCACATAAATTCTCATTCTCATTACAACCTCAGTAAGTGCATTTTTTTCAGCAGCCCTAGTTACCTTTTAACCTCTCCTCTGGATACAGCTGCCTCCGCAAGCAGATTTCATTCCTGCTTCAAAAAAAAAAAAATGAAGTAATGATAGAATGTTTGTCTCGAACATGGCCTTCAAAACGTAGTGAATTTTGAACTCATCCACAGCCAGAGACTCGGGGGGCCTCCGTTCAAAACTTTCAACAGCCACAGGAACAGACTGTTGGGGAATAACAGGGTCCCCAATTACTCATCACAGAAAGCAAGCAGTGTATGAAAAGAGAACCAAAAAAAGCAAATGGAAAACAGAGAGAAGATTGAATGGAAACAGTCCAGACTGTCTCTCTTTGACTCATCCAGGCCAACATGTGGCCGTCCACCATACAGTTAACTTGCACAGAGATCTTTGTTCGCTACAAGTCAATTTCTAGACTTAAAATTGACCATAAAATTCCCTTTGGGTTTAGGCGGAGGGCGGTGAGAAAAGTCATCACAGCTTTGCTTCCAGCGTTACTCCTGCAGGCTGCAGTTTCAGGTTGAAGCTCTTCCTCAAAATATGGAAAATGATCAAGAAACCATGTAATGTTACAAAAAGCATGTTGTTGTTGTCGGCCTTTGTTACAGTCCTTGTTGTCTTCACCTGGTTTCTCTTTTTTCTCGTCTCCTGCAGGTCAGAGCCTTTGCCATTGGAGATGTTTCTTGAATGTATTACAGGAAATAAAATAATCTTTGTCTTGCCCTCTGCTCGAGGAACTATGGATGTCCTCTGTTGGCAGGCGAGCTAAGATGTGGTGCACTTCTCCTCCCAGAACTGAATCAAGGACCCATGAATGGATGTAAGGGGGGTGTGTGGGAAAAGGACAAGATGAGAGATAATAGGAGAAAAGAGAGGAAGAGAGACAAATTAAAAGAAAATATACACAGGAAAGAAAGATAGTTAAAGGGATATAGGCAAAGAAAAAAAAGGTAAGCAATAACCGAAGAAATGGAGACAAAGATGAGGGAAATCACAAAGAAGAGGGAAGATAAAAAGATTAACATAATTTCATCAGAGTTCTAATTAAAAAAATACATGTTCCATCACTTTCAATAAAGCATAAACAAACCAAATCAAATTAATTAATAAGGGAGAGAGATACAGATCAAAGGAAATGCAGCAGAAAGAAAATAATCCACTTTTCTATTCTCGGAAGACTCCAGAGGGACGTTAAAGGTTTAGTTTGCAACTGTATTCTGAGAATCGGTGTCTTGTTGCTCGGGATTGACTCAAGCAAGCCACACATGGTGATAACGTCCTCTACTTTCAGATGCCTGGTGCTCTACATCCTTACTTTATCATGAACCCACAAGACGTGGTGGTGTTTCGATTCGTACCTCTGGAGGAAGCAGTTGCTATACAGCTGTGCACACTGTGCTGACTGTGAACTCTGTCTCGTTGGCCATGATGTCAGTGGGTTGGATGTTGCGGTCATACATGGGGTTCTCGAACGTAGCTCGTCCATTAGTGTTCTCATGGCCCACATAACTATTGAAGGGGACTTTGGGTCTTCTCCTGAAATGAAACAAATCAATATATTGAACAATGAGATCAGCTCCCATAAGGGGGTGGATACAGCAAGTATAAAGCAGAGATATGTGTTATTAGGGCTGCAATCGACAAATATTTTATTATTGATTGATCCACTGATTATTTTGTCGATTAATTAATGAGATATTAGTCTAGTCTGTGACTTTATATCTGAAAAGATCAGCATATAATCACATTTAAGAAGCTGGAACCAGCCAACGCTTTGCATTTGTGCCAAATAAATGACTAATAATAAATTCACTGTCAATATTTTGCTAATCACTTTTTGGTTAATCGACTAATTGATGAATCAACTAATTGTTCCAATACTAATATGGCTACACTGATTTGCATTGGATAAGTCCATGTGCAAATTGAGGTAGGTACTGTACATAGGTAGGTCACTCTCTCTCTCTCTCTCACTCACTCACTCACTCACTCACTCAGCTATGGGACAATAATGTGCGAATAATGCATTGAGCAGGTACATCTTCCGCCTGTCTCGCTGTTATGAACCAGTTCGTTTTCTAGGAAGGAGGGTCGTTTTATCTCCTTTTAAACGGTCAACATACGCATTAGTGGATTAAAATAATCCATATCAAGTTAATATATTCTGAAGGGTGAATGCAAATGAAATCAAGCAAGATTCCTATCTGGCAACAGCTAACTTTGCAGATAAAATCTTGCCTGCAGATGAGGAGTATTGTGAAATAGATCAACGGTAGGAGCCTTACCTGTGTTTGTAGAGGTACAGAGCGAAGCCTGCAATGATCATGGCTATAAAAGGCACTAGGATGGCTGCCGCCACTGAACTGCTGTTGGATGCAAAGTTGTAGCCTTGGTTGTCTCTGCTGAGATCTAAGCTCTCTGGAAGAAAAAGAGAAGACATTAAGCCATTGTTTTAGCCTCCCTTCGGTAAAATACCACTTTAGCAGTAGACATTATAATTATATCCCATGAATACAACAATTAAAAGAAACAAAGGGAAACCCTCCTCACCTTCTGCCAAGAAGTTGTGATAAAAATTTAAGGCAAATAAACAGTAACCACAGCACAGCGAAATAAAGTGAATTGTAAAAGCTGAAGAGGTCTGCCAGGAAGGCTCCAATTATACATAACAGACCTAGCAAATAAGTGACTTTTTAAAGTCTATTACTATGCTTTATTTTCATTCCACCCCCCGTGGGAATGTCAAATTTCATCATCCTAGCAATGAGTCGTAATTACGGACATCAAACGCCAAAAGCTATTAAGTCATTTCAGATTCATTCTCTAATTTCTGGAGGCGAGTGTGTCTGCAACAGCAACACTGGAGGAGTGACAGCCCACCTGTTTGCCACAGAACGCCAAAAAGGCTCCAATAAAGGACGAGTGACAAACAAGAAGGAATTCAATTAGTGGAATCTGTGGTGTTGCAAATCAACCCCCTGCTGCATGAGCGCGGGCACACACACATGCACAAACACACTCGCACAAGCAAACTGCACTTGCAGTTACACCACCACTGAGTTGAAACAAAGCAGGAAAACCTCGACAAATTGAGTAGGATCATTTCCAAGACGTCCAACCCTAACCCCCCCATCCGCTTTTGTCATACACACTTAAACACACATACACATGAATGCCCTGGCACCAGCCCCAGCCCTCAGTATTAATAAAGAGCTGTTTGCGCAATCAGTGTGCTGTGGGTGGGGGGGGGGAGAGGGTTCTGCACCTGCTGTTCAAGCACCTCTCTCATTACAGCAGGTTTTCACATCCACTTTCACTATGTTCACACAACTTTACCCGTGCATACACACACTTAATCCGTGTTAGTCAATTCCATATTGGTTGTATTTTTGTACCTACACTGCTGCTCTTGAGTCTGCCTTACAGTCTGGGCTTTGCTTTTTAAAAGCTGCCAAAGTCTTGTCAAATCGTTCAACTTCAAAAGCATTAGCAAAAAAAAAAAAAAAAAACAGCAAAGGTATGAGTGTTATCTGCTTGTCAGATATGGAATAGGGAATACAAAACATCTGCATGTAGAGGATTTTAGCTTATATTTAAATGTTATTAGTTATATCTCACACAGACATAACAGTTCTTGCCATTTCTTCCATGTATAGAATTCCTACATGAACGCAGTGTGCCCACAGGGACTTTGTGAGAGGCTGAGGCTGTCAAGGCTACATGAAAAAAATGACAGTTTTTAATTAACCAGCCCCGATGGCTGATGGAGGGTTTCGTACTGGGAGAACACATGAGTACATATTCAAGCTAATGCGTATCAGATCACTCTGCAATCTTGTGTGTCCACTCAGGAGTGAGATTAAGTCCAATTTTTGGGATTTCATAGAAAAACGTGAAATTGATGATGAAGATGGAGAAGAAATTACGTTTTAACGTCCAAAACTTTTCTCAATCTCTCGGCACAAGACTGGCCTTGATTGCTGTTTAGTAGTTAATAAATCAATTAATATGTTTTCTCCATTCAAACATACAGTACGTTGGTTGTTTTTAACTGGATCGTAACAGTGGGTGGCAGCAGGAAACAAAAGTTGTGAATTGGCAAAAATCTTATGAGAAGAATAAGAAGCAATTCCCCTTTCTTTATCAATACCAAGTATCAAAATAACAGCATCTTTTTAAAATGCACACATTATAATGCACATCGTCAAACAGCAGAGAGGTAAAACCTTATATATTCCGTCTATGTTATATATCATGTGTTTCTCTTTCCCATGTGCCTTATATAGTTCAGGCAGAAGAGTAGGGAGTGTTTGCAGTTGTAGGTGAATCATACACATAACTGTATGACAGCAGCAGCCATACAGATTCATGGAGTCAGACTGTAAGCATTTGCTGTATACAAACTGTAGCAAGGGGGATCATATGGGGGGGATTTCTAGGTCACGAACATGAAGCAGAATTCGTTGGATAGCTGCAGCTTTTTCGAAAAAATATTCAATATCTATGAAAGCGTTGCTAAAGTCGCTGAAGGAACCACAGAATGACACACAGCAAAGAATGGATGATATTTACTGTATCAAAACGGCAAGATGTGGGGTGACTTGACATGGCAAAGACCCTGCGAGCATCAACACACACACACTCGTGAAGGAGAGGTTTTCTGTAGCTGTGTTGTGTGTATAAGTGTAGTGTGTGTGCCTCTGGATGTCATTTTCTGACTATTAATCATGTTTTTGAACCGGAGTTTGCCTCGTTACGCTGGATTCACAGACACATTCTCCAAAAGTGTTTTCACATTTGTGAAAGTAAATAAATTATAAATCCAACAAAGCAAATGACATGCTGTGGAAGCAGCTAAGCTTAAGGATGCAAGACGTATTTTAAGAGAATATCTGTGATAGAAATCCAGACAGGAAAAAACACGGACACACAGTCTTCCCCCTAGGAGACAGCTTGGTCACAGCGGTTTCGATAACCAAGTGGACAGCTTACTCACCCAGTCTTTGGAGACCAAATTGGCCAAAGCCTTTTCCTCTGACAAATCCCTGGTACACAACGGAGTTGGAAGAAGAGATGTAGGACACCTAGGGAGAGAGAGCGAGAGAGAGAGGAATGGAAGACAGACACTTTATGTGTCACATCCAGGCTTCACAAAGGAGAGTCTCATCAAAGTGTCAGCAGCTGGTGCACGCAGAAACTGAAATACCATGTCAAAGGAGCTGAGAGGCGCTCTCATAGCTGACATTTAATATGACGTTTTCTGCTCAAGAGCACGAACATAAACACACTCGGCCATGTTACACACAAGAGGACTTTTCTGCTTGCTTCTGTACGTAAACACTCAAGTGATGTGAGGCTTGCCACACAGTGGCGCACGCGTATATACCGTGACCTGCTTTTTAAAATTATACACGGAGTGGGTGTGCATTAGAGGTGCCTGCGGTTGGGGGATAATACTGGAGAGAGGAGTGGAGGGGGTCTGTCGAGTCCTGATTACCAGGCAATGATTTAACTGACATTTTAATTAGAGAGAAAACTCTTGGTGGGCCCTCCATCTCCCCAGAGTGACAAGGTTAGTGTGTATGTGTGCTCGTGCATATTTCACATTAAAGGTGTGTTTGTGTCTGTGAGTGTGATGGAACATCTTTGCAGTCACAAAGACAGGTCCTGTATTGAACCTGACCCTGGACTTGTACTTACATGTCCGTCCAGGGCCCAGTAGTCTCTTTTGAACTTGTTGACAAAGATATCCACAGGGCCTGTGATCTGGTGGACCTGTAGCAGCAGCTGAGATTCCTCCTTCTTGTATGTACCTAGAAGAAAACACATGTTAACATGTTAGTTTGGAGCAACAGCCAGACTCAAACAAACTGAAAGGGGTCATGCGATATGTCTACACACACATATAGGAATTCAAAAACTAAAGATTTGCAACATGACTTTTTTTTAATCAGGAATAAATCTTTCATTTGTCAGAAGATGAAAGCATGATGCCAATTCAGCAAAACTGTATAATAAATGTAATCACATTAAATGTATCTAATTACTTAATGAAGCAACATGTCACCCTGTGCAACAGTGTGGCTAATTGGCTAGCTCAACGGAACAGAGGAAGAAGATACAGTATATCAGGCGTTAGCTACACTGGCAATACTTGTTGGTAGGATCAATTCCTTTATGGATGTGTTTTTTCCATTCACATTTAGACAACTACAGAGCGTCATGAGATGTATCCTTTAAGTAAATGATTTATTAAAACATAACATTTGCAGAATTTTTATTTTTAGGCACAATAATAATGCCAGGTTAAGAAACGCTTGCAAAAAGGCTGGATTATTTATCTGAAAAAAAATATATATATATATGTATATTGTGCGAACACAACAATACTCCGTAACTCTGCATCAGCAACATTACTTTCACTGGAGAGTGGAGCAATTTGTAACTGTAGAAATCATTTTTACTACAATGTGATGAAGATTGATGGCGGCCAGGAGGAGTGAACTGTCCAAGCCGTTACGGATGCAAATTTGAGTCGTAATGATCACAGCTGCACGGTAATTATGCGACAGGGGGAAAAAAAATTAAACGTCGGCTGTTCTGTAACAGCAGCAATAATCTATTCAACGCAGGGACTCCACTGTTTTCTTGTTCCTCACTGGATCGTATCTGACATTGTCTGTTTGTTTAAACCCAAACACAGTGAATTATTGTGCGTATGTGTGAGAATGTTTTGAAGGTCTCGACAGTGACTTCTGCTTTTGGTGTACCAACCGGCCAGTTTGAGTTCCACTCCGCTGTGGTCGATGAGTGTCCCGTTAACACGATTGCTAAAGGGTTCAAAAGCAGTGATGCTGAGCATAGCCGGCTGCTTCTTCCCCAGGTACTCATAGGATCCCCTCCAGAGAGAGTTCTTAGCAAATACACCACCAGGGACTGAAAGAAGAAAAAGGGTGGATATAGGGGGAGACAAAGAAAGATACTGTCATTTGAATACAAGTGCACTAAAGTTAAGAAAAATGGAACCTATTTTGATGAGGCTCCCCATCCACTATATACAGAAGTCAAATTTAAAATATTCTCACTGAGAACCACAGACACATAACTAAACACATAATAATTGAAACAAATCGAATTAAAAGCATCTTCAAATATAACAAGGAGACGTCTTACCTGGTAATTTGGAGGGTGGCTCCTGCACTGTCCCCACTGGGCTCTTACCACTCGGGCGATTATCAGCTGAAGAGCACAACAAAACAGAACTTACTGAAAAAATAATTCCCCAGTTTATCCTGTGAACCGGTACAGTGTATGCCTCAGGAAAGCGAAAATGGAAGACAATTTTCTCTTGATATAGCCCTAAGGTAATTGCAGTATAGAACGATGTCACCATCAGCACTTCCTCTCTACTTTCACGACTAATAAACCATCTGATGGACAGAGTGAGGTCTGCTTGCGACAGGACCCGGCTCGTGCCTCAGAGAGCAGCCCGGTTGTCCCTGTGGGGCTTTTGCTAAGTCAGAGACACAGTTTCACAGCTTCGAGGGAAGCACTTTAATAATGCCTTACTGCTCACACGGGGCCCCGGGAAGACACCACAGTAGTAAACATACACCCACACAGGCAAACAGAGCGAAGGGGGCTTACATGCAACTACAAACAAAGACAGGTATACTGACTGTAGTTTATGAGCACAAACATCACCTTGGATAAATGTGTATATCGACACAAACAAAAACACATGCACACACACTCCTGCAGCCTTGTGCTTTATTAGGTGCCAGTCTTTTGAGCTTCCCTTCCATCACTGCGCCCACAGGCGCTGTTAATATCCTGAATGTGCTAAGGCTAGTTCTCTTTCTTTCCCTCAGTCTTAATGACATGGCCTTAAAAACAACCCCATCACCCCTTTATGGTTCAGCAACGGCTTGGCATGGCATCCATCACACGGAGGTCCTCCTCTTGTACGTCTTTCTCTTCAAGCTATTAGCATCCGTCTACCCTCGATAATTGTGTGTCGATGACAATTTTTTTCCTGTATGTATTTAGGCCAAGGCTTGGGGGTGTCTTAATGGCGGTCTATTTGTCTGCTAGACCTTGTTAACACTGCCTCACCAAAGAGGTACTTCTGCTAACCTAATCAATGGGATGCATTGGCCTAATCAGGTTCTGCACCCTTGTTAATGTTTCAAAGCTTGTGTGTGTCTGTGCGTGTGTGTGCGTGGTGAGGTTTGACTCTGTGAGTGTGTAATTACACGGAGTTCAATTGTGTGATGGATGGGCCGTCCTACCCTGGCATGTGTCTGAGAATAAGCAAGTGATAACGCAGCTATTCATCAATGTTGAACGCTGAATCCCAAATTTCCTAAACTTGAGTCACCACTAAATCCCGAGTCAGCACAGACCCCAGTGGTTTTAAAAGAGGCCGCTAATGGAAACTGCACATTACAAATATGAGGTGAAGTGTTTTAAGTGTTTAATATGACTGTGTGGGACAGTGGGTGGCCAAGTGCACACATCTGTAAACCCATGAGGTTTGGTGAATGTGCTTGTTTGTGCCCATGTGCAAGGTCAGATGATAAATGATGTGTTAACATTCACTCCAGTCTTGTAAGTAATATTGTAGAGATTTAACAGCAGCAAACGCAAACAGGGTGCATGTGTATGCATGTCTTTGCATATTTAATATTGAGTATTTCTCAGTCTTCCCTTATGGACGTAATGCAACCATGTTTATACCTGCACAAAGAGGTTGTTTCCCTGTCCAGCTCCCATCGGACCTGCAGGTCCTGTGCTCTGATCCTCCGGCCAAGTAGAAGCCAGGCTGACATGTATAGATCAGTGTGTAGCCAAGGGATGGCAGTTCAATGGCTCTAACGTCAGACTGGGCTGGCATCTCTGGCTGGCTGCAGTGGTGGGCTGGATAAAGAGAGGGAGGGAAGGATTAGAGGGACCACAGAAGGGAAGTTGAGGGTTGAGGAGATGAACATGGAGAGGGATCAGAGGATCAACAGATAAGAATGCAAAAAAACACATATATAGTGGGAGAGAATAAGTCAGCCCAGGTGGAGGTTTGGGGTCAAGGAAGAATATAGGGGATATTTGAGCGCCGCATTTTTAGTAATGCAAACTTTTGCTCAATGTTAAGATTTCCACTTAACAATACACATGCTTTTATGTTAACATGAGCAGGCTGCCTACTTACCAATGCACTCAGGTTGAAAACCACTCCAAGTGAGGATGGGCAGACAAGTGCGAGAAATGGAGCCCTGAAGTAAGTAGCCCTTTCTACAGTTGAAGAACACAGTGCTGCTGATCTGTAAGAGGACACACAAGAGCTTGTGGAAATGTGGACTGGACTATGAGCATACGTAATATACATCACAGCAAGCACATCTCGCAAAAAGAAGAGGTGTTTGTTAGTCCTTGTGATTAGTATTTGTGTGTAAACTAAGATTCATTTATTGACTTAGTTTCTACTTTCTTGACACTGTATTTCATTTTTGTATAAGTATTAAGTTGAGGAACAACACAGCAGATGGCATCCTCCTTACACATTGTGTAGAGCTCAAATGATTAATCAGTCAGATTTTGAAACTTCCAGCCTTTAATGAAAAGCTTTTTTTTTCTTTCATATGAATTCAATTTCCTGTGACCACATATTCATACCTGGTAGCCTTGACTGTTGTTCTGATTTCCAAAGAGAGGAATGCCAGGGTCTCCACAGGTAGTGTGAGTGGGATCTGAAAAAAAAAAAACACATACACAGCAATCCTGTGATAACTGCTGTCATGTTAAAGCAGGTCCCATCTAATATACGCCACCCACAACAAATGGATATGTAGGGGAAATTACATTTTTTACATATCTGGTGTGAAACACTGACTGCGGGAGTGAAGGCTATACAATACTGTATCCACACACTTTGAGTATACAGTGAACCTGAGTGAACATACACAAATCCTGCAAAATCTTTTTAGTTGTCTGAACCCACTTTCTGTCATTGCTCATTTTTTTTATTCAAAATTGATTTCACTAGGAAAAGCCTAATTGAGATTAAAATGATCCTTTACCTGAATGTCAGGCCTTTTCAGTCCACACATCCTGCTCATCAGTTAACTAACATTTTGCAAGAATGTGCTCTTTAGACCCCAAAAAAAACCATTATATTGATCAACTCATGAGTTCATGGAGCTTTTTGCACTCTGTTGCTCTTAAAAGTAACAGACTGGGCCATTTCTTTTCAAAGGAGAACAGAAACATTGCTCATTTGAGCTCATTTTCAAAAATGTTAAGGAATAAATGGACGATGTCATTTACAAGAGGTTTCCATCAGCTTCAAGTATTCATTGTCACATCTAGAAGTTGAACAAAAAGCCACAAGAGGCCAGTCTTTCCAGTGAATTTATAGCAACTAAGAAGTGTTACCAGATATGATGTAAAGCCATCTCAGAGGCAGCTAGGTACTGTAGATGTACAACACAGGTTCTATTTCAGATTTATTACATCTCACTAAATCTTAGTTTAACCTTTCCCACATGCCGGGCATTATGGTTTTTCAACAAAGAGGCTGATAAATGATTCATAGGTGGTGGATTTTGGCTATAATGAATACATGTTTAAACAACTGTTATTTATCAAAGACTTGGCATATGTGCATAATGTTATAGCACTTCAAATACTACAATGGACCTAAGGACTGCTACAATACATTTGACTTTACTCACAATATGTTCCTGACCATTATGTGATTTCCTTGAGTCTTTCTAACTACAGCTTCCAAATGTATACGTTGTAACTCAAATGGTATTGCTCTTCCTTATTTAAGGAAGTTTACTGCTTAAGATATTTTGATTACAGAACTGCACAATATTTCAGATGACACAGGGGCAAAACAAAAGTGTATTAAAAGGTTTTGCAAGCACTGCTTACGTGCAGTTTACAAATGGTGTCAGTTTCACAAATGATATTCGCTCGCAAATTGCAGATTAATTTGTGCTCATACACGGGTCACGAGTGCAGTGTTTGCTTGCGAAGAATTGATCTAGTGTTGCAAATCGTAGGTTGCATGGTTTAAATGTGGTGAAACGGGGCCCCTGGTGCACTCTTGACTGCACTGCCAGACCTTCAGTTTCTCCACATTATGTCTATATTTACGGTAATTCTGAAATGTTCAGGGTTGGTTTAATTGATTACACTAATATGAATAAAAGAACAGAATCAAAATAGCTTGTAGCTGGGTCAAATGTGTTTTGCATGCATCATTTTTTGATTGCAAAACGCAATCAGGATTACAAGGGAGAACATAAGGGGGAATAATGCAAGCCAGCCAATGGAAGGCCTCTCTCACACTAAAACTAGGGCATTATATGAAGGTAAAGATATGTAGTAAAACTACCATGCCCATGTTTGAACGTCATTGTTTTGATTTGTACATCAATTTAGACTATACCGTAAATGGACAAGCAATTAGCTTACCTATGCAAGAGGGTTGTGTGCCACTCCAGGTGCCATCATATTGACAATATCTCCTGGTAGAGCCCACCAGGATAAGTGGAGGGAAGCAGGAGAAGGAGACAGAGGAGAGATAAGTGAATCCTCGGTCCTCCCTCCTCCCCTGGGCAGGCATCCCTGGGTCTCCACAGAACACAGCTGCAAAGATGAAGACGGAGAAAGGACAGAGAGAAACAGGACAATGTGAGGTGACCCACTAACCATGTTGGGTTTGGGTTTTAATTCAATATCTTCCAAGGGGAGGGGGGGGGGGGTGAATGTTCCACACATGGACATGGATACATACTTAGGTGATAGAAATGTCAGAAAGACATACATGACATGTAATGTAATTTGGAATTTCAGCGTGGTGCCACTTACGGAAGCACTGAGGTTTCTCTCCACTCCAGTTGCCGTTGCCCTGACATGTTAACACAGTGGGCAGGGACAGCTGGTAACCTTGGTTGCAGGAGTAACTGATGCTTGAGCCCCAGGTGAAGTCTGTACCGACAACCTGTCCATTAGGGATGATAGGTGGTGGACCACACACGATCGCTACAAGGAGACAAAGAGGCATTATGGATTCTGCATATTAGTTTAAATGATGTGATGCGTTGCAGTCTAAGTAAGTGTTAATTTAATGAGTACTCCAGTAAGACCAATATATGTATTCATTAGCTCTAGCCTTCCATAATAAGGTCTTCCTTCCATGTCACCTATGTCACCGTCGAGATGTATCTCATCATTGTTTTGTTATTCAGATCATACTGCACAACTTTACCTTTACAGTGAGGTTTGGTGCCATTCCAGGTACGGTCCTTGGTGCAGGTAAGAGTTGAGGCCCGGTCCGCATCCATGGTGAAACCAGGAGAACACTGGAAACTGACTGTGAAGTTGTAAATGAAATCATTGCCCAGCCTCACCCCGTTGGCTGGCACTCCAGGGTCACCACAGTTGATTACTGCAGAAACAAATACAGGATGAAGAAATAAGAATGAATGGAAATGGGTGAAACAAATCGACAATGAAGACAGACGTAGAGGAACACAAGGACAGAGATGTGGAGAGAGTTCATTTGGGTTCAAGCAAGAGAAGAAAATCGATGGAGGACTTGATAAAGTTCGGTATTTCATCACGTAGAGCCATGTTATTTGATGATTTAGTATGTTTCACATTTGGTTGTCCTTGGTAAGGCCGCAGGTCAATATCACACAGTTCACCTCACAAACAACATTTAACAATCTAAAAAGCAACATATTTGATGTGTTTTCACAGGTATTTAGCGCTTCATTCATTTATGCACAGCAATTTTTGGATGATATATTTATTCTGCTTAAAAACATCACTTACTATGTAACTAGTCTTCAATCACCATAACACGACAGTGTGACTTCATGTGTATTATCTGAATGAACTTTCCTTGCACTTCGATTATCTCCAGTTTAGAGCTTTTGGGGTGCAGAGAGACTACATCTTGTGAGGGGTATCCCTCTACAGTAGCTCCCTAAAGCTCCAAAACGAACCACATTTGTCTTTGATTATACTTTTACATGCTGCGGGGAAAACAGTGTGATTGCGTAACAACAGTAAGATTTGCACTGTTTGACTCAGCAGCATCATTGCTCAGCATCCGCTGTAAATGTCTAAGATAGAAACATCCAGGGCACAGAAGGACAACTTGCGCTAAGTTGCCATGGGACACAAAAGGAATTATTAACTGCATATGACCAACATTGCAGCGAAATTCCCAGTAGGGTGAGGAAACTGAGCTTTTTGAAGGTATAGTGTCTCCCCTTGACTGAGCAAGCACTTACACTTCCCACCGGGCTGGTAAGAGTGTGTCGTCTGCAGCCATAACGTATATCTAAGACTATGTACCCTATAACAATACCTACAGAACTTGCAATACAGTGAGATGATTTCTCCTCTTGTACAACGATATACTTAGATTGTCAACAGCCAACTATCCACTGCTTTGGTACATGATACTAAAGGTGTCATTTTTCTTTTTAACAAATGTAAATGTAAGTTACATTTAGTAATTTACAGCTAAAATGGAGAGGAGATTCCAGTAGCCACCTCGGTCAAATGAATCCCTTGAGCATACAGTACACAAGAAATCAGTAGAAATCATTCAACCAAAAATGGTCCTATTCACATATCCTTACCTCACTAAAGATGGTCTAACAAACTGCGTCAACATGTACCCCTTCACTCCTATGGATTACAGAGTTCTGAAATCCATCATGGTGCTGCTTAGGGTTTATCTTCTCCATTCAGGAGGAAGTGGTTCTCTTAGTGACCTCGTTTTGCCGGGGTCTCTTGGCTCTGTATAGCAGCTGTGTATCTTTTGTGAGACATGATGATAAAGGGCTGTCAGTCAGGCCTGTGCCATTTGAAGAGACCAGTCCTCAGACCATTGTCCTTAAAAGTGAATCATTCGTTACAAAGAAAACCTGCCGTTAGAAGCAATTGCACATCTTCCATGTTTTCCTGTTTTTCTTGCACAACATTAAATATCTTGCCTTCCCCTCCCCTACAAGATTTTGATATGTATTCTGCTGGTGTCAGAACTATTCACCATATTGCAAAGGGTAAACTACTGTTCAAGTCCAAATGAAAATGAGACACCAACAGCTAGACAACCTGTAAATGTGTATAAGCCAAGCCATCCATCCATTACCCATAACCGCTTATCCTACGGGCAATTTACAGTCATCTAAGCTGCATGTCTTTGGACCGTGGAAGCCAAAGAACCTGGAAGAAAACCCACGTCCAGTCCGGGATCAAACCTGGACCCCTCTTTGTGAGGCGACAGTGCTAGCCACGATAGCACCGTGCAGCCTCAACTAGAGCATGAATTTAATTAAAGTATGGACAAAAAGATAAGCACGAGAGATGCTCTTTCTCTGTCGGGGATGTTAATTACCAGAGCACTCAGGCATGTTGCCGGTCCAGGACCCGTTAACAGTGCAGTGTCGGGTAAGCATGCCGGTTGAGTAGTAGCCCTCTCTGCAAGTGTAAGTAATAGATCTGGAAAACGTTAGGCCATCGTGGATCAGGATCTGGGCATTACGTGGAGTTCCTGGGTTTCCACAGGAGATCACTGAAGACAAAAGAGAAAAAGAGAGGGCTCAGAGTTACCGTAGATTAGGTAATATTCATTTACGGACTAAATCCGGAGTGACCAGAGGAGAAAGTGTAAGTTAGTAATGAGTGTGTGGGGTGTTCCATGGGGAGAAAGGTGGGGGTTGAGGAGAGTGTTGGCAAGCATTTTTGGAAAAGTCTTCTCATTTGACTTTCATTTCTCCAACCTAAATGCGTAAAACTTCTGATTATATTTCTGTACCAAAACATAGTCGATGATAAAGTTGATACAAATCCTGTGTAAGTTCTATTCAGAGATCACTAAAAGGCAATCAACTGCCAACAGAAATATTTTGTATTTTCTGGAAATCAGAAAGATTTAGTTTCTGAAGAAATACCCTTTACCCATTGACTTTGACTTCATCCTGTTCTTCATGTGTATCTTAATTAAGACTTATTCAGTTGATTAAACAAAATACATGTAGATTGGTTTTCTAATCCATTCCTTTTATATTACTTCATGTGTCTGATATGCGTTCTTCACTCTGTTTATTTTCCCTGTTCCATCTGCTCTTCATCCGCCCACCTTACCACCACCCTCATCTTCTCCTGAGTCCTACTTCATAAGGAGCTCTGCCTTTGATTGACAGATCCTTTGCTCACAAAGTCCCTTGGTGTCTGTCCTGCCACCAGCGATGGTCCTGTTCATTACAGTTTCCAGCTTGCCCCGGGCCCTCTGAGCCCCATGGGCTTTGCCCTCCCTTAATGACCAGATGTGGCCTGGTCCTTGTAGTCTGTGCCAACCGAGAACAGGTGGGCAACCTCAGCTAGTGGGCATACCACACACCAGAGAGGGAATGAGACAGAGTGAGGCAAGGTAGAGAGGGGGTTGTGTGTGTGTGTGTCTGTGTGTGTGTGTGTCTGTGTGTGTGTGTGTGTGTGTGTGTGTGTGTGTGTAGGGGGTGTTAAGAGCACAAGTGAAAACAACCTGGCAGACAGGATGAAGCTTCTGAAAATAACAAGCTGTTTACCAGGATGAGGGAAGAAAAGGGGCTGTGAGTTCATGGAGAGTAAGAAAAACAACAGAAAAAACAAGAAATACATTATAACTCCAGATAGAACTTTCCAACTTGAAGGTGGAAAACTGCAACTGCCAGTTCATGGGTGGATTTATTATTTTAGTGAGTAAAACACTTGGACAAAACCTGCCACCTGTTCATGCAGTATCAAAAATGTAGGTTAAAAAACAAGCACTGAAATAACAAAACACAATATTAATATTTCATTTGAAACCCAATATGAAAGGAAAATGGACAATACACATGACAGGCAACGAATTAAATGTTGAAGCTGCAAGGATATTTTTGAAGCACACAAACCATACATGCTATTGAAAGTACTTGATCTGATAAAAAATATAAGCCATACAAATTCAAACTACTGTAAAGATATTGTCAGCAAAGATCACTTCTTTAGCTCATCCTTAACAGCCTCTTCCTATTTTACTCTTGCTACTGCATGCAAGATGTTTGACAGTAAAGAAGTGCACTCTTTCTTTCACCACTGTGTGTTGTTTCCTTGTCCAGTCTCAGCAATAATAATGGATAGCGTAGAGCCTTGAGACCCAGATCGATTGGACACACTCACTACACTTTAGGAGAATCTGCTTTTTCAGGTGTCAGCAGCAGACTGGATGCAATGTTGCACAAGGCCAAAAAAGATCAAAAGCCTTATAAGGTCTAATCAATAGAGAAAACATTCTCTGTTATTTCTCCCATTCTGTCTCGCTCAATCGCTTTTTGCAAACACACACAAAGCACATGCAAATGTGCAATGTGCCTTTTGTTCAATTTGCAAAGGCAGCAGCTAATTACACAATCACTGACTACAGTATAAATCTACAATCTACAAGATTAGAATGTGCAATTCAGTGGTGGGGTTTGTTTAGATCAGCTAGATCTGAAAAACCATACAAATGTGGAGATGATGACTTATACATATACTCATTAACAAAGTAACCACATTCTGAAACATTAACTAAGTTAACAATAAACTACAATTGAGGAATATCATTTGGGTGTCCATACAAAATCTATGCATACAAAGGTTTGATGAACAAATGCAGTGGGAGTAATTCATCTTCTGAGGAAAGGATGACAAAAGGGAGTGAGAAAAGGGATACACAAAAGAAAAGACAGCTTGGAAAAAAGTAGTTGTTCAGTGAACATTAAATTCAGCTTAAGTTACTGCACAATCACAACTCAACAGCTGGCCTGTTCTTTGTGTTACTACATGGTCAGACATTGTGTTCATTCATTACTGCTTAGAAGAAGTCTGTCAAACCATCCATCCATTCATTTTCCACCAGTTGTCCTGGTTTGGGTTGCAGAGTGGTAGCAATTTAATCAGCAGCCCACACATGACTTTCCCCAGCGATGTCCTCCAGCTCCTCATAATGAATCTCAAGGAGTTCCAAGGCCAGATGGGATATGTAATCCCTCCATAGTCTTCTGGGTCTGCTCTGGGGTCTCCAGTTGGACGTGTCCAGAATACTTCCACAGTACATAGGAGGGGAAGGCATCCCGATCAGATTTCTGAACAACTTCAACTGGCTGCTTTCAACGGAGAGGAGCAGCTGTTTCTTGATATCCAAGCTGCTCCCCCTGACCCTAAAGGGTTGTCGTATTTTGGTCACTACCCAAAGCTCAAAAAGCTCCCTTGCCACAAGTCAGACTTGGGACCTGAATCGACCGCTAAATTGAAAGACCTTAACGCTCAGCTTTCTCTTGGTGGGTGCCACACTAATCTGCATCTGTATTGATCTTTCCCTCACTTCACCAGACCCTAATATACACTTCTCTGTCTTGGAGGGGAAACTTTGTGATTCGGTCTATACAAAACATAAACAAGATGTTCAGATAGGCTGCTCACCCTATCACTAAACGGTTGTACTCTTTTGGTCACTACGCACAGGCTTTGTGAAATACAACACAGACTGTGAATGTACTTGACTTACCAGCAAGTATGCATACACAGCAAACAGCACAGGACAACACATGCAGATTAGAGGCAGAACTACCATTACCCCTCCAGTATCTGTGCGAGGGTAAAGGGATGAGAAGACAAGGTTGAAGTCATTATTCATCCTCCAGAAACAAAAATCTGACAATTGGCCAGATTCTCCTTCCAAGCACATTGGCATAAAACCTTCTGAGCAGTGTGATCCTGATTGTGAAACTGGGTTCCATCACCCCCATCTACCAGTCCATGTTTGCCAGTGAATAATAAATAAAATGCACACTTCAAGTACATAAGTGTATTCCTTACCATGACACTCAGGTTGGGTGCCGATCCAGGTCCCATTAGTTAGGCAAGTTCTCTCTGGAGAACCCTTCAGCGTATAGCCGGGCTCACAGTTAAAACGGACAGCAGTGCCGACTGTAAAATCTTCTCCCAGACGGATTCCATGCACGGGAATGCCTGGATCTCCGCACACCCCGGCTGCATCGCCTGGAACAATAAAAAAAACAACAAAAGATTCTGTGAAAAATGTAGCGAAAAAAAAGCTAATATTTTTGACAACTCATGTGGATACACAGATTAGAAATGTACTTTCTACATACAAATAATAATATTAATATTAATAATGATAATTGGATTAGGATTATAACACAGGCAAAATACCATTCTCCGACCACTCTAAGGAGTGATAAGCCTCCCAAATACACAAAGCTTCATTATATCCATTTGTTCAGCATGCATAAAATGTGCAATAAGATGTGATTTTTCATTCCATTGACGCAACACATGTTTTGCAATTTGCTTCATAATTCCATGTTCTCCATCCAAACAAACCGTTTAGTACTGCTGCGTGCTGCTCTCGCTTCTCATTTTACAAGGCGCTGGTCAATATCGCTTCAATAGTGCATAGCTAAGAACGTCTGGGAAATCATTATGAAAAGGCTGTGCTCATTGCCCGTTGAGAGAACACTAGCAATCCCCCGAATTTATATGAATGTCATGAATTGTGACATTAAACTGTCAGCATGCTGTTATATTGTCGGCTTGTAGGTCTGTGTGTGAGCTAGTTTGTGTGCTTCTGTGACTGTCTAAGTCTGTGTATGTTCCTGTCACATCTTTGTGAATGTGCTTGTATCGGTGTCTTTGTACACTTGCATCGGTGGACACCCCTGTGGCTTTCCTCAGGTGTATTAGAGATACCAGGAGCTCTGAGGCAAATCGCTGTATGGGGAGAGAGAGTATGGGGGCTGATGTCTTTATAGTGCTTCATAACCCAACTGAAGTGTGGGTGCCCCTGTTCCTCAGTGTAATATGAGCAGATTAAAACAGTTTTATAGAGGACAGTCTCTCTGCCCTTGGGGCCTATGGATCAGAGAGGCAGTTCCATCTTTGGTCCACCTACTTTGCTCATTGCCCGCTAACAGCTTCCTCCCCAAACACTTAAACTCCGTTGAGAGGTGATATGACATCTGAATAAAGCAAGTATTACAAGCAAGGAGCTAGAAAGAGGATGTGAAAAAGGGGCTACACCAGCACATACTTTCAAATATCAAAGATCGAATGTGCTGGTTCTTTCAGCTCAGGTTTGAAAGCTATCACAGAATTAGGCTGTTTTCAGTTCAATCTTTCCGAACTGTCAGACAGTCAATCTGAGTGTAGTTTCCCGTACCGGAGCAATGTGGTGGCGAGCTGCTCCACTGGCCGTCCAGCTGGCACATGCGCGTTGTGTTGCCGATGATGGTACGCTGGCCGATGCAGCTGTAGCGGATGACTGAGCCTACTGTCCGACGGTCGCCTGAGACCTGGGCGTAGGGAGGCATGCTGGGGCGGTCGCACAACACCACTGTCCAATCAGAGCAGAGAGATGATAGAAAGAGCCAATGAACAAGTGGAACTACTGCGAGGGCAATGGTGAAAAAGGGATAAATACACCACATATTGAAAAGATTGCCCGGATTAAGCAAAACCATACAGTGTAACAACACATTTTTTTGCTTTATGGATATTTATTTTGAATAACTGAGGAATGTACACAGTTTTACTGTCCTCTTCGTCAGTAAATCAAAATAATATGGAAATCATGCAGCGCCACCAACAACCAACCACTGAGGTACTCACACAGGCACTTGGGCAGGGAGCGGTCCCAGGTGCCGTCCCCCTGACAAGAGATGGAGCTGGTGCCCAGCAGGTAGTAGCCCGGGTTACAGCGGTACGACACAGTGGTCTGGAAGCTGTAGCGATGCGGCCCGCTGGGCAGTATCTGCCTAATGCTGTTCTCGACATGACCCGGCTCTGTGCAGTTCACAACTGTAGAAAGGGAAGCAGAGGGGGGGGGGTGGAGTAAAGGAACAAGAAAGAAAAATGCATCTTGTTTAAGCATTTAAGGCTCGATTTAAGAATATATTTAACCAGGGAATTATTACCTAATGTTCTTTGACGATTATATGTCAATTGTTCATGGCAAGAAAGACATGTGGCTAGGTTTTTTGTAATATTATTCTATATACTTTAATATAGTTATACAACAATCACGCACACAGGGAGCATTCCCATTTCAGAAGCAGAGTTTTTTTTTCTTTTGCTTTTACTCTCTCTGTCCATTCCTTTCCTCATCTACTACTTCCACTCATTCAGCATCCATCCATCCACCCCAATCCAAATGAAGTAGGAGGCAGACTCCGGAAATAAACATTTGCTTCATTAGAGCCAGTCTCCTGCTGGCCGCTGTGGTGCGGAGATGGTGATGGATGGGGAGCTCACAGGAGAAGAGGCACCATGTCAGTTTAGCACCAGATGGAGAGACTTAGGGAAGGGGAGAATGAGGGATGAGTGTGGAGCGAAAAGCATCGAGGGGGGGTTTGCTGAACAGAGTTGGAGAGGAAGAGGCCCTGATGGTGCAGAATGTATTAAAATTCATGACAGAATGTCAGGCTACGACTGCTACCAGCACCAATCCATCTTGAGAGCCTCAGATACAAGACACAAACCAAAACCTTACAATGCCACAACAAAGTCAGAATACAGTGAGTAGCAGTTGTTGTCTAGTCTGTACTGTGAACCACAACTAAGTATGTATTATGATGCCAAAACTCTAATTGCTTCTATAACCCTATCCATTCAGCCATTATGCCCCAGTTTGCCTTGCCAGTCTTGCCCCATGAGTGTGCCTTTGCCACTGCCAACATGAACCCATTGTATGCTAATGTGACTAAAAGCTTGCTCATTTTTATGCTCCCAAGTTGGCCCAAGCACAGCTACGTCACCCCCCCAAAAATCTATTATGATGTATTCCTTCCAGCAGAGTGCTGACCCATGGTACCGTCATTTACAACTTACCGCATAATAAAGTGTGTTTGAAGCAGTGGAGAGCACAAGACTTTCCAAGCTTGGAATTCAGCTTTGGTTAAATGTGCTCGGGCATCATAGGCTCAAAAGCGAACCAACATTTGGTGCATTTTCGTGTGTGGCCCAGTGGGCACGAAGAGAGGAAGCGAAAGGATGAAAGGAAAAGAAGAATAAAAGTGAACGAGGAAGATGGGCTAAGGTAATTCATCTATTTTCCTCTCAGAAGTGGAGACCCCAGTCAACCTATCCTCCTCCTGGCCTCCTTCCAAATACCGGCCCTGTAAGTGGTGTGTCAGAGTTTGTTTTTTTCTGTCCTGTGACTCTAGCTTTCTATCGCTGAAAGACAAATAAACAAACGAGTCATCCAAAGAAGGCAGTGTTGTGGCTCTGTTGCTGTGACTCAAATTGGTGGTAATTAGAGGGGGCTAGGAGACCGGCTGGGCTCCCTGCATAATTGATGGACCTATAGACTCGTGTAGTTAAAATCTGGATCGTGGAAATCATTACTTTGTCTGACCGACTCCTAACCCACCCTTACCTTTTTTCCTGCCTTCTGTATCTATCCACTACTATATCTCCCTCTAAAAGAAAAGCCGATGGTTCGGCTTAGCTGAGGAGCGATGGATGAAGTGGATGTCATCCCAGCATTTGTAATTTTCCACTCAGAGGAGGAACTACATGGCAGACAGGAGAGCGTGCCTCATCAAAAATGTCTAGAATGCAGTAATAAAGGTGATAAATCTGATTTACAAAAACACCCCTAAGCTTCTTATGTTTCCACATAAACGGTGAGGATAATGTGCCATCAAAACATACACCCACACCCCCCCTTACACACACAGCCTCACATAAGATGCATCTCAGAGTCGGCATTTGCATCAAAACAAGGCCAATGCTAATATGATGTCACAACCACAGCGGACAGATTTAATGCGTACATCTGCTTATGTATGCAGCAGCCAAATGTACCGTTCTCTTTTTTTTTTAACAAGTGAAGAAGGATTCCTGTGAGACTTGCAACCTCCTCATCCCTTCATGAATGTCTTAAAAACTCAGTTCTCTCATTTAAAACAACCTCATAACTCAATCCGTCACTGATTCTGTCACTGCCTTGTCACGTTCAGGGTCTGACCTTGCGAGCGGCCCCCTTTCTGTGCCTGTCACAAAGCCCTCAGTTAGTGGGGACTTAGAGACAGACGTGGGTGCCGAGATACATCGCTTGTCGCAAAAACACTGCCAAATTAAAAGTCCTTGTCTCGCTTCAAAGCAGAGCAGGGTACTTCTTATTCTGTGCGAAAGCCAGGATGCGGGTCTCATAAGGCTGCTGTCTTTCACTCAAGCTCAAGGATCCTGTGATTGTTTTTAGTTGTCTGCATGGTTATTAACCAGGTTTGCGTCACTGATAGACAGCCCAGCCTTAGGGTGTAACAGAGGTAGCTAGGGTAAGAGGAAATAACATCAAATGTAAATATTATCCGGAACCTCCACGGACCAAATGGTTGAGACCGTGGTAATTAAATAATCCAGGCTTCTCTTTGGCTTTTCATTTCAATTTCCCCTAATATGGGTCGTTTAAACTCTTTCTACCTCAGGGTGTCTCTGCGCTTCATCGCCGCTCTCTCAATGATTGGGGTCATCTACGGTCACATAACATATGACCTTGCACATTACAACAGGTAATTTAATACCTACCTACACAGATGGATAAGAACACAAAACCATAGCCCTACAGGCAAGTATATGGAAACGAGCACATGTTTAGAAAATGCCCTCACTCATACGAGGTATGAAAAAAGCCAATGACGGTGGTTTATTTAGCTCTCAAATTATACACATGGCATGATAAATATAAAAACAAACCAATGTGAGGGTTGCTATGCTACGCCTATACATTGCTTACCTAGCTGTGCTGTGATCATGCATTTAAACTTTTAGCTCGTACTTGTATATAAAGAGATGTATGCACATAAAGATTTTAGAATTACAAAAATGATTTGATAAATTGTTCTGTCTTATAAGTTATTTGTTTGTTCACAAGAATCTACAAAGATCAGGTGCATATATTTCATGTGTGCTGGTTCTTTACATTTATCCTTCCGTTTATTGGTATATGAGGTTTTCCAAAAGTCATACATACATTGACCGATGTGCTTTGGCATCTGTTTGACACTTACTTTTACACTTGGGGAGGGCGTTACTCCACTGCCCATTGGCCTGGCAGGTAGATTTGACAGCCCCCTGTAGAACATAGCCAGTGTTGCAGACAAAGCGCACAGCATCATTTAAGTTGAACTGGGTTCCCTGGGTCATACCGAAGGTAGGGTTACCAGGATGACCACACGTGATGGCTGTGAGAGTCCAAGCAGAAAGAAAATCATGGTAACACATTTGCTGAGCAGTTTAATAAAATCTAAAGGTTTGATATCAGATAAATGAACATGGAGGGCTTAGATTAGAAAAGCTAATGTCACAACAATAAAACTATGCGGACACAACACTGAGGGTCGAATTCACAATCCTCCGGCTTTTGCGGATGCTAAACCTGCACATAAAAAGACAACAAGAAACCTGTAATTCTTAAAGAACCTGCAAATGGTGAAATGCACGGCTAACTGCTCTGCCAAGAAAATAGCTTCTTGGTGGTCTTGTAATATGCGCATATTTAAATTATTTAATGTGCATTAATTTGGCTTTAAATAAACCTAATTTCAAAAACAGTTAAATTCACAATGATCAGCGCTAATATCCACATGCAGTTAATGTTATTCATCTTCAGAAAGTTGATGGTAGCCTAATTTAAGTGCATAAGAGGTCAGCTCAAAACCATATACAAATTTGTTTTGTTATGCCTTGTGACAGTTTCTATCTTTTGTGAATTGGACCTTGAGAGGGGGCAGATAGCGGTTGCAAGTGATGCGCAATTCATGCTGCTATCAGCAGCCGCAATCCATTCCTTGTGAATTCCCCCTTTAATGTAAATTAATGTAAAAGTAATGAGCTCTGAAGCCACAGGCCCCGCTGCAGCTGCACTGACAGCATGTCCCTATTTTTGCCACGGGCCTCTATTAAAATAATCGTGTCAATTGAGTTGTTCTATGGAGGAGTACAGTGTATCATTTTGGAATAATGGCGGCTTTTAGAGTGTATTTTGGTTGTCGGTATGGACCTGGTAAGAGCATCCCTAGCTTATAAATGTCTGCAGTCATTACAAAGTTATTGATAAGCACAATTAAGCCAAGAGTTGGAAACTTTGTTGTATTGTGATTTTGTTTTTCTTATATACGTAGCTATCTTAGCAGTGTTCCTCGTATGAAATATTAGAGTTAAGCCCTCCTCTGCTAATCTAAGTCTTTAACTATACACTATACCGCTCATAGCTTTACTCAAGTCACTGTTTTCTGTTGGCACTTACGGACACAGACAGGAGTATGTCCTGACCAGCGGTGATCCTGTTCACAGATTCGCACCGACACCCCAATGAGACGAAATCCTGGGTTACACTGGTACACAACGCTGCCTCGATAGTTATAATTCTCTCCATTTATCTGTCCATTCACGATGGGCTCTGGGGAGCCACAATGGCCAGCTATGGATGAGGGAAGAAGAAAAGAGTAACGGTCAGACATAAGTGTTTCTAAAAACTTTTGAAGCAAATTTCAAGACTTTATGAAGTTGTACTCATTTTTGGGTAATGAGGATTCTCACCTAGACACTGGACCTGTGTTCCACTCCAAAGCCCATTGGACATACACTCTCGTACCCGAGAGCCAACCAAGGTATATCCTGTGTTGCAGGAGAAAATGGCAGTGGCTCCATACACAGTCAGTGTTCCAATTTTGTTGCCATTTGGTGGAGTCCCAAGGTCCCCGCAGGAAATGACTGAATGAAGAAACAATATCATGTGTTACAATCCCATAGGTTCAAAATACAATCAACAAGAATACTAATTTATTTTGTTTGGAAAATGGTTTTGATTGGCTTTCAGTCATTTCGTTTTGGTTGGAAGATTAGCGCCTGTTTAATTATCACAGTGGAATAAAATACATTTGGATGCAATAACTATTTATGCTTTGGAAAATTACTTTTGAGGGAGTGAACTCAAGAAACTGGGAAAATTAGACCATGGGATTTGCAGTATACACTTACTCTCGCAGACTGGCCGTGGATCTGGGTAGTTCCAGGTGCTGTTGGCCTGGCAGCGAATGACCCTTTGACCCCTGTAGTAATATCCGGGGTCACATATGAGCATCATTATAGTGTCATATTGGTTCTGAGTACCATAGATCAGCCTCCATCTCCCATGTTCCACAGCAGAGTGGCCTATGTCAGGGCAGGTCACCGCTGGAAGGTCAGAGGATAAACAAACATTATTAAATTACATATTTATATGTGCTTGGTACCAGTTAACTGTCGGGAATATTTGGGAAAAGCTTAAATATGGCCAAGTTTTAAGAGTTTGTTCAATTGATAATACTGCAAAGAAATAAACTGACAGTAAGATAAATACTCACGAACACATCTGGGTGGGGCCTCAATGGGGCTCCACCTCCCAGATTCCTGACAGATCACTGAGGTGGTGACAGGCCCTGCGATCCGAAATCCGGGATTACACTGGTACGTGGCCCTGGCTCCTAAAGAGAAGTCCTGCCCCCCAATACTGCCATTGACCGGAGGCACTGGCATTCCACACGATGTGACTAGAAGGGAACGAGGGGTGTGGCGGAAAGGTAAGATAAAAAAAATGTGGTTGGTAGAATGAAATCACAGGTAGCAGAGTGTATTTTAATAACCATCTTTGCATGCAGAGTGTCTAGCTCACAATAGGCTTCCTGAACAAATACACTCCCAGAGCCGGCAATGATGTGCAGTAAACATTAGCTCAGGCTGCCATCTGCAAAATAGTAAACAACCAAGTCTAGAGAGAGCTCATGCAATTCATGTGGAGATTACACCTGGTACAGACTTGACCAGGCATTGAATGGCAGCCCTCCTGCTCCGTTTTCTCTTCAGCTGATACTAATAATAAATCTGGTTGGAAACTAGACTCTGGAAGTAGAGCTTTTAGATTTGATGCTTTTGTGATGGCATATAAAAGAAAATCTGAACACAAATAAATGGAGAATTTACTAAAATTAGGAATCAATAAAGATGGTTTAACAGCATCACAGCTTACTAAAATCTAGTAAAAATAAAACAATATAATAAAGTATAATAGCACAGTGACAAGCAGATAACTGTGACTATCAGACATATAAAACAATTTAATTCAGGTAAACTAAATATCATTAATCTGAGTCAAAGTTATCTTCAGAGTGAATCTGAGGGATGGTGAAGTGAGCTTCCTTGAAGCATGCCTGAGGCTGAGGGGCTGTTGGTGATGGCGCACTGTCAGCTGAAATCATACTTTTGATCCAAAGCAAACGGATCCAGTGATGTTTTATTTCAATCAACTTAAATCCGAACATCTGAACCTACAAAATACATTTGCAACAAAAAAAATGTTCTTTTGCTCAGCTTATTCAACGAATGTTAAAATCTTGTTTTCAGGTCTACTTCACTACTTTTGAGAAGTGGGACTAAATGCTGAATGAGCTCAGTCACAATGATAATGATATTGACGAAAAGCAAAATTCCTGGACAGCTGTTTTTTTTTATATCTGTCTAATTTATATTTAGAAAAAATAATCTAGTCTATCTAATCTGTTTTTCTTAACAACTTCCTTCTCTTCTCTTCCTTACTCGTGACCTGTTGCTATGATTGGGCCCTTACCTTGGCAAAGTGGCACCGGTGCATTCCACTGGTAGATCCCCTGTGCAGTCCGAGTGCATGTTGCGCTGCTCTGACCAATAAGCCGGAAGCCCAGGTCACAGCTGAAACGCAGGGTGCTGCCCAGTTTAGTGCCTGTAAGACTGTGCACTGTGCCATTTACAGGGTTGTTGTGAGGGCTACAGTAGGCCACTATGAAAAAAGAAAAGAAAAAGGTAAAGATATAAATATGCATACCGATAAAATTGAGTGCAACAGGCATAAAATCCCAAAAATGATGCAAGATGATGCAAGTTTTTATTGAGGTGGAGAAGGATTAATGCGCCTTCAATGGCACAGAGCCCCCGATCTCTTTTGCATCCGTCTTCCATGCCTGACGTGGTAAAGGAGGATGTATTAATATAAGTGCTACATAAGTCTGCAGAGTGAAGAAAAATTGATTAAAGGAAACTAATGTTCTGCAAAGCAAAACAGGACTTTGTCAGCGGCAGCAGAGAAGGATCATAAAAGTGATAGATACATAATAACAGGAACAAAGTATCTGTTTTTATTTGTAGACTAAATTGGTGGCTGCAATAATCATGTGGAGTATCATCCCAAATGCCAGCAACAGATCCCATAAATTGCATTTTGCAGATCTCACAATAACATGACATCAATACACACAAACAGTCCTGAACAAGAACACACATTGTGAAAACATAAAAAAAATATTGAAGAGATATATATATATGATGCAACAGAACATGGCTATGAGACTCAGACAATTGTGCTCATTGTGGGGAGAGATTAAAATAGATGTGGACCATGGACACAAAAGAACGTATTATCCATTATTACCCTTGATCACTATGACCACATTACACACTATAAAAATAATGAAAATGGCCTCTCTTTAAAGTCAGCGGGAATATTTAGCGCTATGCAATCAGACAATACTCCTTTACAGTGTAAAAACTTAAAGCCATGTCAGCGTTGTCATATTTATTCAGCATTTACGAGATGTTAGATGATACACAGTTAGTGCCCTTCAAACTTTGGACATCTTGTCAAGTATAGCATTCAAGTTTGAAACACTTCACAATCATCAAAGGATAAAATCTCAATTATGCCCTCACAAAGGTAAGGAATAGAACACCCACAAACCCACTGCTTAAATGCAATCATATTGAAAACGCCACCTGAGCTAATCCATTTTCCTTGGCAAGGCCTCCTCCTGTCAGTCACTGTGACTGGCAGCTTCCGAGCCACCCTTGAGTTCAATTCTTCACTTCTATCTGTGTCTAACTCATTTGCCGCTCTCTCTGCGTTCCTCGCTCCTTCCCTCCTCTCTCTGCCTATTATAGTATACAGCTTGTCTCACTGCAATCAGCCCTGCAGCTCAGAGGAATAAGATCTACATCGGCAGGTGACTGGCTTGGAATAGATAATCGAGAGGAGGAGAAAGAGGGAGGGAGGGGGTTGGTGATACAGAAAAAGACATATGAGCATAAGGAAGATAGCGAGGAAGATGGTGACAGAGTCAGGCAGATTGTAGGTTGATTGAAGATTGGAAAAGATGAACTAAATGATGTGATGGAGGCACAGTGAGGGAAGCTACGGACGGAGAGAAGGAAAAGAAAACTAAGATGGTGCCTTGCTGGAGGAGATGTCTGCAAGTTGGTTGATGGAAGACCGGCCCGTGGAGATAAAAAGATGGATTGATGAAAGACACAGCCGAATACATGAATCTGCCTGTGCCATCTGTTTCTTTCTCCCGACCAAGGTAGTACAGAAGGCAACTCCATATTGACCACGGCAACTTGAGAGTTCTCAGCCATCACTTAGTCCGTCTGTCATTTAGTCTGCTATGGCAAAATCCATCATGGCAAAGAGGGGGGAAAAAAGGGGCAGAGAAACGACAGAACATCCGGTTGGGGAGACAGAGCTCCACTGAGAGGAGAGAGAGACGATTAGTCAATCTGGCTGAGTAGTGCTGATACAGAACGGAGGGAGCCTTTTAAATATTTACACAGTCATAATTCAGAGCAAGATATGCAGGTGTCGTGTACCAACAGATCTTTCTCGGGAGCAGGACAGTACAGAAGAATAATAAGCAATACAAAAAAAAAAACAGCGTTTACTAATTCCCAGGCCTGTGCTGCAGAGCAAGGAGTGCTGCAGATGCCTGCCGCCCCCGGTAGGTTGTCATGGAGATGGGTCTTATTCCTAGCAATTTCAGCTGCAGTTGGCAGCAACATTGCAGGTCTTGTTGGCATAGTAAACCAAAGGCAACTCTGATGAGATCTAACACACAACAATGTCCAGAAGAAACAATGTTCTTCTGATAATCCATTCTAAATGGACATTTGTATATAAAAAAAGTCTATAACTTCAGGCTGGCGTGTGACTTGTCTTGACTCACCTGAGTAGCGTATGCGAAAGCCTTTGTGGCTGGTGGTGTGATCAAAGGACCAGTGCAGGTAGACTTTGTTACTGGAGCTGGTGATGCTCAGTGGGTTAGAATAGTTACCACTGAGGGTAATCAGAAGAGGGCTCTGTCGTGATGGACCTGGATTGAGAGAGAGAAAAAGAGAAAAAAGATTTAATTTTGAGTGTCGCATTAACTATTTGCAGAAGAATAAGAGCGCTAATACTTTCATATAAAACACCACTGTTCCTGCGTCTTCAAAAGCATGCATTGTGTTCCATCATAGACACACTTGAAATCCGAAACAGTAATTTAAATTGCATTTTCCTTGTAAATGTAAATTGATAGAAATTCTCATTTGGTACGGATTGATTTTTTTAAAGTCTGTATTTTGATATAGTTTTTCCAGATCATGTCTTTTGAGGTATTGCACATTTTGTTACACTTGTGATAAAAATCAAAAGTTGCTCAGCCTAATTATGGGAAAACAAAGATTTATTTCCATAATTGGCTTGGCAACCCCAAGGTTAGCAACCGTCTGTTCCCCTCCACTCAGCAGAAGATAAAAAGCACTAAACAGGAACACTAGTGTGTACGACCCCCGTTTTCTCAAGGCAGACTGGCAGAGTTGCTGTCTGTGCCTGCGATCAGATTAAAATGTACAATGGAGATGTAGATGTTCTGACCCCATCAAAGGGAGACTGTGTTAGTAGATGCAGAGTTTTGTAAGGGGCAGTAAATTCATCTGTCCGGCTCATTTTAGCCTTTAATTGTGGATATTAGTGCAAATGAGTCTTTGGCCAAGGGAATGTGGTGGGCATCACCCAGAACAGGACTAAAATGATAACAGGATAAATAAAAGATCAAAATAAGCATAATGCTGCTCACTAAATGACAGGATACTGTACTGTGTATGTTGGTACACGTGTGTTCACTCACCATCAAAGATCTCAAGCTCATCAAACTGACGGCTGGTCTGGAACTGTTCTATCGTGAAGGTGATATTGTAGCCAGGTTCTACTTTGACCACCCAGGAGCAGGACTCAAAATGGGGGAAACCGTTGCCTGGTGACTGGCTCATGATGACACCTGTGGAAGCTGTCAGTACCTCATTCATGGGACAAGTCACTGTTGAGAGAAATAAAAGGCAGAGATATAAACAAACCATTATTCTTGTAATTCAAATTCAATTTTTTTTTTTTTGTTGACTGTTCTCTGTTGTTTTTTTTTTCAAGAATGCAAGTAACTTATCATGGTTGCTCATTGTTTTTAGTGAATCCAATTTACCTTGAAGCACAGATTGGATTGGTTAGACCCATGTTGTTGTTGGAGGGCAACTCAATGTGACTAAAAGCACATCTAAGCTAACTGTCATCCTGGTCCTGCTGCTGCCTCAGCAAACAAAGCTGTCCATGCTGTCAGTCCAAGAAACGGCCTATACGTTATGTAATGTTACTGACTTGCCACGGGCATATTCCCTCCTCTTTGCTCATTGTCAGTATGTGACAGATGTAATGCTAACTTAACGCTCACATCTGCCTGGAAGACCCATTGCTGTGGCAGGTCTGGGCGGACCACATCCATCCGCTCTTCTAATTTCCCCCCTGCCATTGGTATTCTTAATGGACATCTCAATGACATCCTTTGACATTTCCAAGTGGTTTCAATCATTATATGGCACTCCTGTCTGTTGCGTTTTTGCTGTGGTGCTGTAATCTGCCAGAGCTGTCTGCACACACAGTGCAACCCCCCAAAAAACGGACTGTAACATGACAAGAAGCCAATGCTGGAACGATGTCACAATGCAACCGCCCCATAGTTATGTTTCCCTTCCTGTTGTTTTTGCGGCTCACCTGATAGGGCTGAGTGCTGAAGAAGGGGACTGTGAATTAACTCTTTCTACTTTGGCATACATAATGGAATTAACTGATTTAACACTGAAAGCAGTTTGATAAGAGCTCTACAATTAACAAAAGACCATTTCAGAAAAAAACTAAAAACATACATTGCGCTTGTTAAACAGCAGCCAGAGGCTTTCCTTACATCCATAGCAGAAATAACAAAACACATAACAAGATGCTGCAAATGTGATTAAAAACCACTTCAAAGGGCACGTGATCAGGTGTTTTTTTGCAAGACATATTTTGTGTGTGTGTTTATCAACCAAGTGCAGCAGAATATCTAGCCCGGGGGTGTAAATGCCCCTGTTGTTTGCCACAATTTGAATACTTGAGCCTGTTCTGCCTCAGGGTAAGACAGCACTTGGCACTTGCAGGTCCTTCATTACAGTAGTGAAATAATGAATGCTCCGAATCACATTCTAGCAGCGCCTCCTTTGTGGGACAATGTGTAAACTTGTTTTTGTGTACGTGGTTGGGCTGTGTGTTTCTGTCAATGCACCGTCGTGTGTGTGTGTGTGTGTGTGGGTGTTTCTTGGCTTGTTCAACCTCCTCTCTAACCTCCTCTCTCTGTGTGTTCATAGGGGAAGAGATTATTAAATTTGCAGGAAAAACATTCTGGCAGACAGCCTGGGTTAAACAGCATTTGTAAATAATCCTTAGCATTTTTTAAATTCTGCTTGGCGCATCAACTAGGTGGGATTTATTGCCTCAGGAAATGTCAGATAATGTCAGGTAAGCTGTCACTCTCAGGCAAGGCATGTTAAAATAAAGCAGGTTCCAGTCAAACTTTTTTTTGCCTTTCATTATATTAGCAGCAAATCCCAATAAAATATAGCTACAAGTAGGACAAAATATACTGTATATATATATATATATCTGCAGATGTTTACCTTAGGTCAAGAATCAGTATTAGTGGTTATGCCTTTATTGAATAGTTAACAGTATATCAATCAATGAGAGGAGAGAAAGATGGGGAATGACATGCAACGAAGGTCTTCAACTGGGATCAAACCCCTCCACCACCGGGGTGTTTCTCAGCAACATATAGTGATTCTATTTAAATTAAGCTAAAGTAGCTGTTGTCAAAACAATAAAGGGACATTTTGCAAATTGGTATGAGAGTAAAATTGCCGTTTGAGAGCAACATCTCAGCCAATACAATTCCTTCATGTACAACGGTACACACTGCAATAATAGTGCCGTCATGTTGTATAATGTAGTCAGAAATCTATGAAGTTCTCTGAGCATCTAACTTTGAAAGCAGAAGGAGAAGTAATCTACTTTCATCCCAAATTCCAGAAAGACAGTTCACCAAGTCTCTGAAATCATTTACAACATCAAGCACTTCAGTGGACGTGAGTCAAAAAAGCTTGAATCCATCATTGATAGTGAAACCGATTGTGCCGGGAAGTAGCATATACAATGCTAGTGAAGTTCTTTAAACAATCAATTCTCTGAGGATGAGATGTGTGTTGTCAGTGACCTTTCAGAAAGCTCCAACGTGTCTTCAAAACTGCCTTCAGCTTGTCTTGGAGCTGATGGAGAGAGACAGTCAGGGGCTCTTATCTATAGCTGCAACTTATTGAAACTAATCTACTTTGAAATGAAGCATTACTCTGTGTGGTTGTAAACAAAAGGGTAATAGGGGACAAATCTGACAGCTGGAAAAAGGCAGCAACACAAAAGGTGAGATCAACATTGATAGGGCTCAAAATGAAATTTCACTTTAATGAGACAAGGAATGGAATAAGCCGGTAGCAGGAACAGCAATCTGTGAGGCATCCCTTCTGTCTGTGTATAAATTGTTCATAGTATGCAACAGCCCCCCAATAAAAAAATGCCGTGGGAAGGCTTCCGTGCAGACAAGCACAGATGTGCATCTGCATCCATACTTGAACATTTGTGCACTCCAGTATGAAAGTGTGGACGCGCATAAATCCGCAATACATCAAGCTTGAAGTGCTGCGGTGCTGTTGAGATGTCTTTACTCATGTTGGTATTTAATTAGCATAAGCTGAAGAGCAATAACAAGCTGATTGAAGGGGATGGGCCACAACATAAGCATTAGCGTGGATCAGGCCCTAACAACTCTGGGAAGTCAGGGATGACAATGACGATGTGGGGAAAAAAAGGGGCAGCTGTAATCCATTCTGTAGGACTAAAAGAAGGGGGCTAGGGCAAAAAAATAATCTGGGGAACAAAAGGCGAGGCGAGGGAGGCGAAGGGACCGAGTGGGATGAAGAAAGCGAGCTAGCTGTGAATCTAATGTGATGAGTGATTATGCAGGTTTTAACCAGACATCTGTCTGGGGGATAAACACAGGGATTTGGGATCATCAGAGCTCATTGTGTTTCAATAAGGAATTCAAGCAACACTTTGTACTGATGCGGTTGCACTGTGTGTGTGTGTGTGTGTGTGTGTGTGTGTGTGTGTGTGTGTGTGTGTGTGTGTGATGCTGGAACTCCCCGTGGTCGCAGAGCGCAAATGTAGTTAAGGGCTGAGGGTCCAATGCAACCCAGTTTAATCAAACAGCAGGGAAATCAAATAATGCACAAATCAACTGGTTGCTCCAATGGCAGGAAACACATGACAGGCTAAACCCATTTGCCATCTTGACTGACAATAATTCTCTGGATTAAATAATGAAAAAAAAACAAGAGTGGTGACTTTTATCTATTGGCCTGTTTGTCAGTGTTGGGAGAAAGAAAGAAGGCAGATCTGGGTATTGATCGACACCTGCGGGTAAACATATGTAAATACCTTGCACTGTGTTCTGATTTGAACCAGCACCACAGATTAAAAAATAAGTAAAAGAACAGAGAATAAAGGGCATAATGTGTTACATAAGAACAGAAGTCTGACGCTAGTGAATCAGAGGAGAGAAGTGGCGAGTGAGGGAGGAGGGAGTGCAGACGGAGGGAATGCAGAGGATGAGAGAGGATACGGGCGCTGAGGGGCAAGCAACACTGCAAAACCGCATGTGGGCTCCAGTGCTGCTCTCTGGCTTCACAATGACAACATCCACTGCTGTGGAACCCAGACACATGCCAGACCAGTGTGTATGTTTATACAGTATATGTATACGAGTGTGTGATTTGTGCAATTTGAAAGTGTATGTGTGTTGTGGGGTGGGGGCAGCGAGACGTGCACACGGGGGGGGGGCTTGTCAGAGCTAGAAGTGGTGATTTGATAGGTGCAGCTGCAGCCGACATGTCCTCTGCATTTCAATGAGCTGTGCTTCGTCTCTTTGCTGCCCTCCAACTAAGTCACTCTGTGTCTCGCCTCGCTTTTTAACTCCTGTCCTACTCTCACTTACTCGTCATCCCTCTCTGCTCATTTAGCAGTCTCTCCTCTATTTTTCCAAACAGATTTAATTTGTTTTCCTTCAGAATTCTGCTTATTCAGAGTAATTTCAACTGTCTTCTCAACTGTCTTCCAGAGTAATCTCTCTTCCTACCCTATGCTCTTCTCTCCCCAACCAATCTTCTTACTTTCCTCCCTGCTCTCAACTTCCTCTCACTCTACCCTGCACTGCCTCAGCTTCTGCTATCTGTGGCTCTCCTCTCCATCAACCGGGTCTGTCTATGCAGGCAACGTGACAGCTTGCACGAAGACTGAATATGGTGAAACTGTTGGTCCCCGAGTATAACTGTCTCTCAGCATAAGGTGAAAAATGAACGGGCCACATAAAACAAGAACATACAGTAAGCACATAGTCACGGCTGCAGATGTCTGCGAGTGCAGTGAAAAGTTAGCTGGAAAAAGGCAGAACTTCATCGACGAAAAAAGAAATGCACTCACAAAGGATTTTTCTTACTTGCTATTTTCCTCACTTGCACCTCTGTATCCTGGGTTCCACGTCTTTAAAATCAGCGCAAAGTCTTCCCCTTTCATTGCCCTCTTTCTTTTACCAACTCTTCTTCCCTTTTCACCTCATGCTGAGAGTATTTGCATATTTTTCCTATTTAGCACTCTAAATTAGTTGCATTTATCAAACTCCACTTACTCTCCCATGTCCACCACTTAACCCACAAAACAGAGTGAGCCACAAACAAGGACAATGACAGAGGATAAAAAACATTTTTTTATTTTAAAGAAAGTGATAGAATGAAGGATATATGCTTTTATGATATTATGTGGCTGAGAAAAAACAAGAGGGACCACTCTCTGCACCCAGTCTCTTGCCCAGAGCTAAAGTATTGCACACAACATACAGTGCTATGATGATATGGTGTGCTGGGAACACTGCGCTCATTGATTCCTCTGGGAGGACAATATCTCAGCATGTAGAGGGCACCACAACAGCCACCCTCAGCCTCATGGGAGCCAAGTATCATCCACAGAGATGGAAAGTGCTACCAAACTGATATGCAGCTGCGGCTCCATGACTGCAGGCAGAAAGTGTACCCACGGGAGCCAGAAATAAAGGCAAAACTCAAACTAGACCATGAGTCTATGATTAGAGTGAAATGATCATGGCTAGCCCTGCTGAAAGTAAACTCACAGAGGATGCCTTGGCAGAGGAAGAGAGTGTTTCAATTGTGTTGGGATACATTTGTGTAACACAATGACTTATCATGTAGTCAATATGAAGTGTCTTCATATGTAGTATAGAGAAAATGTAGCTAAAGAATGCATGTACAGCACATCATTTACCAGCTGCACCTATTGTTTCTACGCTGGTGCATTGCACTGCTGGTGTGATTTGGACTTTTAGAGATCCTCGCTTGTATGAGTATAGTGTCCTCTGTGTTAGCTGCTATTTGATCAGCTGATATACATTTGTTTTGAGATAATGCATACATAAAGACACACTGTATTGCACCAGCAAGTGGACAAAAACTTCAGTAATCATCAGCATTCAGTCACGTATCAAAGAGGCCTATAACTAAACACAAAGACATGTCTGAACCCTTTCACAGTATTTTTATAGTCCATAGAATTATAGGGAGTTAAAAGAAAAGGAGCAGGATGAGAAAAACACACTAAATGCAGCTAAGAGGGAAAGCGTTATCAAGATGTGAAAAAGGAGAACTCATGAGTGCAAGGTCGTAGGTTTGATCCATGGACCTGCAGGATAAATATTGGCAGGGACAGTGAAAGAGCAGCGCTTGCCTCTCCATCCCTCCCCCAAGGTGCTCTCGAGCAAGGTCCTTAAAGGAGGAAGGCAGTGAGAGCAAGCGGTATGGTAAATCCGGAGGGGGTTATTCTTTGGGGTGTTGAGTTCAAATATCAACAATCTCCGTCCAGAATCGCTGACTCCACCTTTAACCAACGGTTCAAGTGAAGTTGCTCGGTGGCCAACCGTGTGAGTGTATATATGGCCTTACTGAAAAAGAGTTTTCAAGCCTAGTGCATTCACTTACCATCACATGAGGGTGGAGGCCCCTCGAACTCCAAGTGTGTCCCCAACCGGCAGGTCATGATGCTGTTTCCACTTAACTGGTAGCCTGGAAGACATCGGTAGCGCACTATGTCACCTGAACAGAGAGAGATGGGGGGGAGGGAGAGGTACAGTTAATGAGGGATCAGAGATGGTGGCAAGAATCCAGGCTAAGATGTCTTCATACACCAACCAGGGCTCCTTAGTCACAATACAGAAGTAATCATGATCCATTGTGTGTCTCAGTAAAAGCAAAAGTTAACAGTGAAAAAAACGTACCATAATATATCCTCACTGGGGATCCTATAGATGAACCACTATGTCAGTGTTGCTTCCTTTGTGTCTTTGAATAATAATGCAGCAAGGAGGTATGCAAATAAACAGATAAGGATAATTAATCTCTATTGTCTTCTACAGGGGAGAATGAGAGCACCTTCCTCATGTCCCTCTGGCTTTCTGATTATTTTGTCATAATCATTCATTTAGAATGCTGCCTCAAAATCCTCCGGGTTTTGTTGTTCGGGTTGAGTCTGCATTCAGTACAATTGCCTTATGGGATATGTAGTCAGTATAGGAGTCAGTAAACCTGGGGCAGTGTAAACTGTCATAGTCAAAATGTGAACTGACAGTGGGAATAACTATTATAAAGTCACGACGGGATCGACATCCAATACAAAACAGTCAGGAGTGCCTAGATAGCAGTGATTGCAGGTGGCTGCATGTGGATGAATATGCCTTTTAGTGACAGCGTCTCCACCTACCGATTTTAAACTCTTTGCTTGCCATCAGGATCTCTGCGTTAGGAATGATGGGGGGCGGCAGGCAGAACTGCAGTCTGTAGGCTGTATTGAGAGTATCAAAGACATGAAAGGAGTCAAACACAGAACGTGCAAAGATGTCTAGTAGAAGTAATGATCGGGGCAGGAGAGTAATTTACATACCTTGATAGTTGATGCGGAATAGTCCACCCTTATCTGTGTTGCTGCGGAAACGTATCAGCACCTGATTGGATGTGCTACTGGGCGGGTCATTCGGCTCTCCATCAGTGAACACTCCCAGTTTCCTGGCTGTCTCCTGTGGACCATCCCTAAAAGAAAAGAAGAAAAGAAAAAGGTCACAGGTCAACTCAAACTTCAACTGGAGCAATTCACTGGAGTAAAGTGATGATAATTAACGATGAGGATATTCTGTCAGCAGCCTCTGCTCAAATGCTCACACGGTCTAGAACCATAAAGTACCTTGAGTCTCTGTGACGCATATCTGTGAGAAAAACCAAACAAAGCCACATGCCATATTATTGTCAAGCAGCTTCCAGCAGCAGAGTATAACCAAGCTGCGCTCACTTCGTCATACCCGAGGCAATTACTCTGGGCTGCTCTGTGTGATTATGTTGAAATAAGGTAAGAATTACAGATGAGCGTGAAATGACAGGTCTGGATTGCGCTGTTCCTGCTAACTGCCATCCAATGGGAGTGTCTCTGGAAGCTGCAGCCCAGCCTTGGCAGTCCCCTGGCGTGGGCATGGCCGATTAAGCCAGCTCCCAGATTCCTGCCACAACCATTCAGCTTAAAAACCATCTGTCTTTGGCTGTCAGACTGGGCATGGGAGATTACAAGCAGCTCTGGAAACGGCTGGCTAGGGACTGCTGCCTGACAGCCCTCTGGCCAAGCCGCCATTACGGGGCCCATTTCCTTGGCTCAGTAGTTCAGTGGATAGATACACAGCGGTAGTAACTGGAAACTGGGGAACATGATAGTCCCCATTTTGGCTCTGCATGAACTTGTTGGGAAAGATCAGGACAGTGGGGGCCGTTTACAGAAGATCAACAATACGCTAAAAGTGGACATTTTGGCTCACTTTAGCCATGTATACCTACTGACATAAACTCCCCATGCACTGAAAAAAAATCTTCACACAAATTTCTAGAAGCAGCCCAAGGCATTACACATAGATGTCACCCCACGCCATGTGGACTTCTCATGTGGTCGTCAAGTTGCCAGGTTGACTGGCAGTCAGATCTCCGGTCTCACTGAGAGTTGGGACCTTTGGAGCTTGTCTCAGGGAGAGGGGATCAACTGGGACTGGCAACCGCCATGCATGCAAAATCCTGTCGTTGGTCGCACATATGGCAGGCCCAGCCGCGCATTATGGAGATGATGAAAGGAAGCTTTACCCCCTTGATACTCGGTCAGGCAAATAGACACACACCTACTACATACCTGTTCTAACACAAAAACCAACATTTCAAAGTATATTACAGTATGTCATAAAATGTAGTATACACATATCTGTAGCCCCTGGCAGCAGTCATTTCTTACCAGACAGTGATAAAATCGTGTGGCCCATGAACCTGAAGAAGAGTGAAGTTGATTTTGATGCCGAAGCCGTGAGCCACAGTGATCAGCCAGGAGCAGTCAGCTGAGCTAGGGTACTCCTCTGGGTAACCTGGGGAGAAGATGGTCCCATTGTCCAATGTGATGTTCCCACCGCAAGGCACTGAGGAAGGGAGAAAGGGAGGCAGAGTATATATATATCAGCGGGCCAAGAATACAACAGGACACATCCATAATTCAGCCGCAATCGGTTGAAAAAGGGGATTTTTCATCCCCTGCTTCTTCTGCTTCGCTTCTCAGTTTCCCCCCCCCCCCTCTCCTTTACTCTTCGTCTAGTGCCCAGGCGCTTGTCTGAGCTAAAGATTAGCCGGTAAAGCCTGTTAGCAAGTGGGGACTTGGATGGAGTGTTTTGCTCAGATAAGGCCTCAACCCTTTCCCACTGGGGTGAACAGAGAGAGTGTGGATATGAGGCGAGGGGTTGGTGTGGACTGGGCCTTTAAGATTGTGTGTATACAGTTAGTGTATGAGAAGTGGATATCTGTGTATGAGTTTGAGTGACAGGAAAGGTTAAAACAGCATGTTTATGTCAGAGCTGACGACACTATAGAACCCCACAAGTCCACACATGGCTGACATCCTGAGGTAAAAAAATACCCTGCAAGCCTGACAAATACAGTAACACTCACTCTCACACACACAGACACACACAAACTACCCTGCACCCAGCATCCAATCTGCATGCATAGAAATTGTAACTATATTTCAAACATTCCTCAGGAACTCAGGAGGCTCTAACCAACTTAACGATTACGAAGCTTAACATTCCCGCTGGTGCCCTTGGAGAAACCCCATGTTCACTGTGGCGAAGCATGAGAAATCAGGAAGGAGTGGTAATCGCAGAAGTGCAGGCATCTTAAGCAACCCAGACGAGTATTTAGCTTAACGGCACACCCGTCGATGGCTATGGGCATATGATCTTTCCCAATGCAGAGATTGCATGTTGTATCCTTCTGTTTCTGTGTCAGGTTATGTGTGTGTTCATGTTATATAGCCGTCTGCTTTAGCCCTGTGACCCCTGTGTTGCCGGCTCACCTGTTAAATAAACCTTGGACACTATGGAGTTGTTCATATGGCTGACAACATCAACAGGCAAGCTACATAAACCTGCGAATATCATATGTCGATGGCTTTTATTGTGAAAGATGATAACAGAAGAAGTGGATCTGGTCTGAGCTGCCTTTGTCATGGTTGAATGGAGTAATAAAGTTTGCTTTCCTGGCTCGGGCTACAGAACATCCACGTAATAAATATAGGCGCAACTCATCCTGCTTCACATATGTGATGCCTTTATTCGCTGTACAAAAGCCCTGGAGAAAAAAATCGCCTTTGTTCTGAAAAACAATTACATCCCTTTTTTGCCGTGTAATATCCACGTTTTGTGTGAAAGTATTTCTGAAAAAAAACAATGGTTCAAAAAAAGATATGGACGTGTGGAAAAAAATTGTAAAGGCTTTAAACAAGTGTCTGTTTGCTTGGCTGCATGTGAGAAAATTACAATGATTCATTCTGGTAAAATTTGACTTTTCACATTTTCAACTCTCTCTTTATCAGTTTATTTAAAACTTGCTTTGGTCAGAGATAAGAATAATTAAAATAATGTATGGAAGAGATGAGCGAAGGTTAAGTGTAGAGAGAAATAGAAACAGCCCAAAAAAGGAAGGGTACAGTGATATCACTTTATAGTAAGAACATTGTATTCTGATAATGCCAAGACGAGTACGTGAGTGGAGGCCACGTAACAAAAATCAATGTCTCTCATCACTCTCAGAGAAAATCTGTGCAAATACTGCAGTGACAGTGAGTGTGAAGAGCAGGCTGTACTGGGTCAAATAAAGATGTAACAGCATGGTTTGCTGCCATGTAATAACAGCTATGCATGTGAGCTGAGAGGAGATCAGCTAAATATTATCTTGTCAATTTGCTGTCCGAAATCACTATCTTTCCGTAAATGGGTAAACTCGCTACCAACCGACCAAACTTTTCATACTATCGCATATGCATCGGATTGAGAGTTAACGATGTAACTACGATTCTCTGAGTGACCACCAGAGGCAGCGCTTTAACACTGAATATCTTCTGTCTCGAGAACGTGCATGTCGGTATTTATATCAAAAAAGTCACCTTGGATGACTTATAATAAGTAGAGTATAATAAGATGAGTATTTTCCCGATTAAGATGACGCAGAAAAACCTGGCAGGAGGATAGGAGATATTTGCTGAAGTAGACAAAAAGTGGAGGCCAATTGGATTAGAATTGCAGACTTCAACTTCGATGTTGATGCATAATGAATAATGTGGGATTACTACTCCTTAGTTCATGGGCTATTTGGGATATTTTGGGGTAAAGTCAAATGTTAAGTAAATAATCACACAAGCGTATGTATGTGGGCCTAGTCCTTTGCGTCCTTTTACATCCCTCAGACACACACACAGGTATCATTTTCTTGGATAATCATTTTTCAGCTTTAAACGTCATGTGAATATTGAAGATGCCTATAAAAAACAAAATTGCTATGAAAGAATACACTTCCTCCTGTTCCCTCTTCATTTTCCCTCTGTTGCTCCCCATCTCACTTACATTTATCTCCCTGCTTGCCCATTCAGAGTTCCAGTGTCACGGCCATCACCTCCCTGTGTAATTTTGCCAGCCTTATTGAATAATCGACAGCTAGAGCGTGAGAATGTGGGTGAAGGACGAGGCAAAAGAAAGAGCACCCATTACTTTTCTTTTCAATTCAGGCCCTCTGTTATTCCTCCTTTGTTTGCCTCCAGTGGTCTTTAGCACAGTTTTGATTCTCATTGAAGAATACTTTGCTTCATTAATGGTGGATAATAATTCACTATAATTGAATTATTCATAATAGATAATCATTATCTCCATAGCCCCACTTCGCACTAATGATGCTCAATAGCTCACTACATTCTAAACAGGAAGTCATGTTCTTACTTGCAGTGTAGTCGGGCCACTTGTTTGGAAGACTACTTAGTGGTCGGACTACTCAACGTGTTAATATGACGTAGTGTTTGGATATTAATATGACAAATCTCACAACCCCTACCTTCGCAGCGAGGGAAAGGGTGATCCCAATTGCGCGTGGTGCCGTGCTCACAGGTTAGGATGGCATGTCCCATTAGCTGATACCCAGGCAGACACTCAAAGGAAATAGACTGGCCCACATTGTAGCCAGCACCCACCACCACTCCGTAACGGAAAGGCTCTGGATCGAGGCACTCCTGTAGCTCATAAGCTGAGGGAGAGAACATCATGTACATCAGTCTATTTAAATCAGTAAACATTTTTCCTGAATAGATACTTTTAATCAGACTCATTGTAAACACTCACATAGCATTAAGACACAATTAAAACATGCTGTTATAACAAAATACTAGGTAGAGGGTCCCATATGCTCATTGTCTGTGACTGCCTGACGCTTGTAATCAATTCACACCTTTATGAATATGCCTCAATATGCTCTGCTTTCTGATCCTGTTCTGTTCCTCCTTTTGCTCAACCTCCCACACACTTCTCTTCCCACTCTTCCTTCTCAGACAGGAGTGAGAAAATGCCAGGGGCAGGTTTGACTTGTGCTGGAGGAGTATGATGCAGTCATCAGAAGTAGTGTGGGTAAATAATTCCTTCTTTTTATTTATTTATTTTTTTCTTCCTCTTAGAAAGAAAAGCAAAGCAGGCAGTGAGCCTTGAAGAGCCAGGATATAAATATGACTAAATAAATTGATTTCTATGGATCATAGCTTCCCTTTGTAGGAGATAACTCATGCAAATACTGCAAAAAGGGGGTATTTGCAAATATAATGCTTGATTTATATGCTAATGTACATAATTATGTAAATGCACAATGATACCTTTTCGATTGCTGGCTCGGTTGTTAAAAAAAATAAAAACTTTGTGTGCTTGTTGCATTTGCAGACGAGGGCAATATATTCCTTGCTGCCATACAGATATGCAGTGAAGCCTTTTATTGGTACATGCTGAGGAAATCTTTTAAGTGATCAACAGTTGTGAATAGACACATTTATAGATTCTGGGGAATTTACTGGGTCTGTGGGCTGATTAGTCTGACAGTCAGTTCAAGAGCCAATTCAGTAATGTTATGGCTTTACATGCATACACTTCACACTGAAGTGACGCTAACACTGACGCTGTTGCTGTGCAGAAGAACGTAACTCATAATACTGATACTGGCTCAACCCTGCAAAACTGATTATGATCATTTTTATGAATATATATTAGCAGAGACTATTTTTGTCTGAGAAAATCCTAAGGCTGATCATAATTTCTCGCTAATCGTACCAATATTCTTGGCCTCTTACCCTGGTACTCGAACCTGAACCCCGGTCTGTTCTGTGAATGGTCACTATGGAAATACACTGTGGTCTCATGGGAGGTGGTGAGAAGGGAGGAGGGAATATCCTGGCCGCTGAATCGACCAATCACCGCGCTTGTATCCAGGGGACCGTTGCGTATCTCGAGAAAATCGTGGTTGGCCTCGGTGGAGAAGTTGAGGAACTGAAGGTTGGCTCCTGGGGAAAAAAGAAGAAAGAAGCAGAATTGAGAAAGAGGCGAGAGTAAATCAACAACCGCAAATTTCATCCCGCACTCAAGCCCTACAATTTGTATGATTTAAGGTTCTTGAGAGTGGAAATGCTTTTAAGAGCCTCTCACGATGCTCACCATAACCAACTGGCAGGTAGATTCTCCAGGTACAGTCGCTGTTGCTAGGGTAGTTGCCAGGGAAACCAGGGCTGAGAATCATGCCCTCCATCTCCTCCCGAATTCCACCAGATTGAGCTGGCAGAAAAAACACTTTGATGAGCATCTGCACACGGCGATTCTCCCAGATTTTAATAATACCACAAACACGGTTCAACGCTGTTCTTTGTTTGTGATATTGGGAGTCTTGAACAACTGTAGTACTAATAGAAAATATTTGGTGACTTTATATGAGAAAAGAAAAGTTAGTCCATTTCGTTTCAGTTCAAACAAAGCAGAGGTGAAATATTTAGTCATTTTAAACTTGAATACCAAAGCCTGCACAGCTGAAGTTACAACTATAGGAGAAAGAAAAGATATTTTGAGGTTTGTTTGCGGTGTTTCAAATGAAAGAGATGTTTTTAATGCAGGTCAATGTGCTCTAATCTATTCTTGATTAAATGTTTAAATAAGGACATTCCCCTTTACCCTCACCCTTTCATGACATTAAATGTTTAATTTTTCAATGATATCAATGTAGTTACAATTTCAATAACAATGATGAAAACAATGTTGAAGACTAAAATTGTAAAATGTATTAAATTGTTTAAATTGACATACAAAGACTCATCTATCTCACTATCAAGTAACTCTGGAGCTATTTTCTTTCTACTTGAGATATTAAGGTGCCATGTACTGAACTGTATATTTTCATCCTTCTCCTTTCATCTTAAAACGAATGATGGATAACTGTTTTCCAGACTAAAAGAAGTGAAGTGAGGAGAAAAAGGGAACCGAAATATTGAGTAAAAGCAATGATTGGATCAAGAAAGATGAAAAGAGCGAGAGATCCTGACACCAAAAGTTAAAAAAAAAAAAAGATGAAAGGATGCTGAAAGTAATTGTAAAGAATTTGCAGACTAATGAGAAAAAGAATACAGAGGTACTGCAAGGGGGGGAAACAAAGACAAACACTGCATGTAAGATTAAGAAATAAATGTGACAAACAGCCAACATAAGTCAAAGGAGGGTGAAACCACACAAAGAGAAGCAGTGTGCTGTACCATTTTGTTAAATGTTATCCTGTAGCAGCACCAGAAGCCTGAGGTAATCAGGAAACTGCTGATGCTTGCGAACACGATGAATCTTCCCTCGACTTTAACCAATCACGGTCTGAGATGGAACTAATTAGGCAATAGTAGGTTGCTGCAGTAAGTGGAACCGGTTTGTCATGGCACTCTCACAGGGAGCGAGACTTGAGGTGGAGAACAGAGAAGAAACCTCATGCAGTTTCCTTCAGCGTGTGCAGCCAGCTTTCAACGTAGAAATATCAAACTCATTTTAAAAGTGCCAACCCTCCGATAATCTCAAACAAAAACACAACGTAGAGAAATATAACCCCTGCGTTTTTGTTTATACCTCACATTTTCTTCATTTTCTGATGGATTAAAGGGCTATCTTATGCCTGTTATACAGACTGCTTATGTGAGCTGTGAAACAGTATTGAAAAAAATGATTAAAATAACAATTTGTCACCTATAGTATGCAGTGATATGGTAATTCTATTCCGCTTTCATTCAGCGGCAAAGAGTCTTAACACAAGTTAAGTCATTACATGCTCGGTATATTGTTTGAAAAAGTTAGCTGGTGTGCTTGGCAAGGTAAAGAATCTCCAAGTAAAAAAAGTAAGAATGTAGAAAGATGCAGAGACGAAACAGAAGGAAGGCCAGACATAAAGGATATTTTTACCTATGCAGAGAGGAGGTGGGTAGTTCCATCGTCTGACGGTTCCAGGCATACAGGTGATGTGCGAGTTCCCCTGAAAGGAGCAGGCGAAGAACAACAAAAAACAGCCGATTAATTAAATTGTCCCCCCTTCTGTCACTCAACTGTTGCTCCAATTATTCAAACCTGTTGCCTGTCTCCACATGACGTCATGTGGCGATGTAATGACTAAATCTATCTGAAGTGACAGAGAATAATAGAGGGTGAGCATCACTGGCATATTAAGATGATCACTTACTGTTTCACCGCCAAAATATGCATGGCAACATTTGTTTTCTTCTGAAAGCTCTGCATCTGAGTTTCAAAGCTAACTTGACATAAAATATTGATTGATATTGATTTGACAACATAATGGGCTGACTCAGCTGACCTTTATTGAAAATGTTTCGCAGTCAGAGAAAGCCTGGCACATGTTGTAATGAGCTATAAGATTCTGCATGAGTTTAAAACGGACACAAATACAACATGCTGGTGAAGTCTTCTGAACATGACGCTCAATTTTACATGTCTCACTGTTTAAGGGTTGATACTGCAATGGTTAATAAAGACTTTAAATCTTTTTAAGGTTGAGGGATGATATCTTAATTTCCTCTTTAGCCTATCTACCTTAGCCTACGGCCTGAATTTAGGTCGGTAACAATAATTAATCAGAGACTTTTTAAGTAGATACGAGGAAGCAACGAGGAACTTCTGCATACAATAATATGAAGGATGTGTTTTAACAGTATGACTGATTTAACCTGTACAATAAAATGTCATTCTGTAGTCAATGTTGGCCAGAATTTGAATGACTTCTTATCTATCTGGCTTCATTTACATGACTGTCCTTGATAATGCTTTTATGCAAATATTGGGAGCAAAGCAATATTCTGTCCATTCACATAATTGAGAGGTAGTAGCATAACTTAAAACTCACAGTAATAACAGACATTATTATTTGATTATCCAGATTGAATAATTCCTGGAAACCGTTTTTTATTCAAATCTGATTATTGTCCTGATCTGATTAGTATCCATTGATCATGACATTAACTGAGATAAGCACATTATCATTTAGTCACAATAAAAAAGATGCAAATAAGGAGTATAGGCCCCCTAACAGGCGTCTATCTATTTTAAAAACACAGAACTCCATGTATTATTGCAAATATGTTGACATTAATTAAGTCTAATTAACATTATCAGAGCATGCATTTCAGTGAGGTTGAAAAATGAACAGATAACCTTTAAATAAACAACAAAAGGGCTAAAAAAGGATAAGCATCAATGGGTCACTTATGTCTTGACCATATCGGAAACTAGGAGATATTACCTGTAAAGTATATCCAGGTTCACAATGGAAAGACACCACATTATTCATCTGAAGACGCTCCCCAACTCTGATGGCGTTCATAGGAACAACAGGCTCTGGGCAACTGGTCAGAGACACCGCTAAGAAATAGATAAAAAAGACAACATGAATAGTGAAAAGGTAAGGGAAATGTAATAACTATACCTAAACAGGAAGGACAGGATTAGAAATCACAATGAAAAATGTGAAAATGTGAAAAATCCTGGTTATGTCTTGCATCGCTTACAGGCCATCCTAACCAGAATAACACAAGCCTACTTTAGAAGCAATGGAAGTCAGACGGCAGCTTGCAGTACACGGTTTTGCACTCTGCTGCTCACTTTACGACAAAGCAGACTTTGTATAAATGACCCGCTTCATTTTTAGATATGAACCATTCATTCTAAGTTATGGAAAACACAACAATTCTTAGTTTCAGTTGATTATTCACTTATAAAAACATTATTTTAAATTTCTACTAATAGATCCCCGAAATGCACACTGGCCCTTTAATACTTGTCTTCAGGGTATTAGTACTTTACATCAAGTGCCATGGACTGTTTTTTTTCCACTTACTTTTGTACTCCATCCTGAATCCAGCTGCAGACACACTAATATCAGAGAAGAAGTGGAGGTAGAGTTGGTTGGAGGTGCTGTTGAGGAGAGCTGGGACCGTGGTGCCTTGGGGTGAAGATTAATAGTGTAGTTTAGCTATGCTATCTCCTGCATAGGCCGACCATAACTAACTGTATAAGCTACTGGCAAATAGCTCAAAAGCGTGTTCTTTTTACATTTGCTGACTCTAGGGTGTGCGTGTCTGTGTGTGTTTGTGTGTACATGCAGCAAAAATGCATGCATGAATGATTGTGCATAGGTGTATTAGGATATTTGGGAAAGCAGATGCATAGTGTGACCTACTAATGACACAAAGAACAGAGCCAGTTGTATCTTCCAATGTGTGGGTATTTACTCAGCTCGTAAAACAATTAAACAAAAATGTGCGCAAAAAAAACGGGAAATAAAACATCACTCAATAAAAGCACATGTTCTACAGATACTCTATGACCTAAAATTGGTCATTTAATAACTCAAATTTGTGGGCCAGGCAATTCTCTTTCATCTCTTTACTTCAGGGCGCATCTAACATTTACTTTTGGTCAGGTTCCAAGAACAAACAAAAGGAGAATTCCCTGTTGCCATATCCGCACTATGAGGGGAGTAAGACAGATACTGTAAACAAAGGTTCAATTCAATTCCACACAGAAAAGGACAAGCTTTGTAGAATTGTACTGAGGTTTTCCACGGGAAGCTCAACCAGTTTGGAATTTTTAACCTCTCCGAAGACTACATCTGCTGCCTGTTTCCACTATGTATTTCATTAAGCAATGTTACAGTGCCAACTGTACCACATGAGGCCCCCATTTCTAGTACTGTACATGTTGTTTAACAAATACAATATGTGTTAGAGGTTGTATTCTGCTCTGTGAAAACTGATTAGGCTATTGTGTTGGTCCGGCTATGCTTTTTGGCAGGTATGTATGAGTGATTTTAAAAATGTGTTTGATGTCCAAGGTTGGGGTGGGAATAAACATTGAAAACATGATTCAGAATGTGCAAGAAAATAAATGCACACATATGAACAAATATACAGCAATACCTGAGAAGCTGCCAAGCATGGTGTCGGTGTTGTCCCCTCCGTCAAACACTTCCAGCGAGTCCCAGTTCTGCTCTGTGACAAAGCTGATTACCTGGATCTGAGACAGCGAAGGAGAAAGAGAACAACAGTTTGGGATTTAGGGAGCAGAGCACTAACAGTAGGATCAAGGGTGTGTATGGGTATGGACATCAATAATAAGGTTGAAGGGTTGAGGATTCATTAGTAGGAGAACACAACATGTTTCACAGGGAAACAAAAGTTTAGAGTACCTTTAAAGGTGCATATAAATAAATACAGTTTTTACATAGAAGGTTAAAAATTTGGAATTAATAAAGCTGTGAGGACATCACAAATAGCAAGTTCTGAATTCTCAATAGAACAGAACAATGTACATTGTGCAATATACTATGTCTTTGCTAGCTTTTATATATTTCAAACATCCTTTTGGAACGCTGTAGTCAGGTGGTGGGCCTTGGATTTGAATTGAAGAAAACTGTATGACGGCTGCAGAGAACGCTGGATATGGATAATACCTTTCAAAGAAAGGCAGACTGAGACTTCTAAATAAGTGTCTCTGTGTCCCTAAACAACACTTGAGAAAAAAAAAAAGATACCACATACTTTAAGAATAGCACTCTGAATTCACACAAAGATTGCCTAAAACATGGATTATAAAACTTATTTTGCTGTTGAATACTAACCAAAGGAAGTGGGAGGCCTACCCTAAATAAATAAAATGGCCTAACAAATTAAAGTGAAATGAGGGGTACAGCGGGTGCTTCTCTAATCGGAAGTTCGGTGATTCAATCCCCGGCTCCTCCAGTCCGAATGTAGATGTCCTTGGGCAAGATATGGAACCCCAACTTGCTCCCAAAGGCTTTGCCATCTGTCTGTGAATGTGCTTTAGTTCAAATTCTAATGGGCAGGTGGCACCTTGCATGGCAACCTCTGCCATCAGTGTATGACATGATGTAAATGGGAGAACGTTGACATGTAGTGTGCAGCACTTTGAGTGGTTGGAAGACAAGAAAGGAGCTAGTAATACAATGTGTGAAAGGGGCTACACTGCCATCTACTATATCTTTGTTCTCTGTCTTAAGCTAACATTAAAGCTAAAATGTCATTCCATCCTTTCACTCTCAAAGCCTCCCTTTCTGTTCCCGCTCACTCCATTACTCAGCCCTCTCCTCTGCCTCTGATGGTTATAGATCAGATACCAGCCAATTAAAGGAGCGGTAGGGGCTCCGGTGGATCCCGGGGAGACAACGCAGATCATAGATTGATCTTTCATTAGGGGGTGCCACGACAAATGTGCCGGCAAGGCACCTCGCTCCTTTAAGTTCTCTTCTGGATCGTGATACTCCAATCTAATGTTGCCGCTGCTAACTGGTAGAAGGGAAGCAACAGAGAGAAAGACAATGACCATGTGAAAAAGATGACGTGGACTCTAAATAATAGGGATGAGGAGGACGCAGCTGCAGGGAGTATCGACACAGAGCAGAAAACCCTCTACAGTGAGCATGTCAGATTTTGGAAGTGCAGGCAGTGACCCTTTTGCAACGAGTTAGAGTGTGTGTCCGGGTGTGCAGTGGTGGTCCAAAGAACACAAACACTCGTATATCATTTCCAAACTATACCGTTGTCACTCTGGTATGTATACGTTCCAGTGCCATGCTGTTGTCCTTGAGAGTGTGTGCGCAGCCAGTTCTCTGTTCTTATTCTCGGTCTATTTCACCTCTAAGCCACTGAGATGTTAGCGTGTAGTGCAGCATGCTAAGTGTGCCTGTGGGCCATCTCGTGTATTTGACCTGCAAGGACAGCCGGCTGACGTGGAGGAGCTAATAGCCGAGGGACTGCACTGAGGTCATTAGCCACGGAGGCTGAAGCATAAGCCTAAAAACTTTCCTTCCGGCAGATCCACAGGGACCCCTGGTAAAGTTCCATCACACGTGCTTCAATGAATACAAATATGCAAACTGAATTAACTCCCAAGAAAGAAAAGTAAAGTAATTGAACAGGCAATTATATACAACTTCATTTCCTAATTTTCAAATTGTGCAATCTTAAGTCTCTGGTATAGTGATACAGTCTGTAGTCTTTATCGTGCAGCAGCTCTCCTGTACCCTGAGAATTGTAAATGCTACAACTTGATGTAATGTTGGTATTTCTATTAATTAGCCCATGGTAAGCCGGTAAAACACATCATCACACAGGAGCTTGTTGTCAAGGCCATGCATAGCTGTAAAAGCTAGAGGCTACAGGTCAAATAAATCTATTAACTCATATATGCTGCAGATTAGCCTCAGAATACTCATTAATGGACACAATGTGAAACTATCACGCTGATGTCAGGGAGATAGAAAAACATAAATCTAAATGTCTCTATTATATTGCATGCCTGTAAGTCAATAGTTGTATCGTACTATGAAGCTGCATTATTATGATGCTTTTCTAGTCGGCGTGAAGATAGGTTCCATTTATATATTATGTAGAATACCTTCCGAAACTGAATTTCTCTTCCCCAGTTTTTGACTTGGCTATTATCCTGACTTGACTACAAACGATGCGTTAATTCCTTTGGTTCCATGTAGTTTGGAAATGTGGGATTGTATTTTGGAGGGATGTAATCTCTGATTTACTCAAAATTTAACTCAGTTTTGCGTAATCTGATTATTACAATTCGGTCACACAGGATAACGTTGATGCCAGGGGAGAAACTTTGTTATGCAAACCTGGATTCCTGATCCTTCAGGAACAGTGATCTTCCAGACACAGTTGAGGCTGTTGAGGTAAGGCTCAGGAAAGCCAGGAGATAAGATGGTGCCAGTTCGATGGGTCAGATTGCCTCCACATGGAACTGCAGGAGAAAGGGATTTTAAAAAAAGGGATGAGCGGGATACCACTGGTGTACCAGTGTACCAAAAATGGCTACAGATGGGATGTAAAAAGATGCAGCAAGAGTAAGATTAGGTATATGCATACAAGCATACATTACATTTGCACACTAAATACTATTACAAATATGTTAATATTGCTTCCTCCTTAATCCTCTTTCCTCAAACATTCATGGGATTCTGCTAGAAGGATCATAGAAAACCGGATGAAGATCACACAACAGGTAAGGCAAAAAAATAATAATGATAAAATAGTTAATTGTATAAGTTTCTTACTTGGTACATTTTCAGTTTGTTTTAAGAAAAATCTGATTTTAGGACTCACTAAAATTGAATCATTAAACCACAACTAGACTGGAGTCTTAACCACCTGGACATGCAAGCACACATACTAGACTTGTTCAGCACATTCGCACATCTGGTGACAGCATAGGAGCATCTGCTACAGCTGTATGTACTGTAGTGTGTGAGTGAGAGCGTTCCTTCGTATATAAAGTACATGCTGATATCTCCATATGAGTGTGTGTGTGTGTGTGAGAATGTGTGTATTTGTGACCCTCAGCAGAGCCTGCCACCTGTGTACTGCATGACTGAATCTCGCTGAATCGCTATAGGCAATGGCTGGCAGCTCGCATCTGTGTCGTAGTAACAAGAGTTTTCGACTCAATCAAGTCGGAGAGACACAGAGACAGCAGGATAGATGGAAAGAAAGAGAGGGATTACAATAATTGAAGACACAAACAAATGAATGAGGAAAGAAAGCGAGACAAACAAAAAAAGCGTGTTTGTGTCTGTATTTGAGAATTCATGCCGTACCTATACAGCTGGGTATGGAGCTGTTCCATTGGGCCAGGGCATTGGGAACTGTCAAACATTCAATGGCACTCGGCCCCTCCAGCATGTAACCTGGACTGCACTCAAAGCGGATCACAGCACCAACGGCAAAGTTGTTACCCATACGGCGGCCATTCCTGGGCTCAGGGACTGAGCTGCACTGGGTGGCACTGGTCCTTGGCACGGCTTTGGAGAGACAGAGTGATAAACAGGGTGACTACAGGTGTTGATTTGAAGTCCGTATCTGTGACATTTCCAAGAAGAAATAAGGCTATAACGCCCATCTCTGTTGCTGATTATAGTCAGTTCACGATAGCTTTAACAATACGTCTTTCCAAACACTTTCTTTCTTTCCAACACTTGATCGAGTGATTTATTTGAAAAGTATTACTTTAAAAGTTGTCACTATCTGAATAATCAGACTGTGTCCCAAATAAATAATACAAAATATGGCGTTTTGCTTGGTCTTTGTATCATGGTTCCTTCAGCTTACTTAAAATAGAATACAAAAAAAAAGAATTATCTATTCATTAAACTTTCTCCAGAGCCGATATTGCCTTTGGATATCTGCAGGAAATGTCATTTCAGTTCAAGAGAAAAGTCTCTCTTAGGGCAAGAGAAGAACGTAAGAGTTCCAACACAATCTTTTCAACAGACTGCTATAATTCTACAGTGTTAATGCTCGAGAGTAAGCACACACACACACATCACAGTTGAAATAGTGGATGAAGGGGAATCCTTTCGAAATAACTCAACAATTAAAGTTGGTAATTGGGCTGTGAGAACAGAGGGAATCCAAAAGAATGTAAACACTTACCCTGGTAGACCAGGTGGAATCCTCTCGAGGTGGATTGGCCTTTGGAGGTGAAGCAGATCATGATTTGGTTGGAGGTTGCTAATGGCAAAGACTCACCTATGATGGGGAAAAGTTAAAGTCACAGTTTGTACCGTTTTTAGCAAAGTGCTGCTAGGCCACATTAGCCTTTCACAGAACGACCTACTGGGATGGAAGTACAATATGCCTTTAGGGCTTTATAAGGCACACTGAGCCTATCGCCGCAGTCTGCCTATATCCAGGCATGTTCTGGGAGTTCAGAAGCTACTGTTGATCTGTGCCTTGAAGAGTATGTAAGCTCACGGTTGTGTTCTTGTTTTTCCCAGCTCATAAATATAATTTACGGTTAATTTCTTTGTCTTGTCCCAGCTGGACTATTGAGACTCTCTGTTCACATACCCAAGTAACAAATCACTACGGGAGAATCTGCAGCTGGTAAAAAATGGTTGTTCTTTGTGTATGAAATTAGTTTTTTACTGAAATGTAATTTGTTGCGTGGTTTGCTCAAGATACCATATCCATAAAATAAACATTGAATTGTCGACAATTTACTGAAACATTTAGGGGTTCAATACTTTAGAGGGCTGCCTGCATGTTCACAGTGAAATATTTCCTCATTAATTAAAATCATTCAACATGCATCTGTGCCAAAATGTCAAATCTGTGACTATAAATCAGATCCTCGTATGTTCTCACTGAGATTACAATATTATGATCACCTGCTATATTCATCAGCTCATAGGGTAATTAAACACCCCCATGATGTCTCTACTGTGGTGGAAACCTGTTTGTTTGACTGACGCCGAACATGACACAAAGTGTGAGCATCTCTGTCTCTGCCACACTCTCTTTCTCTCAGTGTGTTGCTGACTGGCTCTCTGCAGTGGATCTCATTACTCTGTGTCTGCTTGCTGTCACACTGTAGTGGAAGTCAGACGTGCTTAAACCCAGAGGCAACATCTGTGCGTCTGTGTCAGTGAGTCTATCCTGTGTATGCATGTTTAGCTGGCGTTTTAGCGTGCGTGAACATTTCTACACCTTTTGGTGCCGTGTACGGAGATAGCTCCAATGGCACACTTTCCTAAAGCGTCTTCACCATGATAGTGCAAGCTCCACTGTCGGATTCCCAAGGCATGCTGGGTAGTTTATTAGAAGCCCTTCATGTGTGCTGTCATGGTGACAGTGTTTCATAATTTGCTGTGCCAGACTTCAGCATGTAACTTGTGAACTCTCTGGTCACTTTTCAGCTCCAAACTACGTTGCCGTTAAAACGATTCTGCATGCGTATGAAAGACTTCTAAGGACAAATATGACTTTGGCTGGAAGGCAGGAGTCAACATTCAGCGGCGGTTGTTGGTTATGCCCTGGTTTAGATACAGCAGTCATGGTGAACAGATGTCAGAGATTAACACTACAGCTGCTAAACCACAACTCAAACAGGTTTAAAGTTAAAAACAGCCCTGTGTGGATTACAGTTGGAGACTTTTATGAATAAGACATTTTCTGAATGAGTGTTTTGCTCTGAAACAAAAGAAGCAAAGGTGTTCAAAGTTAAATGTAGTTGAAATAAGACTCACTAGTCACACATGGCCAAGAGAGCGAAAATTGCCTTTTTTTTTTAATTAATACAAAAATTAGCATTTAGATAAATATCACTGATTTATTGATTCAGTCCTTTTGTCGTTTCGGCCTACATGCTGTCTCCTTTTCTTTTCTAATTCCCACATTTTATCATTTTCTTGTTCAACTCTCCATTTCCTCATTTTATTCCGTCTGTCACCACTGCCTCGGAAAATTCACAATCAATGTTTTTACTCTTCCAAACTAGGGATTTGCCTCACCACACATGAGAGTAATGGAACTTTACTGTTGGATGCTTTACTGAGACTACATTATTGTAATATGCTATTCACGGTCAGGATAATCAGAGGAAACTTCCCTTATGTTTTGACAACTGTGATTTACGATGCGTGACAATATATAATATAATATCCTGCCAGCCACTAAAATACTCATTACCGGCTATATGTTTATTGCACATAATGACAGCTTGTATATTAGACTGTATGGTTGAATTTATTGCTTTATAAGCTTGCAGATGTGTTAGTCCATTTGTGAGCTTTAATGTATCTATATAGTGGATGAAGGTACACAGTTCTGGATTATGCCTAATTCATGCTAGTTATGTCCGTGTGCACCAGTTCTTCATCTGCACCGTCTGTGTGAGTTTAAACTCACTCTTCTCTTGCCAAAATGTGTCAGCTCTGCTCTGCCATGCCTGGTTAGAGATCTCTGTGAACCTGCCGCCAGGAGTCCTCATTTAATACAGCGGCCTGTTTATTGAGCTGTAAACTGGATTTTCAGAGGCTACTCTGGACACAAACCAAAGTAATCATTTTGCTTTTGTCAAGCCACAGGGCAGGTTGAGATGGAGAGCTGCCCTAAACTCACACACGTTTTCACTCCACCCCTCTCAAAAGGTTGAACCTTCCCTATTCAAGCTATTTCTGTTGTGGCATTTGTCATAATGCAATTCCACAACACTGTTAGAACCGAAATCAATCGTTCTCCTTCCGCCTTTCTCACTTATCATCACTTGCCATTCTCATACATAACTGCTTTATTTCATTCTTGTTCATATGGGCTGTACTTCTGTTCTGTTGGCAATTTTGGATATAGTTGAAACCTTGATTGTATCTTTAGGTTCAAGGAAAAAACTCAAATTAGGATTAGGCTTGGATGGCGTAATGATTTAATTGAGGAAATGTTTTTGCTAAAGGTTTAAAATTCTTGTCATTCTTTAATGTTTGTTAGATTATATTGTATCGTTTTTAAATAATGACAAAAATAATGGTATTACCACAAAGTTATGATTTGTAAAATTGAAGCTGATACTGTTGCATGCAAGCTGAAAAGTTGAGCCACTAATTGTAATTTCATATTTATGATAGTTGCGGTTATGTTCATGCAGTTTTGAGAAGATGTCTTTGTTTGAAATCTTAATGCTAAATATGTAATTTCCCCCTATCTTATGTGTTTGTTTAACACCAGTTCAGGTGTATGTGCAGGTGAGTCTTCTTGAGCCTGTCTGCTGATACGTTATCCCTGTGACTCTTAAGTTGTTGTTGTTGCTGTTGAATTGTTTTACAGCTCACTGGAGCCCACCTGCAGCCACGGCTGCTCTGCCTGTGTCAGCAATTTGTCCCTGGATCCTTATGAAAGGGATACGATCTAGACAACATTATGTTTAGTCCCCTGTCATGTCAAAAAATAACGGCCAGGCGATCAAACAGCCCAATCTCCTTTGCTGATTTGTTAAATACTGGTGCTGAATATAAAACAAAACCTGTACAAGTGTGTTGGATTCAAGTCTTGCCAACCTGCATTTCAAAGTAAATAGCTTCTATTAACCACCCCCCTTAAGTTTAGTATCTGATGAAACATCCCCCACAGTAGCTACCCAGTGTATTTTTATTTAGGTACCTGTGTGCGCTCCAGAAAGGGAGCTGAGAACACGGGAGTGCTGTGTCGCCCCATCATAAACCTCCACAATGTCATTCAGAGCTGTCTGGAAGAAGGCGAATTGACTGAAGACCACTGGAAAAGACAGATATGGACAGAAAATTGACATCAGAGCAAATTGAAATGAGCTAAAATGTGTTGCTGCAGCACAGTCACACTGGGAACTCTAAAACCCATTCAAAATAACACAGACAAATCATAAAAAGTACTCTGTAGTATCCTCATTCAAAAGGAAATATCAACAGCAATTTCAATCCAAATGTCTTCTTTAAAGCGAAGTGGATAATACTGCCAGTCATGACAACGCAACCAAAACATTACATTACACGACTAAATCAACAATCCTCTCTGGGCTTGATTGCTTGTCAGTGGATGAAAGGCTTTGGCAACGACAGCCAAACTGTTGTACAATGTGCGGCTAAAGCTCCATGATGGTGCTTTCATCCTTTCTACCGATACCACTGCTCATATTCAGTCCTTTCACATATAATCTTTGTCTAGTTTGCTTATATATAGCGCGTTGAAGAGAAGGATGAAGAGGATGAGGAGGAGAGGGCAGAGGGGACAGAGTACTTGTGCTCTCCATTAGGTGTAATGGCAGCTACTCTTAAAACATGACTCAGCGTCTGTTTTCTCCGACTCAGCTTCGGTGGTTTCCTTTACATGTACATCCGCTTCATCTCCATCTAATGATAAGAGATGCCAGTGGTTGCAGTGACAGCCGCCCTGTCCTCTGCATTGGGGAAAATAGTCTATTATTAGGGCAGGTGCATCAGCCCTAATGAGAAGCGGCAAGAATGGAGGTGAGAATAATTGTGGCTCTGCAACGACAAAGTGTGATGCCTTGGGCCTCCCTGTCATTTTCCAGGAAAATGCAAATGTGGACTTTCATAATTAAAATTTCCTCTCACTCTTTGAATCCATTGAGTAAAATATGTTGCCGACAGGGGTCCAAAATGATAGGGTGCCGAGTCATTTTGGAGCAGCGCCAGACCTCTGAAAGGGCATCAATGACCTCGACATTCAAAAGACCAGGGTTAAGTACCCAAAACACATGCCGACGTCTGCTGTTTGGTGTGATTTAACAATGATAGGACTTGAGCTTCCCCTTAGAGAGGCACAATACTGATAACTTGAGGAAAGAGAAAAGGAAACAGGGGATACAAAGAGAGAAAGACAGACAGAAAGTCAAGCCGGGAGACTTCGTGGGCAACTAAGTGAAACATGTTTGCTTCTGTATTTGCATGTTTGAGCCGTGTCATACTTCTGCATTGTTTTGCTTTCTGAATAATTTGCTGCTCCTACAGTATCAGATTACATATTGGAAGCAAGCTGTGACCTTTAAGATGGAAATGCCAAAACGTAGTGAAACTCCGGAAACTCTGGATCTTCCAGACACCAATTATTTTTTGGTTTGGTTGTGTGTGTGTGTGTGTGTGTGTGTGTGAGTGTGTGTGTGTGTGTGTGTGTGTGTGTGTGTGTGTGTCTGAGACAGACAGATTGTATGCCTGGGGTGTGAGATAGTGATTAAATTGTTCGACCAAAGTAATGTAAAAATGTATGTATGGAAATAAGACAAAATTGATATTGGAACTATCAATCACTGTGTGACTCTACTGTGTAGGAAAATATGAAAAAAACAATTGCATTCAGTAAACCTCAGACTAAAGCACTTTAATTGCAATACAAGACAATGTGTGTGGGAGCTTTTACACGTTTTCCACAAACTTGTTGCCTACTACACCTCTGCCACTAATAATATTTAGGTGTGAGAAAAAAAGCTAATAAGTTTTCCTCTTACTTTCATTAGTTTGCACAGTACAATAATATGTAGAATTTTGTCAGGCCCCTGAGCATTGTTTGAGTCTGATATGGGCCTTTTGTGCATTGTAGAATAACTGCATCTTAAATAAACACACATAATTATCCCCACAAACACAGAAATGCACAAATAAAATGGATAAAATGAACCAATCCAGTAATACAGTGCTCTTCCTTAGCTCTTACCGTAATCCTTGGGCACCACCACGGTGTACAGACAGCTTCGCGCACTGCTATAATTGCCAGGGTAACCAGGAGACAAGACCACTCCTTCCAAACCTGAGTACTGTCCACCACATGGAGCTGGAGAAAGACAAAGAGATGAGACATGAAGAGACAGGGCAGACAGAGAAGGAAGGTCTAAAGCCAATAGTGCACAATTTCATTCCTCCACTACCTCCTGCTCGTCCATCCCGCCCTGTTCTATTACTCCTAAATTACTTTTCTTGTCTGATTGGGTTTTGGGTGGAAGATGTCCCTGGTGGTTGCCAGAGTGAAATTGCAATGTTTTCCAAGTGTCCCTCTGGGTTAGCCTGGGTGAGATCAGGCCCGAATCGCCTCTCCTGCTTAAAGCCCCTAAAAATGCTCTATGTGTGCTCTAATCTTTGTGCAAGTGCGGATCCCATATATATATGTCAGTGTGCTTTGCTTGTTTGAAAAAAAAAAAAGCGTGGTGTGTACTTGTATTCCACCTGACATGTAACCGAGGCCTCACACTGCGAGAGCCAGATACGGTGGCGCCGGAAATCTTTTACCAGCTTTTCAGGGGAATATGCACAGCGTGTGTCAGTCGTGTCGTGGGAACGTCAGAGAAAAGCCAGGATGACGCAGGTTTTGCCGTGTGTGCGAGGAGCAGATATGCAAAATACGATGCTCTCTTCAAACTGGCGATTAAATTAAAGCTACACCCTCACATCTATTAACATTAGCAAAACCCACACAGCTCCACACATATACCTGTAGGACATGGCTCTGTGCAAAATCCACATGATCATACATGCGTGTTTGCATGTGATTAATCTATAAGTGGTTTGTGTTCCTAACAGCTGTCTCCAGATATCAGTGTTTACCAAAGCAGATGGGTTTGGGTTTGTTCCAGCTTGGCTTGCCGTCTCCCCCTATGATGCAAGTGAGGGTTGGGTCTCCCTCTAGTGTGTAGCCACTGTCGCAGCGGTAGGTGACAGTGGAGCTCAGCTTGAGGTCGGCGCCCACCCGAGTCCCATTGCGCACCAGGCCCGGCTCAAAGCAAGACTCCCTGGGGTTCTCTGTGGAGAGAGGTAACACAGTGGAAAATCAGTGACAGAAGGGAATGTGTGTTGGTATTCAATACATTTTTTTTTGATTTTTGCATCAAGCTGCAGCGGTGCTACTAGAATAGAAATAGTTTTCTGCCTAAGGTTCCTTATATTCTCACATTTCTCGCTTCCTTCCTTTGTCGCTTTCTGTGCTCATTCCCATTTTCCCGCAACCCTGTGCTTTCCTCTTTCAGTAAATAGATCTCACTGACTGCCACTTTTCTCTCGAGCCCTTGATGGTGCCCTTTCATCTGTGTCTGCTCGAGGTATGTATGGCTGGGGAGACAGACAGGCAGCTGATTGAGAGTGGCACGCTCAGGCCCAAGGTCTGCTGACTGCACACAACCGCCTCTCACACCACGCTTCGCTGTGCAGTCAACGAGAGAAGACAATGCACATACGCAAGCTTTCTCTTGCAAACACACAAACACTGAGCCTCAACACACTCACAACACTGTATGTAACCACATATCAATCACCACTCCTGAGGTCGTAAGAACGATGTCTCGATCAATCTACCATCACATTGTTCTTAGGTTGAAAATGTGCAGGTGAGAGAAGGCCTGTCAATTTGGCACTCTTCACAACCATACAGCTAAAATAGACATAGGAAAAAATGCCCAAAGCAATTTAGTTCAATCTTAAACACAGTTCACTCTTGTCTCACATCAAACGTCAATATTTGATGACTTAACACGCACACAAGCACTTACAAAAGGGAAGGGAAGTCAAATGTTTTCTTTTATCAGGAAAACCTCAACTTACAATTCCGTGCCTCAGAAAAATGAACATCAATATCTACCAACTGAAATCTAATTTTAAGTAGGAAACACTTCGTATTTGAAAAGGTCAATATGGATACCAACAAAGACGGCTATTTTCTTCTTTCTCGTGCAAATAGTATTTTCAAAAGTTATTTCATTATCCGTCTCAGAATTAATTATTCATGTCAATGACAAATAATTGTTGACTATGTTTGAGTAATTGTCAAATCCTTTTTACTTATTGAGCTCCCGTTTTTAAAGCTTTATTTATCCACAGAAAAATAGTAAAACAGAACAAAATAATTTGCAGAGGAATGGTGCTGTTCTTTGTTTGTGTGAGTGTGTGTGCATAGACCCAATGCTGTCCAAAGAAATGCAGCGACATATAGTGATTATTACATGCATATTTGATTGATGGTCTCTTATGTTCCAGCAAATTTGGATAGCATATCTTAGTCTACATGGTGATTTATTCACACACAAAAAAAATGGTTATTTCCAAATTCTTAATAACAGTGGTACTAATTGGCTGATATTTACACCAAGATAGGCTATATATCATGATTAGTTGGGAGACACCAAATCATTCTATGTAAAATGAATGTGAACCTCACACAGCCCAAATGGAATGATCCTTTGTTTCATAACCACATTTTCCCACCACGGAGACGATGCGATGGTTAGTTTTGTACTCATATCAGGCTCTTCAGAGTGAATCACTGAATAGTCGACTATTCGGGGTCACCCAAAGAACTGACAATGAGTCAATAATGTGTAACTTCCCTTCGACTTCTTTTCAGTCTATCTTTACTGAAGATGACCAACATGTTGGAGATGATGATTGTATTAGGTTTTTTTCGTGTTCCACCGTCTGCCAGTACAGTGGGGCTCAATTTGCAACCGTTTCCTGTTGTATGCCATCAAGCAAATTCCCTTTGTGCAATTAAATAAGCATATTGCATGCAAAATCAATCATCTGTATCCAGTGATTATAGCAAAGTCTTTGTCTAAGTGAAGTTCTCATGATTTATTGATGATCAAATGTACACATAGCACTTTGGCTAAATGCCTAGTTTCTAAGATGAAAGCTGGGGACCTGCTGACCAGACAGGAGGCTGCCCTTCACGGCTGAACAGAGTGCTGGGGCCCAGGCATGTGGTCTGTCGGCGGTCTGTCTCCTAGAGCACCTGTTCTAGACAGGTTGAGCCCTTTCATAGTCTGATGTAGACCTGGACCTTCCCTTGCTGCCTCCTCCATTAAACCAGCACACCTGTCAAGAGACAGCGGAGGCGTGATGGATGTAGCTGCAGGCATTAGGTGTGGACCGGCCCTGGACCCAAGCTAGAGTGGTGAGAAAGTCGGTCACCACAATGAAGATGGCCGATTTAAGAAGCTTTATTGCAGGACATTAGTAGGTGTGAGGGGAAATGTGTGAGTGGCATCATCTGTTCTGGAAAATACTCAAAGGAGTTTAAGTGATGTGATGCGAAGTGAAAATGAGCCCAGGTGTTAGTGAAGGGATTGGATAAGACAGATGCGAGTATCGGGGTACTTGTGTGTGTGTATCTGTCCATGTCCGTGTCTATGTGTGATATTCAAGTGTGGCTCAGGCATGGCAGGTTTTTGCCCACATATTTCTCTAGAGAGCATAATCAGACATGGCCGAAACACGGAAACAGAAAGCTATAACGATTGCTTGGTAAAGAGGCTGACAGCACCTCAGGCAGATTTTGTAATGCAATTTCCGGTGGCGGGCTCACTAAATACTAGCTGGGCCAACATGTCAACCTGCTTGCTTCCTCACCAACCAGATCCAAATCCACAGCCAAACATGCTTTGTGCCATGTTGTTTGTCTGAAACTGAGGAGGTAATTTATGTATTATTTGGTTATGGTTCATTAGTGTGGAGAATTGGAAGTGGGGAGAGGGAGTTTTTCTGAGCCACACACTGAGTCCATCTGCCCCAACAGATTGGCCATACAATATCACACACTCTATCTCACACTGTAGAGAAGATTGCTGGGAGTGAGTTAAGGAGTAGACTCTGTAACACTGTCTTAACAAAACAATGTGCTTCAATACATTTATGTGCACTTCGCAAATGAATCACGGCGCTGCACTGCATAAACAGGTAGCATTCCCGAAATCAGTTGAATTGCTTGTATAGATCAAATCACACCACAACACGAGCCAAGAGACGAAGAGCTCAGGGTCGATCTGGAATTGGTTAAACGTCTGATATCTTAAACAGCTCTAATTGAGGCTGGGAGATTTAGGGAGATTCAACACTGTTCTCTCAAGCATAGCCCTTAACGAAGATGCCCATTTTGATTTAGAGTTTGTTTAGCATCTGCATATTTGTTAGGAAAAGGCTTTAACACACAGGCCCTGAGGCGTTATCCTGTGAGGTTGAAGCACTAGAGCACAAAACACAGATGTGTTGTGTTGTCCTTAAACCAACTGGCTGTCCGTCAAGTATGTATGCGATCATTCCCCACCATGGAACACACCTTGAGCACCTTGAGTAAGCAAAACAACACTAAACAACATGCTGCTAAGCATAGACATGAGACAACAAAACGTTGTTTGCTCCAATTCACGAGGAGCGTTTTGTGCAGCTGTAAAGCACTGATTAAAAAGTGCAGAGTAACACAAAGTATTAGAAAAATTAAAAGCACACATGTCGTCGGCCTTTCATTTTCATAATGTGTTCCTCGGCTACTAGAGGAGGTAGAGATCAATAATGAAGCCAAAGCAGACTATAGCACAAATGGGAGGGTGGTGATCAGGGATGCTGCAGCACATCCCGCTCTTTAGCTGAAGCAATCTTCACACCACTAATCTCACTCGCTTTGGACTAGACACAAGAGAAAGTTAAAAAGAAACAATATGCAAGGTCGATAAGCAGCAGAGGGTAAATCCATTCTCATTCTGCCAGAGGAAGAATTTTAGAACATGAATTGTTTAGGGGATAAAGCTTCAAATACTATTTAAAATTCACTGTTTTGCTCAGAATCTTAAGACGCTGGAGATAAAAAACTGAGAATAAAAAACTCCTTCACAAAAATACGCAACATGTGAGTTTCCACTTGCTTGATAGTTTTGTCCAATTAGCCAAATACTCTTTCAACGTCCTGGAAGCAAAAAGGTGCTCACCTGTGTACTGAAGAATAAATCCATTGCTGCTGAGGGAAGCATCGCTGCGGAAAGCCAAGAAGAGTGTGTTGGAGCTGCTCTCAATGCGATCGGGAGCGTCTGTGCCATAAAAACTACCCAGTAAAGGGCTGAGGGAGTCCGGTCCATCGTAGATATGTAAGAAGTCATAACTGGGCTCCAAGCTGAACCTGGTTAAATAAGTGTAAATACAACTTACATAAGTAGACATCGCAGCATGAGCTTTAGTACAGTATAAAGACACTTCACTGGCATCAATTTAAATAAGAAAATACACAATGTTACCATAGGAGGCAATAGGATAGAATAAACATACATGGACACTCATAGTGTTTGTATTGTGTATTGTTGTGTGAAATATGTCGGAGACAGACATGCTGGAATTAGTGCGCTACTAAAGCTTACTGGTTGAAGCTAAGAGCGATGACATAGTCCAGTGTGACAGTAACTGTCCAGTCACACTCCCTTCCATGCGGGTAAGGTTCAGGATAGTCTGGAGACAGAATCAGCCCACTAGGACCCATCAGGTTCCCACCACATGGTGCTACGGAATGGGAGAAATTGATAAGTAAATGCAGCAGTAAACATAACTCAAAAACCAATTTTCTGCTATTGTACATTCATCCAAAATCTGTTATCAGAGTAAAATCATTAAAATGCTATATCATGAAATTGTTATTACTATAAGTGGTAGATGGCTTCCCAATTGGAAATGGTAGAGACAAACTAAAATTGCTCATTGACTTACCATGATCTCACCTGTAACTGCCCAACCCCTCACCAAAGAACTGATCAAACGAATTAAACTGTGCATTAATTAAACAAGGCAGCTATTTACAAGGTCAAAATCGCCGTTGTTAATTTGCATTGTTTTGTAGAGCACCAAGTGTGATCATATATTAAAAATAAAGACTGTAAAAGAGTGGAGGTCTGACTGAGAGGTCTGTTTTGCTATTGAGGGACAAGATAATCTGATTTTTCTGTGTGCTGCAGTGACTTCAGGAAACGTCTAGGGAACATAGCTATCGGGTTTGCCACTTAAGATTCACTTAAGGAGTCTGTTAAGTAATCATGTTAGGAATGTGTATTGTCTACCTGTTTTAGACCAGCAAGAGAGGCGATGCGATGGACTGAGTAAGATATACATTTTTTTTAAATCTTTATACTGTTCTTTTCTGTCTTGAAATAAAGGTGTGTATATGTGTGTGTGTATATATATATATATATATATATATATATATATATATATATATATATCAGCTCCCAGAGCTTTGTACATAATCGATAATATCTTCCAAAACCAACAGGATTTCAGGATTATTAAAATTTGTGGTCATGTTTCCTATTTCCAGTCAAAATCTCAGCAGCAGACAGATTTTTTTGTTGACGCCAGAGAGCAAGGAGTTACAGTAGTCTACCTACTAGTTACAAAGTCGTAGTCCATGCAGCATGACTAACTGATGATCGCATGCTGTTATATTACCTGTGCATGTAGGAGGGTCTGGTTTCCAGAAGAAGCGACCGTTGATCTCCGTGCAGGTAATCCTGTTGGCTCCCTGCAGAATGTAGCCAGGATCACACTGGAACACCACATGGTCTCCAGGCTCCCTGCTGTCGCCGCCACGGGTCCCATTAGTAGGCATGCCCGGGTCATTGCAGGAGGTTGCAGTGGAGACTGAAGGCGCAAGAGGAGACTTAATAATCAACATGAAAATGATCTTCAATCACAAATTGAAAAAGTGGTATTATCGTCATAGTTCAGAGGTGAATTCTTTCTACTCTAAACCCAGTTACGACCAAGCCATTTAACCAAAGTGCCACTAACGTTTCTTTCACCTCCCTCCCTCCCTCTTTTCTACTCACTAGAGAACTGCAGAGCGAAGCCCTGCTTGCTAGTGAAGAAGTCTGTGGTGAACTGCAGGCTGACGGTGTTGAAGGTGCTGTGGGCGTCCGGGGGCAACATTGAGCCACTGAGCTCCCTCAGCAGGACCCCTCCTTCCTGGGGCCCATCCCAGATCCGAAGCACATCGTGGACCTCCTCCGTGTGGTAAACCAGGAAATGCAGACTGTTAAAGACAAAGACAAGATACATTGGAGGCCATGACATTTAATAGATGACATTTAGATGTAACCTCTGATATATTAAGGCTTTAACCCCACACGTCCCCTTACAATACAGAGCCAGAAAAAATGCTGTTAATTCTTTTTTTCTCAGAGAAATATTTAAGTACGTATGCTTTGACTATTGCCACCTCGTATTATATTCTATTTTGTTCTAACAGACCTTAGGCCCTTTTAATAGAAGCTAATTTAAACAGAAGCCCATATCTTGCAGTGTTTCCATAAACAGCTTAATTCGAGAGAAAAATGTCCATTCATTGGTGATGTGTAAAAAATCCTCCATCTTAAAAAACGCTACCATCAAGATTCAGTTTATTTATATTATATGGAGGCAAAAATTAAAAGTCATTATAAAAAAGCAGAATGGTAATTTCACTGTTTCAAAAATGTAAATAAGGATGAATCAGACCCGAGGAGGAGGAAACAAAGGGATTTCATCAAACTACTACGAGTATTTATTTAAGAATCAATACGCACAAGGTATGAATGTGATTGAAGTAGACAATATAAACAAAGGAAAGACAAAATGCAGGTAAAGGTCAAGAATAAAGGAGGCAAACAAATAGTATTTCAAAGTGAATCACAGACGTCAGATCCAGAGCATCCAATGGATGTTCCACATTGTCAGTCAAGCAGAAACGTCTGCCACAGCATTAAATAGTCTAGAGTCTAGACATGAGAAAGATGATGCTGTCAAAATATCTTGCCTTCACTTTGGCACAGACAGCTGTCAGCCAGCTGGTGGTCCACTGGATGTGAAATGCACTGTAGTTGTGTACTCGTGTTTGTGTGTAAATGCGAACAGCCTCAATGCAGTAGATTTGTAATGATATATTGCTTGGAGTCTTGTAAGTGTATGTGTTTTGGACATGCTCAGCAAGACTATAAGGATAGAACAAACAAGAGACTGGTAATGTGAAGAACTTGTTTAAAGACAAACAGTATTCTCAGCAGCTCTATCCTGCTGCACAGTCTCAAATGCTTACAAGAAATTATGAAAATTTGTCAGCTCATTCAATTCACGCCTTAACATTTTTTTTCTCTGAAACACATTGCTCTCTTGCATACCTTCAAAATAAGAGAAAACAGTGGCATGTACCGAGATGAAGGAAAACAATTTGTTTATGACAGGAAAAGAAAACATATTCTCTTAATGTTGCTTTAAATGCTCTACTTAGATGATGTGTGACATCTTGTCTGCGTGTTACTGAGATACTTCAATGCGCTGGGTAAATATGAGCTCAATGGGGAACACAACCTAACATCCTGGTACTGCCGTTAAAACTTTAGAAGTTTTAGAAAAGGGCATCCCAAACCTAATGAAAATGTATGGTATTTGTGACTTCAAAATATATTTGAATGATTCAAAGAGTCATTAAAAAAACTATTATGAAAATGATTTCATCATGAAAACTCAATAAAAAACATTTTGCCCCAAAGCAAATCCTGACTCTCCCTCATGTTTCAATAATTTCAGTTTTAATATAAAGCAAACACCACTTAAAGAGAGCAGTCCGTAGAGCTCTGCTTCTTCTACCATTTCGTCGACAAGCTTAAGCTTAGTTTATTATAAATCTATCCTACCAGTAGTAATTTTCTCAAAATCTGATTTCAAGTTGAACATGTTGAATGGTCATCTCTGTCCCAGTAAACCAGAGGAAATCATGCTACTTTTTTGAGATGTTAGTATCATCATCCCTTTACATACACAAACACAGAGCCTTGAGCTACAGATTATGCAGAGGAGAAGCAGCAACCCACTGATATGTCAGGTTTAGCAACAAGTTTCCACTGCTTCTGCATAATTGGTGTCAGACTCCGATCTCCATACTGTCTGATGTGTGAGCAGTAGCCAGAGGCTACTCAACAATGTGCTGTGTGTGTGTGTGTGGATACTGTACATAACCCACTTGACAAGTCCTGTTGTAATGCCTGTGAAAGAAGTGCACATAAAACAAACAGAAGCAGACAGGTTGCACGAGTATCTATTCACGCAAATTTGCACTGACGAGTATATTTGAAGGGTATGGCGCGTACATAAGCATCCCCGCCTGGTAAACGGATGCAGTGAGAGAGACACGCGTGCAATACAGTACATACATTAACCTCCTTATCTCTGCAGAGCAGCGCATCACATGTTCCCAACTTTCACCCTCAAAGAAATGGCATGAATACTAATCCTATTATTTGTACCCATTCCTCTGCTCACAGTTCTCTTGCTAATATTCACTGAAGCATAAGTAATACCCTGTGAGATATGGTAATCGTTCAAAGCTGTGAATGAAACATTGCAAATAAATAAACAAATAAATACATATGTGCTGCAGAGGAGATAAAAGAGAGAGTAAGCTAAACCTGTTTACTTCTCCTCAGTGCTCTGTGCCTCACAGACAAGCTATGTTGATTTGGTACCACACTTAAATTACAAGGCACACATGTTTTCTCTTGTGGCACTGATAATTAAACCCCTAAGTGTTTCGTCTATTAAGAGTTAGAGAAGGCACCCATTTATTTTGCTTAGGGTGGCTGCAGCTTAAAGATCAAAGACATGGGTGTCAACAACTCAGAGGTTGGAATAAAAAAAAAAATGTGAGTGTGAAAGTGATCCTTCTTTTTGAAAAGAGAAATTGAGCCTACAATGATCCAGTTGAAGACAGCAGTGCTCATTGGCAGCTCTTACCTAACAGGTGCCATACCTTTTGCAGATGTCGCATTTGCTATTCGATATTCCACAATACTTAGCTACGCAAACGCTGTGATAAAACCCTTAGGTACTACCATCTTTTTACCTATGCTCCACCTCCCTTTCCCTAGACAGGAGATGCTGAGGCGTTTCACTGGATTTTCCAGCATGATTAAAAGAAAAATAGCATGTTTTCTAATACATGTACTGGTGTGTGCCTTCCTGCGTAAACTATTAATGTGCATACAGTATGTACAGTATGTGTGAAACATATGTTTATCAAGACAGCTTTGAGGATGAGACTGAGTAACAGATGGTTCCGTGCGATTTGCATGGGCAATGTCGGAATCAAGCACCGGGTCACGTGTTGGATCCATGCTCGTGTGCTGACTGATCTTTTGTGCTAATGCAACCTTCAGGACTGTCAGACACCGAGTGGCATCATGTTCTACTTCCAGATTTATGTGTTAAAATGAAGATGGAAAGGTGGGTGGAAAGGAAGGCATACGTTGAAGGAAAGCAGAAGGTGAGGGAGGGAACAAAAACAGACCAACGTTAATCATTGCAGCCTGGCTGCTGGAAGAAGAGGATGATGGCAGGAGGATAAGAGGTTGACGGAGAGCAGAGGAAGCTCTGAAGGATGGAGGGATTTCTGCTGAGCGGTCGGATGGAAAGGATGGACGTGGGCTGCATGTTAGGATAATTGGTTCCTTTTATACAAGATCTAAATAGCCTATCTCTCCTTGTCACTATCTGAGAGTGAAGGCTGGGGGGCGGGATAAGGAGATAGTGAAAAAGAGAAGATGGTGAGCGGATAAGAGTGATGCAGGACGGTGGCAAGAAAAGAACTTTCTTTGTGGCCATTTGTCTTGCTTTGTAAGTGTGCTTTGTGATGCAGACCCCGCCGTCACATCTGTAGAGTGTGTGCACAGGTTCGCACTTGTTAAATGCAAACAAAATGCTTCACAGTTAGTCATCTAAAGTTATTTATTGCAGAGGAACAAGGAGAGACATGTTAGCTTCCAGTGGGGAAAGTCCATTTAAAGACAACTTTACACACATGCCTGGTAGGTGAGGCTGAGTGGTTGGGTGTGGGCAGGGTACATTAGGGATGAATAAAACTACACGTTGATAGAAGTGGAATTACTGTCTCACCAAGGAATAGGAAATGTGTGTGCGGTTAATGTTTTGTGGAATCAAAGAAAGTCATGTTTTGAAGTTTACGGCTAAGGGCTCTCCTTTACACTTGTCCCCTTCTTAACGAGATAAAGTAGCTCAATCAAGTGTCAGAGGAATTGCCGCGAGGAGATGAGATAGGGAAGAGAGGGATGGAAAAGATTTCTCAGGTCTCTTTTGATTCTGCCTAAATCATTTTGTATTCATATGAGGGAAACAGAGAGAGAAATATAGAGTGCCGAGACGCTCACATTACGAATACAAAATAGTCTAGCTGCAATCACGAGTCCTGTGGGGAGTCTTCAGTGTATGTGTACGTGTGCATGAAGATGATAAATAAGTAAGTATGTAAGGGGTGTATGGAAGCGTGTGTGTGTGTGTGTGTGTGCGTGTGGTACAGTGCAGAGGGATGAGGTCTGCTTTTTAGCAACTGATTGAGATTGTATGTACAAAGGCTATGTCACACAAACCTCATCAATATGTGTGAATGTGGCCTCTGTGCGACTGTCCCTGTGGGATCATCTGTTAAGGAGACACATGCATACTATGAGCTTTTAAAGTCACAAAGCCCATCAGCTGGTTTAACCAACGCATAGGGGGTTTCTTGACACATTACATTACATTACTCTGATCTCTGTAGCAGTAACCATTGAATGATCCATCGGAGAAGTAGCTCATTGCCTCCCTTATAAACTCTTTTCCTTCTTATTTTGTTACAATCTATGTATGTCTGTTTTCCACTCTCTCCCACCATCTATTCTATCTTCCATCAATAACTCTTGACAAACCAGTCCGTAGGCTTTTTTCTCCGTCCGGTCCGATTCATGTGCTACCTTCAGCTACACTATTTGATATACCATGAATCCCTGGGCTAATGCATAGCACATTCTTCTCAATAATGAATTGCGTGGGTAGGATCAAAGGCATGCATATGGAGCATGCAGAGGAAAGCCAGAAACCCAGAGGTAGCAAAGGTATACTAATGAACCTAAACCAGCTATCATGAGGGACCTAGGAGTGTCAGATGTGTAATCTATGGGGCGACATGCACACACAAATAGATCCATGCAGACAAACAAACATAACTCTACGATATTATAGAAATGACATGGCACAGTGAACAAACAAGTATACAGTGCAGTCTGAAAGTATCAAGACATGTTTTTCATAGTTTTTAAATAATTCTAGAACATTGGACCTGAAAAGCAAAATTATCAAACTGAGGCTAAAAACTTCTGCTGATGTTTGTGGACAAATATCAAAATGATATTTGATGTAAGTTTATCTTGAATTTTGAATTATTTCCTGTCCCTGTAGCTTTGTTTATAAAATGCATATACAAAGTGCTGGGAGGATTCATAAATGTTGGATTATGATGATGATGATCATCCAGGAAAAGTTAATCCAATTCATGAGAAGAGAAATATTATAGCCCCCTTACTTAAACCATCTATTATGTTGTGTGCCTATCCATCTATTCATCTATCCATCCATCCATCTACATACATACACTATTGTTTAAATGTTTGGAATCATATTCCAGAAAAGCTTGATTTGTTACATTCAGATGGCTGTGAGGACGACTCTTTTTTTATAGTCTTTCATGCTTTTAAGTTGTTGAAAATCCTCTTTACAAATATATATATATATATATATATATATATATATATATATATATATATTATTAAGTGTTTTTAAATAAAGTCATGTTTTGTAGATGGAGAACTCGTCGCTGTTAAATCGTTATACCACACTGAAAATTGAAAGAGCAGGAGGAAAATAAAGATCCCTCTTAGCAACAGTTGAATACGAATAGAAGGAATCATCAGTCGTCGGTAAAATAAATTGGAAGCTTAGCATCAAAACGTGTGCAGATTTAAAAAGGAATAAGTTCCTGTTTCAGTGTCAAGTGCACAATAATGCCTATCAAGAGATGGAATTTGAACAGGTGTGTTCCTTTAGCACAGCTATTCTTCAAACTTTACAATAGAAATGGAGAAGGTTAGTTTAGGGTTAGCACTATTCAAACTGGATCAATAAATATCAGACGGACTATGGACTGACAAATCACAGTTAAAACCTATTTATTCTTACAACTGCATAGACTACAGAGAGGCCCAAAGAAAAACAGGACCCAACATATTTAGAGCCCAAATGCACCGTTGTGTCCAACAGTATTCCCCCGTCATATGAATACAAAATGAGCGAGGGTGCATGCATGAAGAGTCAATGGAGAAAGACAAATAGAGCCGGTTGGAAACCACATTGCTGTAGGTGGAGGAAGCTGAATCATGTAGCTAATTATTCCCAAAGTGTCATTACATGGTAAAGAAAGTGTCCCCATCACAGTGTGGCTGATAAGCTAACTGTGTGTCCCCAGGTAATGATCGCAGGTGCCCCTCTTTGGGGTGCACCATTCACGGCACAACCCCCAAGGAATCAACACCCTGGGGCAGCCCAAGAACACATTCAACAGACATCTGTTGATCCCGCAGGATGAGCTGCAGGCTCATGGTGTGGGAAACAACTGCTGCCACTACAACCCTGACCCTCATGAGGTGCTTCACAATGACAGGCCTTCGTGATGCATGGACAAATTATGCAGCAAATATATTTGATCAATACATAACAAGAACAAAATATGGTGCTGGAGAATAACCCAAGTTTAAATTGTCTGAAAAGGGTATCAACGAAAAAACCTTGAGTCAAAACTATTCACCTTGCAGGATTTGTTCTTACTTAAATTTAATCAATTTCAGGAAAGTAAAGCATATAACACATACAAACACTTGACTTTCTTGAGGCTCTGAGGTGGCATTTCCCTTCACCCAGTAGTAACTCAACTATTGGCCAATAGCAGCTCACTGAAGATTGATTACACAGCAGTCTGTGAAAGTGATGAATACCACTGCAAAAAGGGGGCTAAATTGGAAGTATATTGAAAGGTGGTAGATTGAAAGAATGCCTGAAAAGAACAATGTAATCAGAAAACTAGAAGGCACAAACAGACCTAATAGTGCTTCCAGGGGCGGCCTCAATGGTCCACATGCAGTGCAGGTTGTGTTCGTATGGAGCTGGATAGCCAGGAGACAGTATGCGGCCAGAAGGCTCATCCTTGATGCTGCCGCCACACTCCGCTAAAAAGACAGAGAAAAAGAGAAAGAGATTAAAGAGGCGAGCAATGACTCGGAATAAAATAAGAGAAAGTGCAAAATAAGTACAAGCTCATCAATGTTCTGGAAGTCAAATTATTAAAAGGTTATAGCAAGGTTAACATACTTAACATGCCAGAAACCGGATCATCCCACTTCCAGTAAGTACATCACATCAGTTTCCTCTCATTATTATTAATAATTGACATATCAGTCATATGCTTAACTATGATGTGCTTCCTCATATGGCCTGCAATTTGAATGATAGGAGGGAGAGCAGCCAACTCGACATACTCTATGTGTATCTCCTAGGCTCAGCCAAAGCAATCCACCGTCTCAGCCAATGACCTCATCCCGCTGCCTTTGGAAGTTGATGGACTTGTTGACTGGACATATTAAGTTCAGTGTAACATTTTAAGAAGACGTTTTCACTGATATGGCAAAGGATTGAATATATCTTTAAGGATAAATCAGAAAATATATTTAGTGTACAGAACGAATACACAGTTGCCATTATGGATGTATCACTGATACCAGCATCTGCTGGGCAATATTGTAGGCTATAGATCACACCAAGAGACTGTCAATAATCATTTGTTCATCAGAGGAATGTCATTGAGCATGCCTGCAGGTGTGTTTGTAGGAGTAGTAGAAGTAGTAGTAGACAACATGATGGTTCTAGTATAGTAACACGGTTCAATAAGCCCCCCTTAGGTACACAACATACACCAAACATAAGCTCAGTCTCTCAATATATTTACAACAACACATATTTATGAAACTACAAAGCAGAGGCCAAAACGTTTAGTTAAGAACAGTGTGAAGGATGTTTTATTTTCAGCTTCGAATAATAAATTGCCATCAGAAATACTGACTGAGAAGCAATTTTAGGCTGCAATTAATTGCAACCTCTTACTCTATTTAAAAAGTTGAATGAAAAAAAAGCAGATTTTGAAGTGTTGTTGTTAAGATTTGAGGCAATTTAAACTGACAAGGAAAGGGTAAAATGTTTTTGTTTTTTTTTCTTCCTTCCACTGACAGGAAAATAGCTCCTTCAAACAGGTAGAAATGAAGGTCGAGGAATCATACTACTGATGAAGATGATAATGATGATTGTTGTGAAATCCATCTGCGAGACAAAGACCCAGTACTGAAATACAGCAGTATTGGCAGACACTCACAACCAGAGACAGAATAGTAAGAAGGAAGTAACCAACTAATAACACAGCACACGCACAAAGAAACACGGCATCAGACAGGGACGAACTTTGGTTTCTCCGTACAAATCAGGCATTAACGTTTTGTTACCTTCCATTTGACAAACATGCCTTTCCTAATGTTTGCAAATAAATCCTTCCTTTGTTTCTCTCCTCGTCTCCCTCCTTCATTCTCTCCATCTCCCTCATGCATTAAACATTTAAACAGCAATAATCACCAGAGCTGGCCTCTGATCATTTCTGCTGTCAAAGCACAAACACACGAAACAATACACATAGAGTTTATGCATGGTTGCAAAAAAAAAAAGAAAAACATTTGAAAGATTTGATTGTCATTTTTGCTTTCACTATCTTTGGAAAGAGAGGAACAATGCAAAATAACGAAAGCGTGAACATATTAATCTTTAAACAATTGCTGATGTGTCTCTCTTCAAGCTGTTTCTCTCTGTTATGCTTTTGTTGTTGAAAGAAACTTGTTGTTTCATGGAGACAAAAGAGAGGAGGTTGATCTATCACAGCACGACAAATCCATCTCTTTCTTCTCGCCTTATGACCTAAGAAACTACTGCTCAGTGCTGCCATGGCAGTGCAACTCCCTCAGCTACCCTATCCCTTCAATCTGTGTCTCCACAAAACACCTTTCTAAAATCAACTCATGTTCTGCCTCTCCCTCTCTTCAAGACATATTGTGTAACGTAATGTTTATATATGACAATAAAACATCTGGGTGACAATCAAATCAAGCAGACACATGCACTGCATAGTAATAATAATAATTTACTTAAGCAACACGTGTCAGTGAGACATTAATATGTAGACATGACGCTACATTTATTTGGATATGCACTGTAATATTAAGTGTCAATAAAATGTAACCCTGTTTTTAAACTCCGTGTCCACCCGAGAGCTGCTCAGTTATTCTGTATTGCAACTTTCCTCTTCTGTGACTTTCAGGATATGAACTCTCTCCACTGTTTTCAACTCAATTTCATTTTCCTCCCCTCCTCCTTCTCGCTTCATCCTTCTCATCTGTGTTCGGTGTGTCCCCACTGCTGGAAAATAATCCCACCATTACAAACAGGAGCAGTCGCTCATCTGCTCCCAAATTCACTCTGGCTGTTAGGCTATCAACCGCAGTGGAAGGGGCATGGGGAGGACAAACCTGCTCAGAGATATACAGTATGCTGGATGTTGTTTATTCCCAGTCATGAAATAACCTGTCAGTTTGGGTTGAAATGGAAGCCGAGCAATATTATTCTAATCACCTTGGCTGATGTCAAAGAACACCAACCTGCCTGTTTTCCTTACCGAGCTTCTGGCGGGTTTCTGAGAGACCTTGTCAAAATGTCACCCAGGAGAAGATCCCCAAAAACTATTTTGGGTTATTTACCAAGTCACCATGAGGCAGTATGTCTGTGAATGTATGTCACTTTAATAGTTTTGAATATAACGCCTAGCATGTCTGTCTCAGGTGTCAACAACAGACAGGTGAACTGTAGGTGAACTCTACAAAACGATCGGATGGTTGAACTCTCGACAGGAGAAAAGTATCTCCATGAAGTTGATTTCGAAAGTCTTAAGTCTCAGACTACGAGGGGTTAAATGTCTGCCTATGTGCTCCGGTGTGCTGTTGATTACGGGGGAGAATCTTATTTTGGGTAAAAACAAATAATACGAAAAGGATGTTTGCAATCATGATGCAATATGAATATAAGGAGCTGAACAGAGCGATGAGATAATGCACTGAATAAGGTGCTGGATGTCCCAAAATAGCAGAGCTAAAACAAACCACACAGTTTTCCCAAACCTGCTCTGTCATATTCACATTATTATTAGGATGAAGAACTAGGTCAGGCATTTTAGTTCTCCAGAAAAAAAACTAAAACTGGTAAGGATTAATGTGTCAAACAGTAAGGCAGCACCTGATAAATACATAATGTAATACAACGCTGTTTTACGCAACTGTAGCTGAATTTAACATCATGTAACACACTGTGATGTAAGGCAGGATAGCAGAAAATAGCATAACATTAGTAGCACTAGGTCAACTCCCATAAGGTAGCTGACGTAACCAGTGGTGAAAAGTACCCAAGTACATTTACTCGTGCTGCAATTAAAAATATTTTAATTTCTTTATACTTCAATACATTTCTATGTCAGCCTTAGCTACTAGTTATATTGCATATTTAGACTTTTTTTACATTACAGTTGAATTTGATCAGTTGTTTTAAATTAAACAACTAATCGTTTTCTTATTATAAGTGTACTAACATAGCTTTTTGCTGATCCTACTTCTGTACTTATTACTTTCCAATCTTGTACCGGGATATGTTTACGTTGTGGTATAAATACGTTTACTTCAATAAAGGATCTGAGAACTTCCTGCGTCACACACAGCATGATGTAACAAAGTTAGGTAAATATTATGCAATGAGCAAGAAGACATCAGCAGAACCCAAAACTGTATTGGCAAATACACTAATATTTCTGCCAGCAGCACGGACACCAACCCATTCAACGAGCATCTGACTCACCAACACAGAGTGGGAGGGGGCTGTTCCATGCCCTCCTTTCCCCCCTCAGGCAGGTGAGCACCTCAGGGCCTTTTAGGGTGTAGCCTGGGTCACAGATATACGCCACACTGCTTCCTGCAAAATGACCCTTGTCCTCCCGCTTGTAGCCAAACTGGGGAACACCTGGATCCTCACACTTCACCAGCTCAAAACCTTGGAGAGAGAGAGGGAACGGTGAGGAAGGACAGCAAAATTAGCGGGATGGTATTTAAGAAGAAAGCATGAATGTGGCAACAGTGAGGGGTTGAAACAGGAAATATAATCAAACTAACTCAACTGAAATGTAAATATTAAATGTAAAAACGGTGGGTGTTTGTGTGTTACTCACTAATGAAGTGCAGTTCAAAGCCTTTACTGGTGTTATCCGCATTGCTGATAAACTCCAGCCACATGGAGCTGGAGGTAGAGTTCAAGATGGTCTCGAGCAGCTCGCTGCCGGTAAACACCCCCAGCAGACGAGCCGTATTACTGTTGCCATCAAAGACCTGGAATGGAAGGAGGGAGAGTGGGAGGAAGCGTCTGCATTAAAATGATCAGGTCGGCACACACAGCTACGCTAACGAGGCTGCGATTTACCCCCCCAAACCCCCCTCACTTTGAGCAGGTCATCCTCCTCGAGTCTGAAGTCCCGTGCCCGTAGCTGGATGCCTTTGCCGGGCTGCGTCTGGATGGAGTAGATGCACTCGTGGTTGTTGCTGTAGTAACCGGGGTAGTTGGGTGAGAGCAGCACCCCTTGCATGCCAGTCACGGATGAGCCGCATTCAGCTAGAGAAAAAGAGAGGGAGCAGAGAGACGGACAGATAGACAGAAGGAGAGAGGAGGGGGAGAAGGGTGGGTGGTGTTGGAGAGAGCAGAGGACATGTCAATCGCTATATGCTTGAAACTCACAGTGTATTCATTCATGCTGTCATGCAGAGGGAGGCGGGAGACGGGGATGGGAGAGGGATACGGTCAGTGACTATACCTCAATGTTGAGTGGCACATCATCATAATCGCAATACAATCTGAATATGATTTCTAGTAATTTCAGCTCTATTTGAAAATTGCTTTGTGTTTGAATCACTTCAGGAAGAGAGTGAAAATAGAAAGGCAAAGTTTTCTGTAGAAAAATAGCTGCAAGAATTGAAATGACCACAAACGTATCTGGAATATTAGCTTGTGCAGGTGAGGTAAGATGAGGTGACAGACAAAGTATAAAGATAAGTATTAAACTTCTAGAATAAGGCTGGATATTATTGTCAGAAGTGTGAAAAATAAGTAAATGTTTTATCACTGTCAACCTTTAAATATTTGGATTCATCTAGAGGAAATATAAAAGCCAGCGCAAAAGAGACAGTCAAGTAAATGTGAATACACTGAAATTGCTTGACCTACTTATAACACATGCCCAAACAGTCACAACAAACATTTATATCTGATCGATTGTGTGCAAGTAAAGGAAATAAATGTGACTTCACCAAATTGCATTTACTAAACTGTAATTAATTGTTGCCAAAAGAGTGTCAAAATCGTAACGCTTACAAATGACTCACTTACTTTAGAGACAAAACAATAGGCAAGTGGTATAAATACCGCCTGGAAATAATTACAGCTGTTCACAATTGCTGTCCCATATGCAGTTTCTGTTTAACAGTGCATGGATATACAGAAAGGAGCCATGCTAAGGACAATCACAAATAGATCAGTCATTGTCACGGTCTGTGCTTTACCTATTATTAGGACCATTAGGATACAATTTGCTCCCTTATTAACACTCTAATCCAACTCTTAAGGTTTGGTACATCATATAATCAACATACTGACCTAAATCTGTCCAGATTTACTCATGTTTCCCAGGCATTAGCGACGAGCAACATCAACAATTAACATATTGCAGCTCGTTAATGTCATCCTCATTACAGCTGCTGCTCCATATAATTTGGACAAAGTCAAAAAGGCTGTTTCTGGGAAGCTATCCAATGAAGAGACATAACGTGGGCGGATGGAGGGATGATAATGAAGAGAATTGAAAGGGAAATGCCTCGACTTCCAACGTGACTGACAGTTTTGTAAGTGGATGGGTGGGTTTATGCGAAAGGGCTAGTGAGGTTACATGGTATTGCGAGGGGGATAGAAGGGGAGTGACAAAAGCCAAAATAAAGCATGTGACCACCTACCAACACACCTTGGCAGAGGGGAGCTCCACACCCGCCTCCTGCCTCCTAAGCAAATCACCCTCGCTGGACCCTCCAGTCGATAACCCGGGAAACAGGAGAAGATGAGGGCGTCACCCACCCCGTATTGCAGGCCCTTTCTGGCACTGTATGGTGGGATTCCAGGATCATCACATGGCTCCAAGTCATACTCTGGAAGAATAAAAAGAAACGGTGTAAAGGTAGTGTCTCCACAGATCTATTCATCCATATATACCAGGTAAACTGGGATGTCTGTTTTGTTTTCTTCTAGAAGATAACGTCATAGTTACTTCCATGACCTGTGACCTTTTAATGTGTGTAAATATAACTGGTTAAGACTTCCGTCATGCTTTGAAAGGATTAGAACTTTTCCCCACTGGATAAACAGGAAGGTGAAACATTCTTTAATGAATCAACATGTTATTTATCAAAATCAATAAAGCATCATGTGCTATTGAGGGGGTCGACATTTAGGCCTCCAGCGAGTCATAGATTTAAATCCATGCTGCAAAGCTTCATGTTGTTTTTAAATAGGTGGTATTTTTACATTAAACTGTCAGTCTACTGGACTTTGTGATCTTTTTTTATACTGTGTCTTGGTGTTCATATCCAGGGATGCTGTGAGAGCAAAAGGAGGAGAAATGATGCTCTCAGTGGGTCGAGGCCCATCTGTGCTCTATCCTAATTGATAATTTAAAATTAATCAATTCTCTGGATGTTAACCATTTCATAATTCACTCTCGAGTGGCTGCAATTACATATTTCTAGGACGCATACTTAGATAAGTATTTGCTTCTTGTTTATGGTGGGCTCCTCTTAAATAAGCATACCTGTTTGTGTAGAAACATACCCTTGTATTCAAAAGGTTAAGGCAAGTCTCTGTTCCATACTCAGAAGCCTGAAACGTCCGATCTCAAAATGAAACTAAAATGGGTTATGGCTAGAAAATATATATCTTTTGTTTGTATCGTTCATGAGAGTTCATGTGTTTACGTTATCCTGTAGTTCTACACTTGTAGGGAGGTTGCATTTGCAGTTTTGTGTGACATGTTTACATGCTAATTTGAGTGCAGTGCGTAAACTGCTTTAGATTAAAGTTCCAGTAATGCAATGAAGTCATGAATCAAGTTCAAATTTAGGCTTAAAATTAAAACAACACTTCAATTTTGTTTTGATTTTGGTGGTCCTAGAGAGGCATCAGTATCACACGAAGACTGTTTCATATCCAGTAAGAAGTGAAAAACCTAAATACAACATGACAAGACAACAGTAACATTTTCTCTAAGCAGCGAAGAGCATCCCACCGACCTAGGAATCCCCATCCCTTCCCAGTTTCTTTTACAGTTCTATTACAACTAGAACAAGACGGATCCTTTGTCGCTAAAACCCCTTCAGTGTTTAACCTCTCAGCATCAGCCCCGTCTAAAATAATTGTCTCAATACTGTGATCAGCACTTGTTTCATCTATCCCTCTTTTCGTCTCTTAACATTTTGAATACCCAAATCCACTCTTACCAGAGAAAGTGATGTTGAATCCCTCGTAGGAAACAGAGAAGTCGGAGAGAAAGCGGATCTGAGCCGTGTAGTTTCCAAATAGGCCTGCACTGAGAGTCAGAGGCAGTGTGGAGCCCATCAGCCTCCACAGGGGCTGAGAGAAGCTGCCATTCTCTGTCACCAACAAATGGTCGTGAGGGCTCTCAAGGTGGAAGGTGTGGAAGGTGAATTGGACACCTGAATAAGAGAAGAAGACAGACTGGTAAAATGCGCTTTTAATATTCTATTTTCATTCACGACCTTTACATAAGTAAATTAGAATTAAATGGTATTCTCATTATCCTATATGTCCAAATAATTAACTCCTGCAAGTTGGAATTCAAAAAACTAAAGACAACTAAATCTTATGTCCACGTCAAATAAGCTGAAGTCAACAAAAGATTCTCAGTTTCATAATGCATAGAGCATCAATTCCCTGTCTTCCCTCTCTACTACTTATCAAACACATTACACACAGGCATAGAGAGCATCTGCAAATAAGGCTACATGACTGGAGCACCGTCCCTTGGCGCTGCAGCCCTAGGCCAGCCTCTCAGCGCGTCTTACAGAGACAGCATGTTCGGCAAAAATAAAAAGGCCACTCAGTAGGGGGAAATGACATTGTAAGGGAAATTGAATTTGACTGCTGCATGCGTTTACACAGAATTTCTCTGCTAACCTTTGCCATGGGAGGTCTCGATTATCCATGTGCAGTTCAGGTTGTGAGGGTAGAAGTCTGGGAAGCCAGGTGACAGGATGGTGCCAAAGTTGCCTTGGATATAACCTCCACACAATGCTGACGACACAGGGCGAATGGGTACAGCGGGCGATGGACGATGGAGAGAAATGAGAGGAGAGGCAAAATCAGAGGGCGAAACAATGTGGACGAAGACAGAAATAAAATGTCCCCCCCAAAAAACAGCAAAACTTGCATTTACAATGCGGTAAAATACATTTTACAAGAGGTGCCCTTCAAGACGGCATAAAAAGGAAAGAGTGGCATCATCAATATCATTACAGAGTGGGCAGAAATCAATACCGTCCTTAAATATAAAAGCATTTACAGATGAGGAAAAAGGGAAACATCAAAGGGGAGGCTCAAGGCCCTACATATAAAACATTTATGATGAAATGAGCCCGAAAATTTGAAAGCCTAAAACAAGAGTTGCTGAAAGAAACGTTATCTTAAATGGATTTTATAATAACTCAGAGATATATATGAATTTAAATGTGATGCAATATGAAGCAAAGTGCTCAGAAAAATTTCCCCCTGTTTCATCTGGAATAACATACAACAATGAATGTAACTTTAATCCCGTCTATGAATAGGATGAAATCTGGCAGGAGACTATTCATTTCTAGGTCAATATTATGGAACGTACCATCGCAGCTAGGCAGGGGCCGGCTCCACTGAAAATTGGGTTCACACTCTAAAGGCTGCGTGTCACTAAGTGTGTAGCCCGCCTCACAGCTAAATGTTACCAAAGCGCCCACATAGAAGTCATTTCCATGTCGCTGGCCGTTGACAGGTATACCAGGGTCCACGCAATGATCTGACTGTAACTGCAAGGCTAGAAAGGAACGGGACAAAAAAAGAGAAAAAAGTTACACAGAAACACGGATACTGAAAGTCCACCTGCTTGCAGTGTAATTAGGCTTATACCCTGTTTCCAATAGGTCACGTTGACGTTAGAAATGTTAAAAGGCAGCTTGCTCTTCGAAAGCAATCCCGATAAATAATTAACTTGAACATCATTTTTGAACAGGAATAAACAAATGAGAAGTTTCAGCTCTATTTCCCACTCCACCGTGCACAGCTTCTGCCTAAGTAACCATCGTAGTGAATTATTGAAGCTTTGCAGAGATTCATCACAGAGAAAGTGCAAAAGGTTACCAGTGTCAGCCACACAGGTAGAAATGAGGACAGGACTGCTTTAAGGGTTGGATTTACAGCATGAGTGATGACCGGTGTGCACATGGAATTTTGAGCATGGTATTGTGGGCCAAGGCAGAGATAGCTGCAAGAACAATCCCACCCCATTTACCTTCTAATTATAGGTGTTGTAATAAGAACAACTTCATGGTGAAATTGAGAGCCTGCAGAGATTGTATTTACAACCAAGACTGTATAGCTTTTATAACTTGTACGGTGAACAAGGCTTATAGCTGCTGTCTCTGATTAGCTGCGTATTGTAATAGATTCATTTCTACTAGGGTTCTGTGAAGCATGGGTAAATTAGTCCTTCCTTTACAGTATATCTATTCTGTATCTTTAGGTGTAAGGTTTGACTCTGCGTTATTAACTTCACTCACAACTCTAAGCCCTTACTTTCGTAACGTATGCGGAAGCCGATGTCCGAGTGGCTCTTGTCAGTCGAGAAGAGGAGATGCACGAAGCTGGAGGTGCTAATGAGGAACTGGGGAACCTGGGTACCCTGGTAGCTACCAATTAAAGGTGAAGAGGGAAAACGTCCATCACGCACCTCCAGGACGTCATAGTTGACCTCTGTGCGGAACCTGAGAACAGATCATTTGAAAAAAAAGGTTTTTATGCTTCACATAAAAAGAAAAAATAATACAGCATTTGTATTGTGATGCAAATACATATGGTCACATTATGTTCCCACTTGGGATGTGTACACCAGCAAAGTCAGGATACAAATAATTAATATCTTACTGGAAACAACTCTAAAATGTCAATAAAATAAATCATGTTCCTGAGTGAAGATTAGCAGGAAGGAGGAACAAAGACATTAGTCAGTACCAGTCATTCATCCTGTCTTCTATCCTCTTCCCTCTGCTGATGTTACTGCTTGCAGGTACCGCTGGTAAAAGGGAGGTGGGACTGCTTTGTCTCAGTCAGCAGATCGTTTCTCAAGGATTCTAAGATATGTGGTGAACTAAGCTAAACAGCTGCACTACATACAGAGAGCTTTTGTTTTAGTTTGACTGTAACAATTTGCTTTTTATCCAAGCGAGCTCGCTGTATTTGTGTAAACATAACCTTGGTTCAATTTCTCTAGTCTGCGTTTCATTGGTAAATCTGATCAGCGGGCTAAAGTGCTAGTCTGGACTACCTACCAGACATAGTGAGCAAATGTCCTGAGTACACAGACCCTAAAAGCTTTTTTTATTAGTTTGGAAATATGCACCACTTAAACTAAAGATTAACTGAATGATAAGGGTCTTAGAGAGGGACACTGTGTCAAAATGTACATGGGCTGTGCTAAATACATTAGCATTTTACTAACTTACTGCAAACAGTAGGTCAATAAGGCCGATAGCTATTTTTTGCCCTGGGCCCCCAAGCGGGTTAATCTCTTTTTAGATAAATGGATAATACTATATTCCACAACAATAGCTTTTCCAAAAAAACAAAAGATTATTAGCTTTTCAACGTTTGGCCACATTTAAAAAGAGATTTATGCTTGAATGATGCTTTTTTCGGATGAATAGAGAATAATTTCAAAGATTTTGACCATAGTATGGATTTCTTTATGTCAACATTTTGCTTTTAACCAACATTTGAAAACTTCGATTTAAATCAAATAATTTCCTTTGGCTTTTGACACGGTTTGGTGAGTGCATCAGTGTAGCATGTATGTATGTGTATTAATGTGTGTGTGTGTGTGTGTGTGTGTGTGTGTGCGTGCTTGTTGTGCGTCTCTGCCTTTGCTGCCAGAGCCACTTCATCTTCAAAGCCATGAATAAATTGCTTAGTTTCAGTACCATGTCATCTAAATGAAGCGGTTTGTGATATTTTATTGATGTTACATAAAAATTAAACAACAACAAACATTTATGTTGTATTCATTTTGCCTGCTGTGCTATCGTGGCAGGGACGAGGATGAGATGGGCTCACAAGGATGAGCCTTAGTGGAACGCTAATGTAGCGTTTGATGGTACGACTGTATGTTCCTCTGTCTCTCACTGAAACATCAGGACGAATTCACTTCTCTCTCATCTCTCCGGTTCCCCTTGACAGATCATGTCCACTTAAATATGCATTCCATATGAATGCATACATTTACAAACGTGTGTGTACCTAAGGATATCTGTGGATCTTCAGGAAGTGGGGTATCAAACAGCTAAATAAAACATAATGTTATCCTAGTTGGGGTTTATGTTAATGTGCATTAGATCTACTGCATTACTGACAGAAAGGGAGGAGGAAGAGAGGAAAACAAGTGACAGAAAGCAGCGAGATGGTTGCTAAGATTGTAAGAAGGTAAAAGAAAATCCAAGCTTACTCTGAGAGAAAAAAAACAACAACAGTGAGGTAGAGGAAGTTATCTGGGTGACTCACTTGTCAAAGATGATCTTGATGGGGTAGCCTGGAGGAGCCTCAATGATCCATTCACAGTTGAGGGCCTCCTTATAGAGTTCTGGCCAGCCAGGGGAGAGGATGATTCCACTGGGAGCCTTCAAATCCCCTCCACATGGCGCTAATGGAGAGAAAGAAGATATTGAGGGAGAGAAAGAATAAATATAGATTGAATTATGCATCTTTCCCATCTGATATATGACAACGTCCATAGAAGATCCCATGCATCAGCTGGGGCATTTCTTTTAGTGCCAGGGTCTATCTAATGTCAATTGGTGAGAGCTCACTTCAAGGTTAACCGTCTCTCCTAGGAGCACACATATTCATTGTATGTGTGCATGTGTGCACACGGGCATGCATTGCATATCCATGTGTATGCATATGTTTCCTCTCCTGTCCCTTTGTCTCTAAATCTGTCATCAAACCCCTCCTGCAAAAGTGCTGCTGTCCCCATCAAACAGAGAAAAGAGAACGTCTTTGATCGCCAGCACAAAAGACACTTGAGCACATCGACCCCTCTCCCGTACCCTCACCTCTGTTACTGCTCGCTTTGCTGTACATCTCTGTAACTGCCTATCCTTAACCAGAACACAGGCACAGTAGAGGGCTTAGTTACAGTGCCAGCTCCTCGCTCCCTTTGAAGTGGAATGATTTAATCAGCCAACTCAGCATACTGAAGGACATCTATAAAACGCATTAAAGCTACAAACGCAGGGGTATGATAGATGGTCTCAGGGGAATACGACGCTGCTGTGGCACACAGGGGGAAGTGACATGTTTTCATAATGGTTTCTGCTTTGCGTATCTTGAATAGTGAGCCTGATTAGACCCCTTAGAGCCCTAAGCATGTCTGTGCTAAATGTGCTATACGCTGCTGGCGTCCATGAGCCTAAGCTGGTTAACACCTACCTTCCTTTTAGCTTTGCCAGCTCTATTGGTCTTTCTGATTTGCTGGAAATAGTTTATTGATATTGAGTCAGAGAGGAATAAATGGATGGTTCAGCAACCTGCATGCAAGCACAGGATGTCTGCAGCAACAGACACTTGAGAGAACAAAGCTTCTGTATCACCACCAGCAATCACCACCCTTTCGTCAGATCTTTGTGATCTCTGCCAGAAGGATGAATTATTATTGTTATTATAGATATTGTTGATGACACTAATTAATTATATCTGCAACAAATGTAAAATATATAGAATGAATGCATCCCAGAAGAAGCAGCAAATCTATTTTGATTGATTTCTTGTCCTCTCGTTTATCAACAATAATCAATTCAATATTTGGGTGTGCAGAAGATATAATCTCTTTACAATCCTGAGATGCAGTGAGGCTAAATTATTAGCCACAGTTAACATGAAAAAAAGCATATTCCAATATGATGGTTTAGAACAGTTGTACTTAACCTATAACACAGTGGGCACCGGGCTAATGAGATGCTCGACCATGGAACAAATGCTTTTCATGCGTTGTTTTTTGTATACACCCATGTGTGTCCCCAGTAATAGGTTTCATCTCATGCCACCTAATGAAAAACGCTGGAGAGTGTAGTTAAAATGTTCCGGTTAGGCAACAAGCATCCGAAACCTGTTGTAAGATGGCTGTCATGAAGGGTAACACTTGTTTACTCACCCTCACAGCGGGGAACTGCATTATCCCATACCACGTTGCCATCCTTGAGAATGCAAGAGATGGTTTGCGAGCCGTGGGTCTTAACAAAGCCCTCCTCGCACAGGAATGAGATTGAACTGCCCAGCTGAAGGCTCTCACCAAAGCGTTTCCCATTGACTGGCACACCTGGGTCTGGACATTCGTTGTGACGAAATGCTATTGGACATACAGAGAGGAGATCGGGTTAGTATGAAGGAGAGCACAAAGGTGTGATAGTGTTCAAATACTGTTAGAAAACATTAAGTGCCCTGTTGTTGAAAACACGAGAGAGAACAGCTCACCTGTAATTCGGCAGGTATTAATCCTTGTCACACATTACATTTTCCGTGCAAGGATGCTAATTTCCATAGAGATTCTAAAATAATTACCTTAGTTTATGGACAAAACTTTTTTCCCCTACTGTCAGCATTTAGCAATGCCAGCATTTAACGAGAGAAAATTTGTTTCACTTAGTGAGTCATATTGATTCAATATGCTGCAGTGATTACAGAGGGTGGGAAACAACACCGTATGCAGATCATCAGGCCAGATGTTGAATGATACGTGGAGTAAACACAATGGGGGAGAAATAGTTTTCCTACATCCTCAAGATTGTATCAATCAAGCCTCTCAACGAAGCTTCAAGCAGGAACCAGTTAGAAAGGCCACGAAGAAACGCAGTCACACAAGAAGAGGCATAACCCTGGAACAAGGCATGTAAACAAATACATCACCTCCACCACTATCTCTCTCACTTACTCTCTTGCTCTCACTCTTGTACACGCATGCAGTTAAGTGACACGTGTAGGTGTTGATGAATCCCTCTTCTGTATCCATTGGACCCAAACAGAGTGCCAGCCACACCTCATCCATCATGATCATCTTATTTATTAAAGTGCCAACAATCCCCTCAATACAGTTTGGCATGTGCTTAATTAGCATGAATGATGGAAGTTGACCGCTCAGCACCACAACCCCCCCCCCCCCCCCCCCCAAAAAAAAACAGTCCTGCAGTTAGATGACACTGTTTTCAGGAACAAACCGTCATCTTCAATTAACCGGTATTGACATTCATTCACCATGCTGCATTGGTAATTTATTTATTCATCTAATTGGCTAATTAATGCAGCAGTTGCCATGTGTTGTCCCCATTTGCAGCTTTACAGAGGCACCTGGGTTGGCTTGATGACATGTCTGCAAATGAGCAAGAGCAAGGTCCCAAAAGGGGTAGGCTGACGTATGTTATTTTAGCTAGAGCACCAGTATTTTAGGAACTAGAAACAGAATACAGGATGAGTCCTCAGAGTGCATTGCAATTTTACATACCAGCTACCACTGTGAAATGGATCAGATTATCACACAAAGAAAACATTCAGTTTGTTAATTACTAACACTGTGTTGAAGAGTTTCTCCAAATATTTTTGCGTCAAAACACCTTATCAGCTACATAGCAGGTATGACGTTTACAGGCCCAGAAACATCAGACATCCATGTGAGAAGATCTTTGCATGGACGTCCCTGGAACTATCATTTTTTTTTTTTTTTTAAAGGTTACAGTAACTATGATGCTCAGCACACATTGTTTTTTAAGTACAAGGAGGGATGGCTGTTTATGATCGGTATACAAACCTAACCTATGAACATACATGTTCATGATAAACGATTAGAGCAGAGCCATATGTGAAGCAGTTAACCAAAAGTCATGGATATTTCTGTGTGCACAGTTACGTTCAGGTACATTACCGTTAGTAATAGAAACAGACAGCATTAGATGAGATCGAAGATGAAGTCCATTTCATGTTCTGCTGCTCATCATAAGATGATTGAAGGGCTACATGCTTTAGTAAAATATCCTTTATTGCATATGAGTTCTTTTGGTTGAATGATTCCAAAAAAACGTGAGCTGCATTTTAGGGAACATTTTTTGTGGCAGATGTTATGTGTGTGTGTCAAGCTTTGGACAAGAAAAAGTTATTTGCTTCCAAAGTAATGTTGAATGTGAGAAGTTATGTTCTTGTCTTTTCCCACCGGGACTGTATTTTTGTTGTCCATGTGGACTGGACACTTGTATGTGCATGTTATTGTATTAACACAATACACGAATGAAATGCTTCCCCCAAGCAGCTGGATAACTCTGTAATGATGTGGTAACCCCAGGGCGAGAAGTACAAAGAAGATCATACAAAAGCATCAAACTGTAAAAGTAAAAATAACACTTTATTGCCTCCATTAAAGTGAGTCACTGCTACTAAATTTAGTACCAACTCTTGTTGAGAAAAACCTCCCAACGGCACCTTAAAGATTACTATCAATCTTTGTGGCTTTATAGGGTTAGGGTTAGACACCATGGAAGGGAATATCTAATTTGTGTAAAAATGCAAAGATCAGGCTCATTACAAAATGATGCATAATGCAATGAATGCACTGCCACTGCCAAACCCTCATGGTACAGTATCTCCAAGAAATGGGTTTACCAGCATGCAGCCAACGGTTACTGCGTCAGAGTACAAAACCCATCTGGAATTTCCTCACAAGTCAGCAACTACCCAGAATAGAATATAATGAGCACTGCTGCAATGTATCTGTCAGGTAAGGATCCTGCATCTTTGTTAGGGTTTTTATTTAGATGTCTCTATTTATACAATAAAGACAGGGTTTTTGTCATTTCTCTATGTGACTATGTGTGTGCAAAGAATGTGTTGCTGATGGCTGAAAGGTGTTTATGGGGTCTGAGGGAGACATAGATGTGGCAGATGATTCATCCATGCACACACACGCACACGTACAGATACACATACTGTACAGTACATATGTACAAACATTATACAATACAAAACATCCAGTCAGTACAGGATTTTGGAGAGCAGGGCCGTCCTTCAATCACACTCAATACCTACTTGTAAACGTGATGTTAAAGCCTCTGTCTGTGTAGGTGTGGTCAGTCAGAAACTCCAGCCGGGCCACATGGGCACTAGTTGTTATGGGAGGAGGTAGGGCGTCACCGGAAAAGGTACCCAGGATAGGAGACTCAGCCTGACAAAAAGATTAAAGGCATCATAAGCTTAAAAAGAAAAGAAGTCAGAGAGTAAACAGCTGCTATGGGGAGGTAGACAGAAGGACTAGCAAGTCCAATGATGCTGGAAGACGGGTTTAGTTCGTACACATATTTATAGTCTGCTTCTCCTACTGACATGCACAATGACTGATCAACAGTTGTTGATGCAAAACAGAGCTATGCAAAGTAACTGAGAAATACAGCTTCTAATTCAACACTACCTTTCCACCATCTTTTATCGAGAGGAAGTCAAACTGTTTCTCCATGCTGATGTCGTTGAAGGCCAGATTGATGCGGCTTTCAGGATTGCTGATGATCAACCACACACAGTGCATATTGTTGCCGTACTCCTGAGGGTAGTTGGGAGACAGCAGCACCCCAGATGGAGTGGTAAAGTTGAAGAAACAGGAAACTATAAAAGGAATACGGAGATATAGACAGAGATAAATGGAGAGAAACAGAAATAAAACAAAGCAACTGAGAATTGTTTCAGAGCCTGGAAATCATAAGGGATGATTCTATTTAATTTTGCTGACTACAAGATAATATGATTTGATCGATTTTATTGAAGAAAATATGTGTGTGGAACTTGCCCAAGACGTTATTTTAGAAGAGGTTGTTTGTGGCAAACTTGAACTATTTATCTACCATTATATGAGAATAAGAACCCACTAGAAAGAACATCTTATATAAGAAAGCCTTGTGGAATGAAATGGGCGGAGAGGAAACCTAAGCCGAACAAAAATCTGACAACAAAACCGGAGAAATCATTGCTTTGAAGCAATGTCTAGCTATAGGGAAAGTGTTAGCAAAATGAAAGACTCATCTCCCTCCCTGAAAACTGTCAAGGCTGTCACTTGATCCCAGTACCTCCAATTAATGTGCTTAGAAGGCAACGGCACAATACCTGGATGTTACTGGGCAGATAGCCTTCCTTGAAGAGTCAGCTCACGATTTCTGCTCTGTTCATGGTGGTCTGTCAAGACTAAACAAGTGTATGCTTGGGAATGAAAATGACAGCACTGACAATGCTGTCCTTCACAGAGATATCTACATCTGATGGGATACACAGGCCGCTACTCGGCTGTCATTGCCCCACTTCTTGAACTATCCTTTGGTCTGTACATATATTTGAGGTGAAACATAGGCCATGAAAAAGAAGGTCGTTCTAGCTTCCAGGTGCTGCGATCTATCGATTGTGTAAGGATGTTTCACTTAACAGTAAATTTAGAAAAATGACGTAAGTTGGCATTTAATGGATGTACCAAATTTCACAAATGCACATTAGAGAGATACTTAAACATGCACTGGTGCTTCAAATATATGAATGCAACTATCAGAATCTGCAGCCAAGGTTCCCTTTTTTATTATTAATGATTAAATGAATCCTATTCAAATGCTTACCCAGCAGTGCAGGAGCAATGTTGACAACTAATATTCTCTTCCTAAGTTTAATAAGAGAGAGAGATGACAAAGGTTCTGCCTTCTACCTTTTGCACTCATGCGGTGAATGGCTTTATCTCAAAATTTCAATTAGTTCTGCATCTATGTGTGATTTCTTTAGGACTTCTTCCATTTCCCCTTAACAATGATTAGCTACAGGATGTAATTGTTCCTTATACCTAATGCATGTGTAAATAAATAAGTAGGCTATATGCATTATCATATTGGATGATGAATACAAGCACCCTGCATTGTGTCTACATGGCTACATTTGTTAAATGTCAACTAAATAAACAATGTTTAGCAATATTATTGGCCAAAGGTTGTGCCAGCAAGTCATTCAGCTCAGTGATGTTTATCTAGGTACTGCAGCTTTTTGGCCACCCTATTATCATATCAATAACACAAACAGTGGCCATTATCTGCATGGTCAGCTCTCTTTTCCTTTTGCCCTCCCCCTCTAACTCTGTCACTCTCTGTGTTTGTCTTTCGTGGCTTTAATTACTTAATAAGCACTCTTACTGTTGGCCTCTGCTGGGCAAACTGTGGGGGATAATCTGATCATTTGTTATGCAGCCCCCTCTGCGCTCATCTGCACAAACATACTTATTTATGCTCCTCTTGATTAGTGAAGCACATGTCTGTACATGGTGCATGTAGAATCTAAATGACACACGGTATCCGAGAACTTACAAACACAGCTGGGTTTCTTAGCCGACCACTGGTTGTTCTTCTGACAGGTGATGTTCTTCTTCCCCACCATCTCAAAGGCAGGCAGACACTCAAAGTAGAGTCGTTCCCCGTGACGAAAACTTGTCCCCTCCCGCTTGCCATAAGCTGGGATTCCGGGATCTCCACAACTGCCTTGGTCAATTTCTGTTTGGGTAAAAATAAATACATAGGTAAGAATGTGATGTATGCAAAGCAGGAATTCATAAAACAAATAAAGACCTGCTCCTGTTTGAATCACAATAGATATACATTTAACACAAGCCCACTCCTCCTCTCTTTAACCTTTATATTATCTGAAATATAAAAAACTACTATTTATGTATTGAGCATAATGGACCACAATGGTGGCCCTGTAAATGAGAAGTGTCCTTTCTACAGTTTTACTAACAAATGCTAGATGGATTAGTTAAAAAAGAGGAGGGTGGGGGAGAGAGAAAAGAGGCATCTCAACTTAAGGTTATTACTGACGGTAGCCTCCAGCGGATTTTGACAAGATACTACTACACAGGCAATAAGTGATATGAAGATGCAGGACATCACACTAAATTAAAACAGATAGAGCTGTTTCTCATGAATTCCTTTTTTCAGGAAAATGTGGATTCAGCTTATCGCTACTGATTTAGTCTGACCCTATATTTTGACAGGGCAAAAGTCCTTAGGTGGCCAATTGAAAAATATTTCCCCAAAAACAGATTTATTCATTTACTTTACCATTTACATATATATATATATATATACATATATATATATATATACATTTTCTTTTGCTGACTATGGAAGCCTGGAAGAATAGTGCAGTCATGTAGTCTGCAGTCCAGAGAAAGAATGACTTCCCTTATCGTTCTGTACAATGCTATTCTGCAGCTAACTCTCAACTGTTGGATGTTGGAACTTTCCAATAGCACATTGTCCACCTTTCTTCCCACAGAGACGACGAGAAAAATACATTTACAACTTGTGGAAAAAAATAAGGTGAACATTGCATGCAGAATAGGATGCACTCTACATTATTACCAGCTCTTATTACAGGAACATTGTGCCAATTTTTTTATTTATTTTTTGACCTATAGGGCAAGATGAGGAAGAAATACTTGAACAACAGAGAGGGTTTGCATGGAGTGGGGCATCTTGGAGAACTAGCTGTTAAAGGTGCATGTCCTTCGCAGTAACCTTAGTTGGTTCATGAATCTCTAGCTGAAGAGTGTCCGGGGTCATTGCTTCATTGTTCCTGGTTTTAGAATCGAAGACAGTCCTGTCTAGCAACTTGAATGAATATTAGCAATGACTGAATCAGTGAAGAGTTAATTTTGGGCTGAAGAGGCAGACTAGCATCAACAATTCATGACATCAAAATCAATATGACTTCTTTATTGCCCCTTAACAGGTATTACATTTCAGGACAATTTCATTTTTCACCAAGTAATCCTTACTTCTCTTTATCCCCCGAAAACATTAATCACTTATGTTGCAAACCTCTCTCACATCGGTCTCTCTCTCCCCCTGCAACTGTATCTGTATCCCCTTACTGTGTGATAAACGTTCACACTTGCGTTGGAAGCTGATGTGAGCACTTTAAGGTGCATGCACAAACTCTCTCTCACACACACACACACACACACACACACGCACACTTCATGAACTCTTCTTCCTTAAAACCACACACGCCAATTTCATTATTGCAAGATTTATGCATCCCTCTTTCTTTCACTCACTCTTCTTTCTACTTTTCGGAGGTTGCATATTGCAGATGGGAATGCTGAGGTATCCTATCGAGGCATCCGGATGGGGGAACACAGACAGCGAATAAGCTCATCCATCCAGGAAATGATGGCATGGCCTAATACGATTTTAAATCGCACCAGGGGCAGTGCTGGGTATAAATCCATACTCAACCCTAATGATGATCTTCATTTAGAACACATATTTAGAGCTCAATGCGGTTTGGATGTATGGCTGTCCTAAGGCAGCCTTATTCACAAGACAACTCATTGATCTCACATCAAAGTCACCTTTAAAAGGGAGGATGCTGAAAGCGAGTTTTGAGTTGGGCCTGAGAGAAAATAAAAATATTTAAAGCGAATGTATAAGATCCAACAGAAACTACATCTGGAAGAACATGACAGCTATAGGACAAACACAACAATACATTCATGTGCAAATGCATTCAGGCACACACACAATCACTTGTTTGTCACTATAACAGACACACTGAAGAACTCAAACCCCCTGCGGTGCTTTTTCTCAAGGGTCCTCACAATCAGAACTTGAGGGAAAATGGAGGCAATGAATAAGAGCCCTTTGAAGTGAGTGTGAACATTGGCTTGTGCATGTGTTTCATGGACTGTCTCTTGGTATACATGAGATTGTGAATGTGTGTGTGTGTGTGTTTGTTGTGTATAAGAGCAAGTAGGAGTGCAAAGGCATTTGATTCTCATGAATAAGCGAAGAGATGTGATGGTATATTTGTTGTCCCTGTCTGTTTGACATTCTGGAGTAATCCAAGCATCGTAATGGGACTCAGACTCACATTACTGTCAACAAAGTTACCGCAATCTCCTAAGGCCTAAAACGACAAGAGGACTTTAATAATAAAGTTTACAAGTAAAACACAATATTGCATAGAATATCTCAATGTGGCTTTACGGACCAATGTTTCCAATACCACATAAAAGCCTTACAGATTAGTGAAGTGGCCTGTTTACAATATTTGGACAATGTCGACTAATATCAACTGCATTAACTGTGCAGTTAAGCAAAAGTAATTGCATATCTTATCGGTGGGTATTAGCCCTATTCAAGCACTGACAATAACATTTTGCCACCAGACAGTTACACGTGGCACATTTCCAACCTTCAACCATTAAAAGCTGTCTGATCGGGTTCTAAAAAGCGTACTGTTAAAAACTTAGAATTGTAGTTAAGTGATTGCGGCCACTGCAGATTGTGTGCAATCCACACTCAAATTGAAGAGTAAAGTGGGAGTGTGTGTACTGGAATGACTGTGTTTGCAATTACACTTGATGATCAGGCTTAAAATACAAGTAATTGTGAATGCAAATTAGATTCTGGGTGCTCCAATCTGGGAGGTGAAGTGGTTCAAAGCGTTTCTTCCCCTTCATTAAGTAGAACTCATTGTTTTAATTACACTTTGGTTTAGCATGCTGCTCCACTTTCTCTGTTATTTTTACTGATAATAAATAAGCATCTGCGGGCAAGGGAGAAGACTCGCTGTGCTTCTGAGAGTCAAACGGCAGACTTATCTAGAAGAAGAAATCTGGCAAACTCCTCAGATTCACACAGAGATGCACACAGACAGACAGAACACACATAGATCGACGAACTCACACTGTCACTTATTTCTGTTTCTCTGGTCTTCACACATGAACCCCCCAACACACACACACACACACACAGACACAAACATAATGGTACACGCACACACAGATACACACTAGGATTAGGCGAAGGCGTCAGCTATCTGCAGTATTCTACATTGATGGCCCATTGCCTGTTTTACCAAAATAAGTACCTTTATTGTCCTGGCTCAAGGCATCGAACATGACATAAACAATTAATCCCAAAGCATTATTTGCACAATATGCAAAGGAAACAGCAATTTGGGATTCCATTCACTGATAATCCTCGACTAGACTGAGTACTTATTTGTAGTCTAGCTGTAATCTAGAGATGCAGCATGTTATGCGAAATAAGCAGCTCACATGGCAGCGCGTGCCATGCCTATTATTTTATGACGCTATTAAGCTTCACTACAAAAGTCTTCTCTGACCCCTATGCTCTTGAAACTAAACTCACGATGATCCATACAGGCAAGGACAATAACAGAGTGAACCGAAGCAAAATATATCAGTGCCATATATCAGTGCCCATGTTGTCAGCTTTGATCAATTAGTCACAATGCAAAAGGGTAAATGACCAAAAAAAGACACGTCATTCTAACCGAGACTCTCAAAGAAAGAGTTACTTTTTTTAATATGCTGTCAGCAAGCATTCCACTGACTGACAATCACACATTTTGAAGCACTCTTACCTTCGTAGGACACCTTGAATCCCAGGGAGCCACTGGTGTCATCTGTTTTAAAGTTTAGCCACATCAGGTGACTGGTGCTAACCACAAGGTCTGGAGTGGTGGTTCCAGACAGGCTAAAAAAAAAGAAAGAGACAAGAGGACAAGTTCTTCTAAGATTATTGAGAACATTAGGTGTGCCAATTGTGTTTGCACTTACTGCAGAATTTGGTGTCACTTTAATAGCCAAAGGCCCTGTTTCTACTGCATCATTAAAACAACTTTCACGGGAGCAGAAAAAAACAACACCTGAAGTTATATATTAAACTATCTGACTTTTCTCATCAAAGAAAAGTGTTCTAAAATGGTTGCAGGCAATTCTAGTCTGAGAAGCCTTTTTTTTTTTCCTAACCCTTTAATTCAAAACGGTTGGGGACAAGAAAGTAGAAAATGAAGGCAAGATCAGTCAATGCCACAGAAGTAATTTAATCCTGTTTGAATAGTAATTCCCCCAACTCTAATTAGGAAGTGTATAGCTGTGGAGTAAGTGATTAGGGGACCTCATTTTAGTGATGGCACACAAAGGATGGTGGGAGTAGTAAGGAAGTGGTGTCTGGATAGGTTGGGTCTGTCTTTTCCTGCAGCCATTTTATAATTTGTGGTGAGTTTCTGTGAATTTGTCGAAGATTAAGTGGGAGGAAAAATGCAATAAGACGTATATCCAAATAAGCACCACAGTGCAGCACATTATGGGGATTCACCCTTCCATTCCCCTTTCTTTATATTGTTTGCATTAATAAAACTAAAGCTGACTAACTCATTTTTTCAAATGAAATGCTGCCTGATTGACCAATAGAATTCCATGAATTATGTTTCCTATAAACACAGGTTTGCAGGTATGGACAATGTTATGGAACATCCGACCTAACACATGTGGTCAGTGTGTACAGTGAGCACAGTGTCTTTCAAGCGAAACGAGGGGATTTGATTGGCTGTGTCTCATGTCCTATTAACCACCACATGTATGACTGTGGTGCAGTATGGTGACATGCCTCTGATCTTAAAATTACAACAAAAAAACCCGAAACGATGCACACACTTGCCTGCACCACTGATTCACAAATATAGTCCTAAATTAAAGCTGTGCAGATAGCTGCAGTATATTCTCCAAATTATTTCTAGTTTGTTTGTGTGCAAGAGTGCATCCGATCGTGTGCAAGAGCGCATCCAATCCCAATGACAAAGCTGCTCACTCTACTTTCATATCATGAAGAGGGAGTCCAGAGGGCAGGGGAAGTCTGTAATTGAAAAGATTATGTCGTTTTCTGTGTTTCTGTGTTGTGCAAGTATATGCACAAGAATATTAAAGTGAGGAAGATCTCCCCTTAAAAACAAACCCCTCCTCCACAAATATCCCCCTCATTTATCTCCCACCTCCTTCCAGTTCCCACCCCTGTGAGGCTATCTCGCATAAAAATTGATCCATAAAATCTTTATTAAGGTGGTAAATTTCTGCACAATTAATAACACACTGTGAATTGTAATGGAGCGTCTGCTAGCACAAACTCCATTAGGGGAATCAATATGCAGTTTGCAATGCTGAACCACATGGCTGTGAACTTGTTTTTAACATTGAAAAGAGTGATGATTGACAAGGTGGTGCAGCATCTATTTTTCATGCACTACTGCATCAGGTGGTGATGCAATAAAAGAGACACAGCACAACAGAGAGAAAAGGGCTGGAGGGTAAAGGGAAAAGAGAGGGATGCTGCCCGTTGCAGGGAAGTGGAAGTGGAGAAAAGGCAAGTGTGCCAATAAAAGAAAGGTGAAGAGGAAAGAGAAAGCAAAAGACCGAATTGGATTACATGGAGCGGCAAACACTGAACATAACTGAAGGAGGCTATGGTGCAAAGTAAAAGCCAGAAGAAGTTAGAGAACAGAGGGAAGATTAAAGGGAAAAAGACACGGGTCGAAGGAGTCACTCACACGTGGAAGACGGTCTTCTGGTCTCCCACCACCTTGCCGTCCCCCACCGTCAGGGTGTCATAGCCTCGCTCCAGTTCAAAATCCTCAAATGTCAGTTTGATCACCTAGACGAGGAGGGACATTGCCAACACAACTGTAAACGACAGATGCTTGAATGCTCCTGACACCAGGTACCGAGGAGAGACCCCTTCACATCTGTGACTCTCCATTCCTCTGTCCATCCATCCGTCTCTTTTGAATGTTTGTCTGGCACAATTCCATCTGCACACATGTTATCAATTTGTTTATATTTTTCCGTTCGATATGGCCACAGAGTTTTGTTGTTGCATGTGACTGTGTGAGTATATTCTGCTACATCGGACTTCCTATCTAGTTATTATGAAACCTCACCCACTAATCAAATATCTGATTGCCTGCCAGACGGTCTGCATGACCCCTACTAGCTGGCTCATCAAATCAGCAGGTTGCAGATGCCTTTGTGGCCTATCTAGCCAGACTCAAAATGACTTTAAGCACATCGGGAGATGTGGCAGGGAATTTAAGGTTATCCACGAGGTGAATATATAATCATAAAGGTGACACACAAGTTTTAAAAGATTTATGAATTGGAAAAGGCAGACCTATTCATTTCATCTCATTTCTATGCTGCAGGTGGGAGTGTAAGAGAGAAGGTGGAACAAGGTAAGAGAATCAATAAGTGTGCCCTAGCTGGGGCAACTATAATAAAGACAGACAGAGAAATACGGTTTGATCATGATAGTGCAAAATGTTGATACATAAAGAGAAAACAGCAGGGTAATGTGGGAGACTAAAATATAAATAAATAAAAAGTAAAACAAGGGCTGTCTTTATCTCCTATTTTAAATTGGCTGCCAATGATTTCCGCCAAATTCTTAATGTTTTCAGAGGGCTGAGAGAGTCAGGCCTAATGAAAAAGCTTATATAAATGCAAATTGCATTCTGTCCTATGTTAAACCCAGTGCCTAATGAAAATTGCCAAGGAGGAGAGAAGAGATGGATGGTGTGTAGGCAAAATAGGTCAGATCACTAGATAAATAGAGTTTCACACCACAAACTCATCTCCCATCTGCAAGCCAACAGGTGACGCAGGAGGTGAGGGTGGAATGAACAAGAAAAGGGAAAAAAAACATAGCAACCGTATATATACTTTATATTGTTTGCCATCTCTGACGTCATGTCTGACAGTTTGGTTGTTTCAGAAAAGAGACCACAATGTCCCTGACACTGTCAGATAAACATTTAAATGATTGCCAGCGAAAAAGCAGCCGCAGTCAGTACCTTCAGGACATACCGAAGAAGCAACACTTGACAAGAACCCACATTAGTCATGATGGCACGAGGCTGCATTTAGGTCTACAAGAGCAGAGTCACGTCCTACCCACCTCACTTTGCAGTTCCGCCTCAGTCTCCTGCCTGACCTAACGTCTCCTCTGGCTGGGCCTATGCGGACGTGCAGGAATATGAGCGCATTACATCTCTAATCAGAAAGAACTGCCTCGCTCCATCATCATCTGCACCAGACAACAGAGCGAGAGACAGCCCAAAGTACCGTTGTCTGTTTCAGCAAGCTGCCTGCCGGCTTGGTATACGCAGCGGTGTCTATATGTGTGTGTATGTATGCATGCAAGCGGAGGGGTTGGGTAGGTGTACGTTGTATCTGACTACCCCCTCTACCTTGAGTCTCACCTCACATAGCCTCTCCTTAACTCGGCAAAGTGCAATAAGAGAACACATTTGTAAAACCATTTTGTGGGAGTTCAGAGAAGGATATTTGGCAGTAGAACAGATGGGTGGCCTTGAACACAACTCCAAAGTCAATAGTCTGAACAGAGTGGCTATGACACTTTCATGATATCCTCCAAGCATGCTCTCAAATCCATTCCATTACTTTTCTCTCCATTTTTACTCTTTTCTCCTCTTCCTCACCACAGGTGATTCTCTAACAACTCTCTCTGTCTTCTGTTGGATACAATATTCTCCCCCACCTCTTTCATTTTCCCTGTGTCCCACATTTTTTCTGAGAGAGCTTCAGTCACATGGTGCGCTCAACAGCCCCCTAAATGTCCTGTAGCAATTATCAAAAGTGTAAAGTGAGTCATGTGTGTCAGAGAAGAGCTTCCTTTGGCGTTACCCTTTTTTAACAGGTGCAAACACACCAGTCAACTGATTTTCAGTTTGCTGGCAGCTAAACACACCACTTAACACACTGCTGGAAGCAGGCGATTAAAGTGGCAAAGCTAAATTAGCAATGCACTGTTGCATAAATCCCATATTCAATGACTTTTACCTTAGATGCGTCTGTGGCTGTGATGAGCCAAGTGCAGTTGGCATTGTTGTCATACTGGACCGGGTAGTTTGGAGATGTGATGACACCACTTGGTCCTCTCAACTGTCCTCCACACATTGGTGCTGCAAGGTAAGACACAGAAAGCGGCAAATGTTTAGTTATTGACAGTTTAATAGCACACATAATCATTTATAAACCAGAAAAGATGTGGGATCCGTCAAACCCTCTCATGTATTTCATGTTGAATCCACAAGACATTATGCTGTTTGACTGCTAGACATACCTCAACTACCTCAGCCTCCACCTGTTAAGGTTTCTTATACTCAAACTTGTAATATGAATTTGTGCAAAAAAAACAACTTGAGGGGGTTTCAAACCTCCCAATTCAATCTTTACCAAGTGACATGGATTGCATTCTAAAGATAATCCTAATGAGCAAAAATGACAAATGTGAGGTTTTGTCCTGATGCTTGCTGACTAAACTGTAAGCAAGCATCACGTTTGAAAGTTGAAGCTGTTTGGCTTGGCAATGATAGCTAGGCCTTTTGTCTTTTTAAACCATTATCAACATGCTGTGCATCCTTCAAACGCTTGACTTGCCAATTTAGTGTGGCACCAGAGACAATAGACTAATGAAAAACTCAATCAAACCCATAAATCACACAGTTCTACCACAGGTCTAAAATACACTGGGGAGTAAATATTATCAGGGTAATTTATTATAAGAATAAAACAAAAGAATATGACTGTTTTTATGATCCTCTGCATTGTACACTTCTAAATAAGGCAGTCATTAATATATACTAGTTGGGGCCTGCCCAGGTATAGTATAGGAGATGTGTGGGTGACTTTATCAGAGGAAAACAATACATGTATCAAATGTATTGAGTATTGCACTTCATATTCTCCTTAAAAGGAGGTGAGCAGTTAGCAAACCAACTGTTAAACACCCCTTCAATTTAAAGCAGAATTTCTAATGAGTACTTTAAGCCAAGTGAGTGTGTACGTGTGTACATATGTGGGGATAACCTGGAAGTATTTGAAAGAGCCTGAACCAGCTACCCTAAATGTAATGAGTTACGTCTGAGATAGGTCCTATGGGTTTTTAGGCCCCACTCAGTGGCTCCATACTCTACACCCCTCTCCCACCAAATCACCCCTATTAAAATGTAAAAAGAACTTTAGCGAAGTTAAAGGGAAAATAAAGTAATTAATGTGAGCTCTGCTGACAGTTAGGGTGACCTTAACAAAAATAATGCAGCAGAGAGGATGTCCACTGATGCTATCATATCCACTCCTATCTTTTCTTTTTTTCATTATCGTGCCTGATACACCCACATCCTGTGTGATCAGTGACATGAAAGTGTAACAGGAAAATGAGCACAAAGAGAAGCGTGGATTTCATGTGAGGGGAATGAATTTTCAGCCAGAGAATACGTATTTTTTTGTCCTGCGCTAATGATAATGATGTAGAATTTAATGATGGCTAATGTTAATTTAGGATACAGATATTCAATTATTCCTGGATGATTTTGAATCTCCATTGAAGCAGAACAAAAGCTCAGGATCAAAAGTTAAATGAGGATGATGGAATGAGATATTCTTAAAGGGCAATTTCACGGACGTTATTCTCTCAATCTTTACAGAACAAAGAAAACCAACTGCATGTGATACTGCGGCCGGCATTCAAAAAGGCACAATCATGTCTCTGTGTTTTTTCAGTTCAAAGAAGAACATAAGACAAAGGTGTCAGTACCAGGCCTTCAGTACTGTTTGGTGATTTATTTATTATTTTTTCTGAAATGTAGATGACATACATTATCTTTGATATATCACCCCCCCCCCCCCACCCATATAATCCTACTGAGATCATGCCCCCCCACTCCATAGTGCTGCAATTTAATCTTGGTAAGAAACTGGATTAGTCTAGGACAAAAGAAAAAAATAGAGGTACCTGTGGAAAGCTGGATTTTTGAGAGCACATTAACTGAAGTGGAATAACAATGATGGCCTACAGGTGACGTTAAAGGGGATACTGCAGGTGATTACATTACACATTTCCATCAGAGATGAGGGTGTTCAAAGGCCCTAATGAGCAAACTGGTATAAAATGGCTGATGCAAGAGATGCTAATTTACATATCTTGCTTGGGCAAAGGCATATTTCTGATTGGCTAGTACTTATTGCCTTCGTTGGTTGGATTGGTTAGGTTTAGGCATGAGTAAGATTGGTTAAATTTGGGCTAAAAACCATCTAGGTAAGCCAACCAGGGGCGGAATATGGCGAATTAGAGGCAGAGTAGGGCATCCTCTGTAGACAAGAGGCTTATTGTTTACAGCCCGATTAGGAACTTGAGATGCAAGACTGGAGTTGGAGTTGAGAGACGACGTATTTCGCAAGTAGCCAGTTTAAAAGTTAATTATTAAACCAATAAAAAGCTAAAGCATCGTTAGACGATAGCAAGAGGGTTCTGAGATTGCATTCAGGCCACTGCGTTGCACCCCTTTCGCTCTCCAAACGTTCAACCAAAGATTGCTCGACAGTCAATACTACTTGGACTACAAACCGAAAACCAGAAATCTTCGATACCCAAAAACCTGATGACTACAAATTCTGCATATGAATGCAGAATCTGTTGCAAAATTGTTTGGCATTTTTACTTCAAACACATTAAAATGTGTTTTTGGAATAATGATAAAGCATTACCTGCAGTCATATGAATGGATTAAAATACATTTTAAAACATCAACAGCGCAGGTGCTGTACAGCGCAACATTCTCACTGAAAAAGCTGCCTGCTGCAAAGCAGGGGGCCCCCTTCATGTTGTCACATTGTTTTCACATTGTCACTTTAATCATTGTGATATAACATGTTGATTAATGACCTTTTCCTTGTTGGCCTTTGCCAAATGTCTACTCAACTATTACCAAGACATTGCTTGTGATGGTGGAAGATGCATAATTTAAAATACTAAGTCCCATTTTTGTTTTTTTGCTAACATGAGCTGAGTCATCACAAATGTGTTGCTTTTGCACTGACCAAAGATACTGCATTTGACTATTTTGCTCTGCCCGAGTGCTTTCAGATTAATACTTAACTCTGTGAAATTGAGACCAGAGAAGAATGCCTTAAAACATGTAGGTATTCATCTTGTAGTCTTCTAAAATAAAACATTTAAGGGCCAGTATGCTAAACATGTCTTATTGATTGGATACTTTGGGTTTTTTACTTGTACCCTCTAAGAGAACACTACCACTAGTTTAAATATGAATAAGTCCTGCTCCAACGAATACATCTTACAAGTCAGATATCCATCAATTGAATGATTATTCGACACAAAAAAAAAAATCAAATCAACTCTGATTATTCAGTTCACTGAGGCTAAAAACTGAAACCAAGCAGCACATGAGCATCAGGGACAGAGCAGGGAGTCTGACCACTCTTCCTGCCTGTCACAAAATGGTCTGAAGTGAGGAAGATATGACAGAACTATGCCAGCATGGATAAACAGCAGGAAGCAAAAGGAGGCCGGCTAGAGGACAAAGTCAGGGCAGTCACAACAAAATGATGAATACTAAATTGCAAAAAAAGAGATGGACTGGGCATCTGCACAAATTGACAGCACAGTCGCAAGCAAACTCACAAACATCAGTATGAAAATACAAATGTGAGTCACATTTAGACGACCACCATTACACACGTGTATAGATGGACGACCCACATGTCAATCCTTACCTCTGCATATCGGCCGATCGTCACTCCAGCCTACATAGCTGTCTGTCACTCTGAGACAACTGATGCTCTTTGAGCCCTGCAGTTCATAACCCTCGTCGCAGGAGAAATGCACTGTGGATCCTCGCCTGCAGTCAGATTGCATACGGGGGAAACACATCAGCATTACAAACCTTCCTGTAGAAATCTCCTTTTTAGCAGTGGGAGTGGACATGAGCTGAGAGCACCAAGAAAAAAGATGTTCACTGCTGAAAAAGAGAACTAATGTTTTCTAAAACTCCCCGGGTGTGATTTCAGAAAGTTTTGCATTGTGGGAGGCAGATGTTAACCATTTGTCTGTGTTACAGTTGACCACTAATAGAGACAGTAGCTCTCACAGGAATAAAACTCCATAATCCCACCGGTAATATGACCATGCCACAGAGGCAGCCTATTAGTGTGCAGTGGCTCTAATGGTAGATTATTTGTTTTAGTGGACACATTTCTGAATCAGGTTTGGTTGCATTGACTTTATGGGGCATGCCATCGAGTAATGTGCTGTATGCTCGAGCCCGTTTCAAGATCCAGTCCCTGATTGTTATAGCACCCAGTAGTTTCCTCCCAGCTCACCGTTGATTCAATCTGAACTGTGAACAAAGTTAAGATCATCAGTGGTGTCCTGGGAGATAAGTTTGGAATTAATTGCAACTGGATTTTAAACCGCAAAATGTCAAAACCGTGGCGTTTTTGACACCCATTGACTAATGAACGTTGTCCCATTATTACAACAGTTAACTTTTCTTCTCTACTTCCCAGAGAAATTGGAAGTGGAACTAATTAAACTCTGATATTAAACACAAGACAAATTAACTGACAACATTAAATGTAGAATAAAATATTAACAACAAACTGTCACAGAGCACTTTCATACCCAATTAGGCCTCAATCAATAAATTAGGAAAACTCAAAACCTTGTGTTAAAGCTACTTATTTAAAGAATTGTGACAATAATCGCATATACAATTAAAAAATAAGGCAGATGGATGCAATATCTACAAAAAAAGTGCAGAAGTAAGAAACTATCCTGCAATTTTTTCAGAAGCCATATACATTATTACTGCAAAGCTCAAGCCAGTATTAGTAATATAGGTATTATAGCTTAATACGGTCCTTTTGTCAAATCTAACAAACCTGATTGACCATCTTTTCTAAATAAATGTATTGTCGATCCGTCCCATTGTGTCAACCAGCCTGTTCTTGTCAGGAATCTTTTTTATCTATTCAGTTACAATTGCCACCTAATTAATTGCTCCTGAAATCATCCTCCGCTCGCTTTTACCTGAAGTCTGTGCCTTTTCTTTTTCCTCGATCAGGGATCCCCGGGTCTGGACACATGTTGTGTCCCTGCGCTACACCCATCTGAGACACTAATGGGAGAATACAGAGAGAAAATGAGATTACAGATTGTCCAACAAAAGAAAGTTAATTCTGAAAATGTTCCATTTTGATGCATTACGGAAGATTTCCACTCATATGAACATGGCTATGTGTTTTCACAAGCTGGTTGCACTAGGGTTAGGTCTAGGGTAACATGATAAATGGGGGCAGTCCTTTCACCACAGCCCGACTTTAGTTAGAGGAAATATTGGACTTCTATTTGACACCACGTGTTGCCTGTGCTGTTTAAGTTTGGCTAGGTGTCTATGCAAAAAGTCTTTACAAGCACAGTTCCCATAAGAAGATAAGAAACTGCTAAAGAATATCAAGGCTCATTGTTATGAGTTAATTTGTTGTTTACTTTCTGCCCTCTGGTGGCCAATAGTCCCTTTATCATTACAGAAGAAATGTAAAGATACTATTGATATTGATATTGATCTATTGATATTTACCCTGCACCAGCTTTGCGCACATTAGTTCATTCGGCATACAATTTGACCGTCCCTGGTGGTGCTCTGTTTATTCATGTCACCGGGTACAAAACAGTGGAAGGTTAAGTGCCAGAAGGGGTCAAATAAACTTGGCCAACGCGGAGAACCCATGTGACTGACTGGGAGGGGTCAAAGTTCCGCAGGGCCAAACCAATGTGACACCTGCTCATTGGCCAGGATTCCAGGGTGAAGCAAGACAGCAATGCATTTTAAACAAGGCTCACTGGTGTCAGCAGAGGCAATTAAAAATTGGCAGAAAAAAGGGAAGATAGACTTACTGTTGGATTGTGTTAAATCAGGAATATGTGAATGTGCCTGTCAGGCTTCATCACATCTTTATAGGAGATACTGCATTTTGTCTTATTCATAAAAACTTATAGTTGATGTGAACATCTTTAGATCAGACTTTAAAACATTTCCCATAATATGCATATTTTTTTGATCTGTGGCAACGGGCAATGTAATTATGTAAAATAAAATAAAGTATGTGGGACAAATCATTTCAAAGTGGAAGCAGGTAAAGTGAAATGAAAAAGCATAAAAGCAATGCAAATGAAAGGAAAGAAGAGACGTACGCAAACAATAAAGTTGGAGGTAGAAGTGGATAAACTTAATTGTAAATGGCCTTGAGGCAGGATTACCATTAATGCATCTCTTTTTTTGTTCTACAGCCCTCTGCGTCACTCTAGTTGGGTGACTCATCACTGATGCTGACCTAGGCGCTTTCCATTTTGCCACACTGTGCCAGGTAAATATCCGTCCACACTTCTTTTTGAGGACATGGTCGAGTGATTTTGTCCCTTGTTTACTCAGGGGACATTGCACTGAGAGTAAGTGAAACTATTCCTGTCAGACAAGTTTAATTTGCAAAACAAAGTTGACAGTTCAGGTTTGCAACTTACACACTGATATCTTGTGGTGGTTGTCTTTGCTAGGCAGCATCTTCACACCTCGAGACTTAAGTTCAGTCATCTTCTTCACTGTAGATGGAAAACGGAGCAGAGAGGCATGTAAGACAGCAGGAAGTGCAATAATGACGCCCACACATTTCTGCAGAGCCAAAAGGTTTGCAGCAGATAAAGTATATAATATAAAACAATCCATACACCATTGCCTACACCCACCCAGATATGTTCACAGCAGTTTTAACAAAGCAAATTAACAACAATGTAGTAAACTTGCCAAATGAGAAAATAACAGAAGTTCTTACAACAATAAAACCAAACGTTTTCATAGTAAAAGGATCTATGACATAGATATGTAATGTTCATAACAATTATACATTTAGTTTACATAGAAAAAGAGAGCTCAACAATGTCCAATATCTTTGCAATTTTAAGGATAGAAAGCTGCAGGAACTAAAATCACTATTTCATTACAAAGATTAGAGGGCAGGGTAAATGAGGAGCAAAACCACGTTATACAATTAAAGTTGTATATAATAAATAAATTAAAATGATTGAGTTTCATAATAATTGTGGAGAAAAAAAACAAAAAAAAATAGCATAGCAAAGTAGGAGGCTCATATAAATGCATACTTACTCACATATTTCAAAAACACCAGCAGCATCGTGCCTGCAACACTTTCAATTCATCCAATTGAATTACTCACGGTTCCTGACGATGGAATTTTAATTTGAATGTTATTCTTTGCTCAGTTTTAGCTGCATTGTTTATCAAAGCCAATCTGAGCCATGTGTCAAAAAGTCGGTTCATTATGCGCCTGGATGAAAAATCACAACACAGAGTTGTTTTCAGATTTGTTACAAAGGAGGGTTTGATGTGGTACGGCTATTTCCTGTGCCACATAAAATGAAGGACACTGAAGAATAAAATAAACAGAGACAGCAGTCTTCATTACTCCAACATACCGCTGCTGTGGAATCATGGGAACTGTCATGATGAAAATGGCTGGTAGGAGATGGGGGATGGCAGAGTGTTTAATCGAATTAAAGTATTAGCCTCCAATTTCTCTCTGATCTTCTAAACACGTTTATCTAAAATTGAACTTGTAAACCCTCCAAACCCCCTCTTTCTCTCCCTGTCTTTTTCATTTCTCTCTCTTCTTATTCTTGTACCATCGGCTCTGAGATTTCCAGCGGATGGCTGGAGGTGGGGTCCTTAGAGATCACCTGTTTTGTGGATGAACTAATCATTTTTCCCTGCTCATTCCTTCTCAAAGTTGATCCTTGAACCTGAAATGGATGCACAGGAGAGACAAGATCTGTGTGTGTGTTTGTGCTTGTGGCCCTATAATAATAATTCTTCAAATCCTGAAAGCAACTATTCTGCCAAAATAGCAAGATTAATTCAAAACGGTCAAAATCTTAAAATTAAGCAGATCATATTTCAGGAAATATCAGCTCATTTGCCCAAGAAATATGAATTATGTCAGTCTGCCATCTTATTTTCTTAATTGGACCTCATAACATATTGATGATTGTATTGTGTGAAATAAAAGGCATTAGGGTCTCATTTGGGAACGCTTTGTTCCCGGAGGAGCAACAATGTGCTCAGAAAATTCCATTGCAACGCGTTTCTTGGATTATGAGATATATGTTTGAATCTTCATGAGGATAGCTCATTATGGGAGAGTTAGTCCTCTGGGGAGTACAAATATGTTTCATTTCAGGGCTGTTTGTGACTAGATCATTGTTATCTCTGGCGAACAAGTGGAATATGGTATTCAGATTTTGGCGCTAGGGAAAAGTTCCCTCGTGGACCATATCTGAATCAAATATCATGAAAATCCAGCAATGTTTTTGTCGGATCCCTTGGTAAAAAGTTAAACCTGGTACACATTAATAATATCCTTTTGTAATATCAAAACTTCTCTTTATCTCACCTTGGTACTGGGCGCTGAAACCTCTCAACTTGTGGTTGCCATCAGAGGTAAAGTGAAGTCGAAGCCAATTCTTGCTGCTAATGATGGGTGAGGGAAGGTTGGGGCCAGTGAACCTGTAGACACAGAAACGTAGAGAAGAGTGTGTTTGATTATTAACATTTTACCACGTGACTGTTTTAGTAACCAAATGTGAAAGTAGCAGATTGCAAGCTGCAGCAGTATTTAGCATATTCTGTACACTCGTAAGATTAAAGTCCAGGCATGTACCAATGTAATCTGTAGCATCAGTCTAAGCACTCATGAAGGCTCCATAGGTGGGGTCAGTGTGTACCTAATGAAAGTTAACTTCATATAACACAGCTTTATTAATAAATTATAAGCACAATAAGGTTGGTGATTAAAGTATGGTATTAATCGTTTATTAGACTGAAGATAATTGCTGCTCTGCCGAAAAGCACAGCGTCTCTGTTTAGCTGCAAGCATGGTTCTAGATAATTTGGCTTACCGATGGTGCAATCCTAGCAGGACTATGGGTCACAGCTGATCATTTGAGGGCCACCTTTACCGTGTCCATGTGATTAACTCCGGTATCAGAAGATTAATTGGCTATTGGCTTTTCCTGCTCCAAATTATTGTTATTATATTAGCCTACAAAAATCCTGTTTGACCGATATCTTTTGATAGACCCGAGTCTGTTTTTGGATAATCTTACTGTCATATTATCGATTGAATTATATATTTGTTATATTTGTTTGGTTGGTCTAATGGACACCATATGCCAGGAGTAAAACAGTTTACTGTGTTGGAATATCCTGCCGTATGACTAACTGTATCTCTTACAAAAGTAATTTCAATATCATCTCTTCAATCAATCAACGTCCATTGTAAGAAAGGATCATACTTGATCATGCTTATGTTTTGTGCAATAAAGTTATTATGTAATCCATCAGATTTCCAATAAAGTCAAGCCCAATGGCAGACTATACACTACAGAGGCTGGCAGAACCGTCAGTCTTCACGGTAATTCTCTTGTCTGTTTAAAGTAATTCTACTGATGTTTCAAAATTATTGTGGCCTTCGCTTATGTTAAGATGTTACACCTTAAAGATCTATTTAAGGGAAGGTCTGGTACTAAAGGGGAACTATAATGTTAACGACTCTTAACCAAACTGTGGCCTGATGAAAAAATGGGAGGAAAAAATCAGCATTGGCATTTGCAAAGAAAGGACAGTCCTTTTACTGCTTGGAAAATAAAACAATAGTGAGTTACACTTCACACACACTTATAGTGTCTCCTGATCTGTATGCTAATGAGGTATGTTGCTTACCAGGCACTTCTTCAGTTGTTAAAGCCAAATTCATTTGGGAACACATACTCCTTTATCTTGAGACGCGCTAACACAATCTCATGCACACACATACAGTACATGCACCCATATGCTCAGGCACACATTCCCACAAGTGCGTGCATTAATTCCAATTGCCCATCTGTAAATTGCATTTCCCCAACTGTGTCCACCTCATCTCCCTCGCCTACATATCCGCTCCACTCTATAGAGTAGATTTTTACTGAGATACACCTCCGACCAGCTCTCATTAATACCACTGGGGGGAAAAAACTGACAGGAAAAGAGCAAGCGAAGAGAAAATGTGATCCAACAATGTAATTAATCTGAGAAATAGAATGGAAAGCGACATATTTTGCAAGCTAATAATTATTCACTTTGGATGCAAAATCATTTTTTGTGTGCTGATGCCTCAGATAGAAGATAATTAAAACAGCTTTAAGCATACTGATCCAACCAAATAGACAGGGATCTACTATGGGGAGATACTTAGTCCAGTGAGGGTATTTGGTTGAGATATGTGACTGACTCCTCTGTAAAGCTCTCTTAGGACCATTTAAAAACATGTGGGTGTCTAGATGTAGACATGATTAGCTTTGAGTTGGAGGAAAATAGCACTACTTGTTTATAGGGGAAACCCTTGCTGCAGTAGGGCCTCAGATTCAGTAGCTCAACTTAAGCTAAACACAAGCTTGACTGAAGGACTGGAGGCAGAGACAGAAAGAGTGGAGAAGAGTTTAGGGTAACAGGCCGGACAAATTGCAACAGAGTATTGAGACAATGATTAAATGAAAAAGAGAGATGGCATATCAAAATGTCAGTGATTTGTGCTTTTTCAGCTACACTGCACCAGGAAGATGGAGCAGAGAGCAGCAAAGAGAATATGCCACTGATGAAATTGTGTGTTACTCCTGTCTTCCATGGCTGCTTTTGGGATGTAGAAGGTGTCAACGAACTCCACCCGTTGAAGCAAGCTTCACTAATCAAACAGTTATGTTCAAGTGACAAAATGTTACGGTCAGTATCAGGAGCCCGGTTTGAGTTAAACCTGTGTCCTGACCAGGCGAAGGAGATGCTTTTAATACTTAGTGTCTTGATGAAAAGCAGAGAAGCCTTGGTGAAAAGTGTGGGTGTTTAGAGTGCATGCAAGGTATGTGTATGTAAAAGTGTTGATCACAGCGTGTGTGTGCAACATGTGGGTTGTATGTATAAGCCACAAACTCACTTGCTCAAGCAGCCTCTGGGACATAGTTGTTAACCTCTCACAAACCACTTTAGCTACTTTTAACAACTCAATAACGCCATCTTCTTTTGTCTATATATGGGCATAATTAAGTTACTTTTCTGATGAGATTATTATTTGTTCCTTCATTTCAGTGCAGCCAGGGGGCTGCATGGCATAATGAAAATCAGGCGGAAATGTATAGCCATGTTGTAAAACGCTGGCCTTGATTTACAACGGCAAGTGCGAGATTGATAAAGAGAAACGGCATGCCTCAGGAGATGTTTCATCACTTTGAAATGAAGCGTTGAGGGGGGTCATGTAGTGTCTGGCACATGTGCATTTGGCGTGGTGCTACTGGGATGGAGAGCGCCAGAATCATCTCTGGCTCTTAGTACATAGCTGGGTCCTGAGACAGCTCAAAATCCTGGGCACTAAATCTCACACCAATAAATTACAGTATGATCCACACAGCCCACATGCACATAAAAAGGCCTCAAAACACCAGAGCCAAGATTCGAAAAGCAAAAATCCCCGTTAGAGTTACTCTTGTTTTCACCATGGGTACAAATAAAAATGTCCCTTTGAATTAAAGGGCAATATGAGCTGGATTCAACTTTCATTAACACACAAATGGCAAGCTAAAGACTGACTTAAGGTTGTGAAAAACTGCAGCAACGGCAGAGGATAAGGAACTGATGTGTGCTATGAAGGATTAGGGGATTAATACATGTAGGATGAGGGACAAACAGACCACCATAAATATCACTTTGACCTAGTGTCACCTCTGCCTTTCCCCATTTCACTTTGCGCTCCTTCTTTTGCTGAAAACATTAAAGTTTTAGGGTGAACTTGACCATGCTGGAGCAACATAAAGAGTCCTGAGCTGGCTGATGGAGGTCTCCTGAAGGGTATTGTGGCACCTCTATAGTTCCTTTTTCACCTCACCCTATCGCACTCTCTCGCTCTGGCTGACCATATTAGATTTTATGCGGAATTGTCTTGAGAGTGCAGTGCTAAATCAGTTTCCATTTCCAGGCCCCAAAGCTCTCAGTCTGAGTCAGACTTTTGTTGATTGTCCAAGAAAAGTATTTTGGGCAAGGCAAGGTGAAAGAGGCGGCCAGTGGTGTTCTTGAGGGGACAGAGCTGTGAACCACACATCGACACACGGAGCTTTCTGGGAAACAGCAAGGTTCTGATGCAGCTCATAAAAGACATTCATAAAAGACCTGAAATGGTTTAATGGTTACACAACTTCATAGGCAACATCCAAAGTCAGATATGCAAATCCTTCTTGCGTATACTTGTCTTTCCTTGACATGTTAGGATTGAGAGTTTTAGGATTACACAAGACCAGTCAGAATACATTTACGCAACACTAGCATGGAGATACTTTCCATACTGATGAGATGTGACTCATTAAATTGTTAATGCCTTTCAGGATTCTGAACAAAGGTCGTCGCCATCACGCAATTCAGCAACCCTTCCCAGTGGAATGGGTCTTTTTTTTCTGCTTTATATTCATCGTTTCATGTCATCTGTTTTCTGTTCAAGGGGCGAAGGTGTCAAATTACCCCATGCATAATCAGTGATGGGCGGAGTGTAGGTGTCAAAGGTGACTGGCTCAACATTAGGATCAAACGCTTGAAATAACCGCTCGGCGAATTAATTCATTGTGATGTAGTATCAGATGACCACATGTGCGTTCATGTGTGGGTGGTTGCATGCATGCGGTGGGTAAGTTCTGGACGAAGAACGTCCCTATTAATTGCAGCTACTTAGGTAGATCAATCAGAGCTCTGCTCAGTATGCAGGTCCTGGTGCTTACAGCAGACCGGGGGTCACAGTGACTTTAAAGCCAAAACTTTCAGCATTTTAATGAGGCTATGTGAATTATAGCACAGGCCAGTCTATCCAGATGTGCATGCAGGCTCACAAACCCACACAAGCAAACATTCACAGTTTCAAACAAGTACGCAAATATCAATACGTTAACTCTCGCTCTAACTCTCTGTTATACTCCCTAAATGACACAAACACACTATCACTCTCTCTCTCTCTCTCTCTCTCTCTCTCTCGCTCTATTTCTCTCTCTCACACACACACACACACACCACATCCTTTTGGGGTAAAACTAATCAGTGTGGAAGGCCCTTAAGTCCAGAAAGGCACTATTAAAGCCCTGACAGCGGAGCTGTATGTGTGACCTTCAGATGTAACCAAGACCAGACATACACAAGGGATTTAAATGAACCACCAGAGCCCCCACTGCTCCAAACAACAGAGAACCCTCAACGATGGTCATTTATTTCTTCAAACAGCAACCACCCAGGCATTAAAAGCCATCAACCTATTACTATAAGTTAAGGCCAAAGTATTAAGACAGGCCATCAGGGCAGTTATGTCTCGTGGGTCTGTGCACAAAAACAAGGCCTTGCGGAGGTGGTTGAAACTTCCACTGGCCAAAACTGCAGACCCATCAGAGCCAGTATGCTCACTTTTCTCTTGGACTCCCTGGTCCAACAGAGCCAAAATGTCTGTTCTT